TCAACTAGTCTTGTCCGATTTTAAAAACAATGGTTTACGCGCGTAAAAGTGTTGTGGTTATACTTATATTAAAACATATTGGAGGAAAAAAAAAAATTTAGGATATTTATGTTGTTTAAGATAAAAATTTAAGCAAATAAGAATAATATCATATGATGTATAAAAATCTCATAATCAAAACTTTTGTTTTTTTGGTAGAATCAGAAAGTTTTAATACTGGCTCTGTTATAACCATATTACAGACCATTAAAGCTATTAAAAAACATACTTTTAACTATTATTTTTAAATATTAAATAATTACATTAATATTGTTAAATGCAATATTTGTTGTAGTGTTCCTGATGTGTAATTAATGTCTTAAAAGTTCTTAGTTTGAATCCTTAACAGCGAAGCCCAAAGTACTCTGATGTTCGGTTTAGTTTGAGAAAATAGCAAATCAAATGGTTATTACTTTTTCTGTATCAAAATATAAATCGTTTTTGAATTATTTTATTCTAAATTATAAATTGGTTTGATTATTCAAAGAATAATAAATGATATTTTTTCAGTATTACCCTTTATCTACATTAGATACTTTCATGATTAGCTATTGGTTTTAAGATAAAGATAATTAGTCAAATTATCATTAGTTTTATTATAATCCAGGAGAGTTAATTACTTCTTTAATCATTGTATAAAAATATTAAACGATTTATATTTTGAAACGCATAATTAATTAATAAGGTAGTTAATCCAATTTACCACAACAATATAAGGACAATACCTAATTTCACCTCTAGATTAATAACTTGCTTGGCTTAGCTGGAAATGGGTAATGTATAAGTCACACAATTTAGTGTCTTCACTTGTAAGAATAAATGAAGCACTAAAACCATTGCAATTGTGTTCAGAAAATTTACAAAGAAAGACTATTTGGCACAATCTCAATCAATCTAAAAATTTAATTTTCCCATTTTGTTTTTTTGTTATTTTCCTTTTCTTTTTGAGATTTTCGACCTCTAAATACAGCTGGATTTTGATAATGCATCGTATTCTTCCTTTGATTTTTGGGATTTTATAATTACTCTAATGTATAATTAAAACGTGAAGATATAAACCATCGACGGATGAGATAAAATGATAGGAGCCCTTTCTTTCTTATCCAAAGCTCTAAAGTTCGTGTCTTGAATATACTCTCATTTATGGATTAGTGTGTTTACTATTTATTTAGCCAATTACCTGTCGGCCAACAAATTATTCTTTCTTTCTTAAGAGAAAATAATTTTATTATATAATTTTCTTAAAAAGTATTAGCCTATGATTATTTTTTTCATTCATTAGGCGACTGAATAGATCAACTAATATCGTAGATTATATAATAAGAGTAACATTCACTAAATTAATGAAAAATTTTATGTACAAGAGGAATTTAAACCGATGAAAACTCTTATAGATTTAGCAAATAGGTAAAAACTTTTATAATAAAAAATTTTCTATATCTTTGCAGAAAGTGAGAACACCAAACTAACACATTTAGATCCCATATAATATAGATAAATAATTATGAAAATATTACACATGTAGGTTCGTCCATGCATACATAAAAAGCATCTCTTGATTAGGCATAACCACAGTTTCAGAACTGTCGGTTTCAATTTTAAAATTATCGGTTCCAGTTATAGAAAATGTTGAATCGGAATCAAATTGCTTTTAGACAGTTTCTAAGACGGTTTTGAAACTGTTGATTTCAAATTTATTTTGTTCTTAATCGAAATTATATAATTTATTTCAAAATTTTAAATTTTTTTTTAGATTGTAGCTTGAATAAAGAATAATGATAAATATTACTATTATTGAAAAATACTAAACTAATTTAATAAAATTTCTTAAAAGTTATATGAAAAAATTATAATAAAAAAAAACAAGTTAGAATCTTTTTAAGAATATGATTTTCACAGTTTCAAATCGAAACCATCAATTTTAAATTTTCAAATCGAAACCATCAATTTTAAACTAAAACCATAAATTCTGATTTCAAAATATGAAAAATCAAGGTTTCGGTTAGAGTTTGAATCTAAAAACTATTAACTATGGTTTGATACCGATTTTGATCAATTCAATTTCAATTTGAAAATGAAGCTTGTTCATGCCTAATGACATCAATTTGAAGCTTCATTAAATAAATAATAATAATTATCAATTATCCTCTTGAGATGAAGTACATACTTATGAGGGAGAAAAAAAAAAAAAAGGCTGCCAGTCCAACTGTAATCTCTTAATATGTAATTTATAACGTTTCAACGGTAAAGTCCTATATTAACGTTTTGATTTGTCAAATAATAAACATTATCGGTTAGGAAGTTGTCTAAAACCACTTGATGTTAATGTCACGTCCCAAGTCATAACTTCTGCTGCAGCAATTGACCTAGTAAACGTTGAAACATGAAAGGCTAACTTCGTAATTTCATATTGTAAATTGCATTTTACCATTAACATTTATTTAATTATGAAAATATTTTCCATTAACATTTTTTCTACGTGCCTAAAATGTCAAAAAAAAAAAAAAAAAAAAAAAAAAATAGATGTTTGAATATCGGAATCAAATTTGCTTTTAAGACAGTTTCCTACAGCACGGTTTTGAAACTGTTGATTTCAAATTTATTTTTTTCTTAATCGAAATTATAATAATTATTTGCAAAATTTTAAATTTTTTATGATTGTAGCTTTGATAAGAGAATAATGATAATATTCTATTATTGAAATACTAAACTAATTTAAATAAATTTCTTAAAACGTTATAATTGAAAAAATTATAATAAAAACAAGTTAGAAATCTTTTTAAGGGAATCATGATTTTCACAGTTTCAAATCGAAACCATACAAGTTTTAAATTTTCAAATTGACCATCAATTTTAAACTAAAACCATAAATCTGATTTTCAAAATTGAAAAATCCCAGGTTTTTTTTTTTTCCGGTTAGAAGGTTTGTTGAAATCTAAAAACTATTAAATATGGTTTTGATATTCCTGTATTTTGATAATTTCAATTTTCAATTTTGAAAAATGAAGCTTGTTCATGCCTAATGACATCAAATTTGAAGCTTCATTAAATAAATATAATAATTATCAATTATCCTCCTTGAGATGAAGTACAATTACTTATACGAGGGAGAAAAAAAAAAAAAGGCTTGCAGTCCATCCCAACTGTAATCTCTTAATATGTAATTTATAACGTTTTCAAACGGTAAAGTCTATTATTATTAAGTTTTTGATTTGTCAAATTAATAAACATTATCGGGTTAGGAAGTTTGTCTCTAAACCACTTGAAGATCGTTAATTGTTCACGTCCTGCAAGTCATACTTCTGCTGCAGCAATTGTACCTAGTTAAACGTTGAAACATGAAAGGCTAACTTCGTATTTCATATTGTAAATTGCATTTTAAACCATTAAATTTATTATTATTGAATATTTTCATTAACATTTTTTATACGTGCCTAAATGTCAAAAAAAAAAAAAAAAAAAAAAAAGAAGATAGATCTCAAAACTTAAAATTATTTTAAAAAAAAAAAAAAAAAAAAAAAGAAGATAGATCTCAAAACTTAAAATATTTTTTAGAGTGGAGCTCTGAAAATTTGCAGTATATAAAATAGCGTGTTATACCATTATTATTTTCTATTTCTAAAATTAATTTCAACATTTCTGTCAATATGTGGATTTTAACATTAGTAAGATTTATTGAAATAAATATTATACTTCATTTTAAAAAAAATACTTTACTTTATCAATCAAATAAATATTATACTTTATTCGTCTCGTAAAAATAAATTTGATTTTTTATTCTTTTTTCCATTTATTTCAAATTGTAATTATATTTTTTTAGAAAAAAAAATGATAATTCTTATAGTTTCCTATTTTACTACTATTTGATATGCATCTCCATTAATACATGTATTATTATTACTATTAATCAAATCTTGAAAGATACAACTTATTAAAATACTAGTGTGTTTTAAAAATTTGACTATATAAAATATTGATTTTTTTTTTTGAAAGGATATCAAATATTAATATTACTGTGTTGTATAATTCTTGGATTAATTTCAAAATTTTAGCCAATATATGTCTTTTAGCTCTTCCTTTTTATTTTTCCTATTTAATTTAATATGCATATCCATCAGAAATTAATATATTATTATTACCATTAATCAGATACTGAAATAAACAATTAAATACTTAATTGTTTTAAAAATTAATGTATATAAAATAAAAATTACTAGTATGTTATACCATTAATCAAACTTTGAAATAAACAGTGTCCCAAGAATAAAAAGTCTAATTAAAACATCTAAATTTTATATCACATTAATTCTTATAGTAAATAAATTTTGATTAGTCTCAACATGATTTAACAATATATTTAATTTTAATAGAGTAACACGAATTATTTAATATCAATGTAAATGTATATATAAAGAAAAGACTAAACAAAAATTAATGATTTAATTATATTCCGTTGTAAGACCACAATTGTCTTCATAGGCAAATTTAATCATTTTCGCTCCCTTCTTTAGCATAATGTAAATGATTATAAATTTATTTCTATTTAGACACTAAAATAAAGAAAATTGAAAATTTTCTATTGTATAAAATAGAAAATTATTTTTTCATAGAGTAAAAAATTGTCAAAAGAGTGAGATTGCCAAATTTGAAACTTTCACCTGTTTTATTACTATCTCAATAACAAAATTGATTTAATTTTTTTAATATAATGGGAGTTTATTACAAAAAAAAAACACATATTCTATATTTATTAGCAAAGATTTGACAATAAAAAAGAAATTAAGTGGTTTAAGAAAAGTCATAAGGTCTTCTCTTTCGAAAAGATAAAAAAAAGGTCATAAGGTCTGAAATGACACAAATCTCCTATGAGTTCATTGCTAATATCTTTCCTTAATACAGTTGAGAGACATAAATTCAGACCTCACTTTCCTCCCTTTCTAACCTTGGATACACTAAGAACCCAAATAGACTAAAAACACAAACATAACAAAACCCTATTGCCCTGTCCCCACCAGCCATTACCTTTTCTCTCTCTGCCTCTGTATATATATATATATATATATATATGGATCAAGTAGTTCAAGCTTAGCTGGCAATAGCGGGATAGCCGGAAGTCAAACACACCACCACTATTCCGGCAACCGGAAGTGGGTTCTGTGTCAGATTCGAGTCACTCAACCCCCTCACGTATACAAGTTTCAGCCTTTCTGGCTTTTCCCTGCCAAGCCACTTTCTTGAGTTTTATTGAATTTTTCTTTCTTTCTTTCTCAGTTTTCTTTTCGTTTTTTTTTTCTAGGAACCGTCACTCGTTGCTTTTGTGAATTGTCAGCGCTTAAAAACTCTAAACCCACTTTTTTTTGGCTTTTAAGCCTACACTAATTTTGATATATACAGAGTGTGATAGTCCACAGTCCTTTCTTGACCAGCCACTTTCTTCTTCTTCTTCTTCTGCTTCTTCTTCTTCATCTCTCTTCATTATTATTTTTTTATTCAGATAATATTTTAATCATTGTTTTTACCTATTTTATCATTATGTCCCGTCAACTGAACTATGCAAAGAGTAGGTAGAAATATAGAGAGAGAAAGAGACACCGATACAGATTGGTTACCAACAATTTTTGAACAAGAGAAAAATCAAATGAAAAGGAAAGGTTTTTGATTTAAACCCAGGTGAGAGTTTTTGGTCTTCTCTCCTTTCCATTTTCGTTATGTTTCTTTTAGGGAGAGAAATAAAGAGGGAGAGAGACAGCCTGCATTTGATATGAGGAGGAGAAGATTTGAATTAGTTATTATTATTAAGTTATTATAAGCCATGGTGGATCAGCGAATTCGTTTAGCATTCACATTTCTGCTATTGCTATTAAAATTGAAGCCTTCACTTGAGCAGGTAGAGACACTGAGTTCACCTGTTGAACGAGTTGCTCTACTTCAACTCAGATCCTCTTTAGGGATTAGAAGCAAAGAGTGGCCTAGAAAAGCCAATCCTTGCTTGAATTGGACGGGAATCACTTGCCGGAACAGAAGCGTTTTTGGGATTAACATTTCTGGTTTTAGAAGAACGAGAGTTGGTTCTCAAAACCCACAATTTGCTGTGGATGCACTCGCTAATCTAACTCGGTTGAGTTATTTTAACGCGTCTAGATTCCAACTCCCTGGTTCTATCCCTGAATGGTTTGGTCAAAGCTTTGGTTCACTTCAAATTCTTGATCTTAGTTTTTGTGCAATACAAAATGCTATTCCTGCTAATTTAGGGAATTTGACTAATTTAATCAGTCTCTATCTGACTGGTAATAGATTAACTGGTGCAATTCCCTCTAGTTTGGGTCAATTGGTGTTGCTTTCGGTGCTTGATCTTTCGCAGAATTCACTTACGGGATCTATTCCTGTGTCGTTTGCGTCACTTGGGAACTTGACAAGTCTTGATATTTCTTCCAATTTCTTAGCTGGGTCCATTCCTCCTGGCATTGGAATGCTTTTGAAGCTTCAGTATTTGAATCTTTCAAGTAATCAGTTATCATCTCCAATACCTGCTCAGCTTGGAGACCTTAGTAGGTTGGTTGACCTTGATCTTAGTGTAAATTTATTGTCTGGTTCATTGCCTGTGGATTTAAGAGGGTTGAGGAATCTGAAGAGAATGCTAATTGGTAACAATATGCTTGTTGGGTCTTTGCCGGTCAATTTGTTTCCTTCTTCAAGTCAATTGCAGATTGTGGTTTTGAAGGACAATGGTTTTACAGATACTGTCCCTAGTGTGCTATTTACGATGCCTGGATTGCTTTTTCTTGATATCTCCGGTAACAATTTCTCCAGCTTCTTGCCTAATGTTACCTTGAGTGCGAATGCCACTACTGCAGAATTGAATCTATCTGGGAATTTGTTTTATGGAGGTCTCTCATCTATTCTGAGAAGGTTTAGTTCTGTTGATTTGTCTGATAATTATTTTGAAGGCAGGATTCCAGATTATTTGCCTGTTAATGCTTCTCTTGTTAGTAATTGTCTCCAAAATGTGTCAAATCAGAGAACTGTACGTGATTGTGCATCTTTTTATGCTGAAAGAGGCTTGATTTTTGACAATTTTGGACTCCCAAATTCCACACAACCTCCTGCAAGAGAAACTAAAGGGAAGAGCAACAAAAAGTCTATCATATTAGCAAGTGTTTTGGGAGGTGTTGGGCTCATTGTCCTTCTGATAGTATTAGCTCTACTGCTTCTTTGCATCCGTAAGAGGGGTACTACAAATCAGAGAGGCGTTGGTGTTGGTCCAGCTCCTGCTGCGAGCAGTCCACCACCTCCAGAAGCATCAATCAATTTTTCAAGTTTAGGAGATACATTCACATATCAGCAGCTGCTCCAAGCCACTGGTGATTTCAGTGATGTGAACCTCATTAAACATGGCCATTCAGGAGACCTCTATAGGGGTATATTGGAAAATGGGAGCACTGTAGTTATAAAAAGAGTAGATTTGCAGTCCGTAAATAAGGATACATATTTACTGGAATTGGACTTTTTCAGTAAAGTTTCGCATCCTAGAGTGGTTCCCCTCTTGGGACACTGTTTAGAGAATGAGAATGAGAAGTTCTTGGTTTACAAATATATGCCAAATGGAGATTTGTCAAGTTCCTTGCACAGGAAAACTACTGCAGAAGATGGTAGTTTACAGTCATTAGATTGGATTACAAGATTAAAAATTGCATTAGGAGCAGCAGAAGGTCTAAATTGTCTGCATCATGAATGCACACCGCCCTTTGTACACAGGTAATGACTTGCTTTTTGTTATGATCTGTTGCCTATTATTTATGCGATCATCTCATGTTAGCCATGAGATCACATGCTTATGCCTTCCTGCTTATTCCTATGAGTTGGCTTTTTCGGGAGAAATATATTTTCTCTCAATATGTTGGCAATACAAAGGTTTTTATGTAGAGAACATATTGCTTTACCAAGTTTATGGATAGTAATATGCTTTCAGAGTGAGATACTTGGTTATGTGGCCCCGCATGCTTTTTTGAAATTAGTGAAACTTGAGATAATAACAATGGTACATCTGACCTGTTAGGGAATTGCTTTAGTTATTTGATTTAGACATCAAGGTTAATATATGTGGAGTGGTTTTCTAGCAAGCTGCAAATGTATCCTTGCATCAACCATGGGTTAAAATTTGTAAACATATTGCTCTGGCATTGGGTAATAGGTCAGTGTAAAGGATAGACTGGGTTGGGGATAGGAATCCAAGAAGGAAAAAGCTGAAGCCAAAGATCAAGTTACTTCAACAGGGATTATCTTTATAGCTATTATTTTGAAATAAACTTGTATGTGCATTGGGATTTGGGGAGTGGGGTTGTTTGTGCCAATTACATTCACTTTTTGGCTGTGATTAGTCAAGTGATTCACCAACTTTCGTCCTAAAAAGTTGTACTACTTGTGCAATCACTAAATTGTCCTTCCTTTTGTTCTTGAAGAGATGTTCAAGCAAGCAGTATACTCCTTGATGATAAATTTGAAGTACGGCTTGGAAGCTTAAGTGAAGTTTGCCCTCAAGAAGGGGATACTCATCAAAGCAGGATTACCAGGTTGCTGCGGTTGCCACAGTGAGTTGATATGTTAACTTGGATACCTATGCGTGCTTTGTGCTCTTCTACTTTGCAAGTTGCATGCAGTAATGGAGTTGTACATTTTATGGTCTCGTATGGGAATTGGGAAATGGGTTCATACTTTTGCTTTTCCAACTTTTTAGCTACCACTGGTTTAGTTGCCCTGTCTCTGATATTTTGATTTAAGTTAAATATTTCATAGTTACTGTTCATTATTCTCAAAATATTGCAATGCCAGTACTTTATTCTGCAGAATAATACCTTTGTTCTCGTAATTAAAGGATGATTCTTCAAAGAAATAGCATCTTCTTACCACCAGTGTTGAGTAGTAGAGTTTGTTGATTGGTCCGTGGTCTTCTTTCTGACAGAAAATACTTTGGAAACTTTGTTCATAACTTATTTCAGAGTGTAATATAGTTTCAAACCTTTATTATTTTTTATTGAATTTATTTAAGCATAAGCTGTGCACTGTATGTTCCATGCAACCCAATTTCTAAAGAACTGCCAAATTGAAATTCGTCTTACCATCTTGTGGATGATACTCCTTTATTTAGCATATTAGCAGCAAGTTGTTAAAGGAAGTCATCGTAACAAGCTTTCCCTGAATCCCTGCCATTTTGAACATTACCATTTAAATATAGCCTATATTTATTTTTTGTTAGATTAAAAGCTTGAGGAAGATTAGATATCTTTTTTATGCTTTTGGAATGACAACTATTACCTAATATTAAACTTCATAAGGATCCATTCGTACTGTTGTGTATTTGAAATGATGGATGTAAATTCGTATTCTCTTTTTTTAAATTCTTCAAGTTTTTGCGCACTTATTTTCTTAATCATGGTTTTCATTTAGTTCTTTGTTTTTTCTCCCATCATTTGCAGGTCATCAGAACAAGGCACTTCTGGTAAGCAGAGATATAGGTGTTAAACATCACTTGTTCACTTTCATTTTTTTGATTTCAATTTTTGTAACTTGGCATTTTATATTGGTTCATCTAACCAGATATATAGCCCTATGTCGCTCTAATAGTTTATCCTGCATGTTATTTAGGAAAAATATATATATATATATAAGATTCAACTTAGATAAGCAAAAACAAATTACTTGGACATGGTTCTGCCAACGAATTGGCTAAAGTGTCAAAATTATTTTATGTCAAAAATGATTTCTTTTGTTGCAATAGGTGTTATTTAGAGTTAACAAGAAAGTGACAGTAACCTTGTTTTGGAATAAAGGCTTAGACATCCCATATGATTCTGTACTATTATGTGGTACTAGAAACCTTAACTGTTCATTCATTCCTGGACCATTGCTCTTTATTGGTTTTGTACATGTGGCACAGGAGATAATAATATATTTTGCAAACATTTATGCCTCTGTCTACGGATCAATCTCAAGTTCAATACTGATGAATGTTTTACAGTCCCAAATTAATGTTATTTATGTTATTAAAGAGTCCTGGGAAGTTGTGCGCGGTACTTCATTTCTTTGATGCTAAGAATCAGTGAGATGCTCGTTTGTTTTGCCTTTGGAAGCAACAAATCTTGAAAGAAGAATTTGGAATTGATTATGTTCAATCCATCAAGTACTTCCATTTTTGTCCTTGAGTTTTTTGACCTCTGTTGGTTTATGGAACCAGTGATGCAAGTAGCTACCCAAGTTACTCCCAGTTGGTTCCTGCCTATATTAGAGTATCAAAAGGAGAAGAAAATCTCCGTACATAAGATTTTCAGTAAGTGTTGGTGTCTGTTAAACAAAGTAGAAAAATATGATGAAGTCTTCTATTGTGGCTCGGATGCCTATGCTTGCCTTTGTTCAAGGTAGTTGCAGGCATTGTTTAATCTGTTGAATGGCCATGATTGATAAAGCTTTTGGCTCTTCTACATTTGCTTGACCGGATATTGCTTTGTAGCTTACATTAAATTTATGAATATTAGTTCTGAAGGAGTCTTCTAAATTTGTTTGGTTGTGCTAACTAAGAAAATTGGAACGTAAATTATTATAAGCTTCAGCAGAATACTTGTTTCTCGAAGGAGCTTTATTTCACATGGTTTAAAATTAGTTTCTACTTGCGGCGTTGTTTCTGAATTTCATTTCTGCATGAACAAGTTCAGGTTCAGTGACGGCAACATGTGCCTATGATGTCTACTGTTTTGGGAAGGTATTACTTGAGCTGGTGACTGGAAAGCTGGGCATGAGTGCATCCAGTGAAGCACAACTGAAAGAATGGTTAGAACAGACACTACCATACATCAGCATTTATGAGAAGGAACTTGTGACAAAAATTGTCGATCCATCTTTGATTGTCGATGAAGATTTGTTGGAAGAAGTCTGGGCCATGGCCATTGTTGCCAGGTCTTGCCTCAATCCCAAGCCTTCAAGGCGACCACTAATGAGATACATCCTCAAGGCTTTGGAAAATCCACTGAAGGTGGTAAGAGAAGAAAACTCTAGCTCGGCTAGGCTTAGAACAACATCATCAAGAGGATCTTGGAATGCTGCTCTATTCGGTAGCTGGCGTAGCACATCTGATGTAGCAGTGATTCCGGCAGGCTCCAGTAGGCCGGAAGGAGGGGGTAGTTTTAAAAATTCAACTTCAAATTCACAGGGAAGTGGCCAAAATAATGGTGTCGGTGGTGAACATTCATCCTCACGCAGACGGCATTCTCGGGAAATTGTTCCTGAACCATCTGATTTTCACGATGTAGAGGCACAAGGTCAGGATTAGCACAGATGTTGATTGTTCTTGATTCTTTGTTAATAATACTGCAGGCTTCCCATTCGGCCTGCTTGTAGGTATCCCTAATGTTCTGGTGGAGCCATTATTGTATATCAGTGGGGTGTTTCGAAAGATGCATATCTAAGTTTTGGAGAAGATTTTGTTTTGAGGCAGCCGTGTTAGGTGGTGGATAGATTGAATTGGGAAGATATTGCAAGAGAAGAGGGGTGCTAATGACAGGAATGGTGATAATATTTGTTTGACAGCTTGTTTAAACAAGCTACCATTTTTTATCTGTAACTGTAATTGATCTCTGCTTTTTGTGGTCCTTGATTTTTCCTCTTGCCATGTAAAGTGTAATTGCCAAGGATTTCATGATTCAATTCAGGTTCTAATTTTCAGGAAGAAAGACAGGATAAATAAATGAAAGGAGAAAAAAAACACCATGACGAAGATGATACTGATTATTTTCATATCAAAGTTATTCCACGATATACTCCTAAATCAGATGGCTTTTGTGCCTACTGATTCTAGAAGACGAAATACCACCATGTGATTATAGTGAAGCAATATTTTGCAATGCATAAGTGATAAGTGGAGGAAAACTATGAAGTTAATTAAAATCGAGATTGAAATAACTTGAAGAAGCTTATGAAAAATATAGAAATAATGGGATAGAAAAATTGAAAAAACTGAGGTCCCACCGAGATTTGAACTCGGGTTACTGGATTCAGAGTCCAATGTCCTGACCACTAGACCATGGGACCAATGCTGGTACTAATGCGTTATTTAAATAATAATAATTTTATAATAGCTAAACCTCTACAACTCCTCTGCTGGCGCCACTTTATCCATTTGCACTCTGATCAGCGGTCGAACAGGATGCTGGCCTGTCCGCACCAGCAACCCTCCTTCTTTCACCTCCGCCACAACCACTACAAGAACTGTAATTTCATTGTAATCTCCTGCTCCCTCCACAACCAACAACATCCAACACCTCAAGACTCACCCGCCAACACCAGCGTCACCTCCACTCCCAACCACCAATCAATTCTCCGAACCCACAACTCCAAGTCCGCTGCCGTCGTCCTCCACCACCTAAAACAGCCGAACCAACTTCGAAACGCAACTCCACAAGAAAACAATGTGAAAGAAGCCATTTCACCAGAAGAGAAAGTTAAGCTTCTAGAAATGACTCTCGTCACCAAAAAACGAATCCCCCAATTTCCTGGTTCAATTTTCCCTCAGTTCTCAAACAACAGCGACTCTCCTTTGCAGACCCTTTTTCGAAACGGAGACAGAGATAGTGAGGATGACAATGGGGAAGAAGAAGATGAAAAAGAAATGATAATTAAGGCGCTTGAGATACGTAGAAAAGTGACAGCAGAGATTTTCAAGGAAACTATGAGGAGAAAAGGCAAGTTTGGGATCACATATTCGACCAATTTGGTTGATAGATTGAGTGATTTTATTGATTTTATTATGATTGAGGCCGCAACATTAAAGAGAGCACCTGAGTTCCAGTTTTTGAGTTTCAATGTTAGAGCTAGGACTATTATTGAAGACTTGAACGTTGTTCCTCTTATCAGGTACTTGAGCTGTTGTGGTTTTATGAGGACTGACTTTGTTTCCGTGAACTAATTAAATCTACGTTCCACTGTTTATAACAAACATTCTTTAATGGGTTGGTAAGAACATGTTCATTTTTACTTTCTTTTTGAATTTTGATTGGTCGTGTCTCAGTTAATGTGTGGATAATTTCCTCTAATTAATTAAAGATATTATCTTGATAAGCTTTTCTTTTCTGAATAACTTTCTAGTATTTTTAGGAATTGCAAGCTGCAATATTTTTGTCAGCTTTGTATGTAGAAGTGAGAGAAAAACTATGAACACTATGGTTTTTTGTGTTTTAAGTTTGATTGCTGAACATATAGGTGGCTGAAACACAATGGTTTGTCATATCCGAAGATTGCTAAGCTCATATGCCTGTCAAGAGGAAATCTCGAGTCCATCAGACGACTGGCCGACTGGTTGAAGTCAATTCATGTAAAGGGGGAATTCCTTGGAGTGGTGCTCACACAAGCTGGGGATAATATTTTAGAACGCAGTAATGAAGAACTAAGTGAGATCGTCGAGTATTTAGAGAGTAATGGCGTGAGGAGTATTTGGATGGGCTATGTGATGAGTCGGTGTCCTCAATTATTGTCTTTTAGCATGGAAGAAGTTGAAAATCGAGTCAAGTTCTACTTTGATATGGGTATGAATGAGAAGGATTTTGGCACAATGGTCTTTGATTACCCGAGGGTACTTGGCTACTTTCCCCTAGAAGATATGAAGCAAAAGGTAGCTGGCTCAATCTGCAATCCGCATTTTTATGTGTAGATCTTATTTTGCTTCTCTGAATGCATCAAGTTTTCTTGCCATCCCATAACTAGCCTCGATTTTTTTTTTTTTTTTGAGTACTCTTCTACCATTTTTAAATCGTATATATGGTGAGATGATCCTCTTCTTGATTCAGGTTGATTATCTAAAAGAGTTTGGTCTCAATAATGAAGAAGTTGGAAGATTACTAGCTTTTAGGCCACAGTTGATGGGTTGTAGCATTGAAGAAAGATGGAAACCTCTTGTAAAGTATTTATACTATCTCGGGATTTCCAAGGATGGTATGAGGAGAATGCTCATCATAAAACCGATGATTTTTTGTTTTGATTTGGAAGAGACTATAGTGCGAAAGGTACGCAACTGTTGGCTGTTCCATTCTTGTGCTTCATAATGCCACATATCACAACCAAGTTGTATAATCAAGTTGAATTCTGCCTTTCATTTGAATTTTGTTTGATGAATCTTATTTTCTTGTCTTCCTCTTTTGATTTCTGATATCTAAATCCTGTATGATCTATCGATCTCATGAATCTTAGATTCTTTATTTTTGTCAAAAATGAAATAGGATATTCATAGGATTATGCTAGTGAATGTGTTGTTCATCCTCAGTAGAGTTGATGCAACTTTATATTTATTTTTGAAGGTACGCTTTTTTAAGGACATTGGTGTTAGAGAAGATGCCATTGGCAACATGCTTGTAAAATTTCCTCCATTGTTAACATACAGCCTCTACAAGAAAATCCGGCCAGTGGTTTGTCCTTATGCTCAGTCAGTCACCTTTTCTGTTTCCTTCTTTATCCTGCATAGAGTGTAGCATTGTTGCAATATCTAATATATCACAGAAAAACACATTGATAATTTTGTATACATGTAAGGTCGTATTTCTCTTATTTCCTAAGTGGAGTTGAACTGTAACGCTTGGATTAAGGATTTAAATGTCTGTGAAATTAGTCAAAATCCATAGAATTGAAAACCTCGATTTGTAAACCTAATTTTTCAATTCTATAGATTTGTAGAACTGATCTTGTTTGTTATAAATATTAAATCCATGGATATCAATGCTTTTTTCGGTAAATAAACAGAACTTCAAAGAATATTTCATTCATTAAAAGAGGGATTTGATAAAATCTCACCTTCCATGTAGGATTTCAGGATCCATCAAATGTGGGATTATGGTCTATAAGGGATTTTTAACAATGTATGGATTTCATCCTGTTTTTGTTGTAGCAAACGAGAGAACCAAATCCATGGATTTTTTCAAAATCCCTTATCCAAAATCTCAACTCTGATCATAGTTTATAATCACCTCATTTTGCTAATGCTGATTTATTTGGGATAATTTTTCATTATGAGAATCTCTATGGATGGAATCCTTTGTTGAATAGTTAAACTCTAAGCAAAGAATAGAAATTGTTACTGCATTGTGCTGAACTTGGGGTGTCATGCAGGTCATATTCTTGATGACAAAAGCTGGGGTTAGTGGGAAAGATATTGGAAAGGTGATTGCTTTGGGACCAGAGCTATTTGGATGCAGCATAGCGCATAAGCTGGATATCAGTGTCAAATATTTTCTGTCACTGGGCATACGCCAGAATCAGTTAGGGGAGATGATTGCAGATTTTCCCATGCTACTCCGTTATAATATAGATCTTCTCCGTCCAAAGTATCGTTACTTGAGGCGAACCATGGTTCGGCCTTTGCAGGATCTCATTGAGTTTCCAAGGTGAACATCCTTACGGGAAATTACACATGATGTTAAATACATTGTTAGTTCCTAGGAGTAGAAAACCAAGCCCTTTTACCATCTAGAAGCTTCTTTTAATCCGACACCAATTGCTTGGAGCTAATAGGTATTTAACTGGTAAAGCTGAAGAAAATATCCGAAATGAACCAAGGAATTACCACAGTGCATCTCACTTTGAGTAATTGCATGGAATATGCAGTGTACTCGTGAGATCTTACATTTTATTGGCTAGTCTCTTATATTCTATTTCTTCCTATCTTTGGCACTAACAACTAGGGAAATTGTTGTCAGGTTCTTCAGTTATTCTCTCGAAGGGCGGATAATTCCGAGGCATAAAATTCTAGTAGAGAACCGAATCAATTTTAAATTGCGCTACATGTTGGCTAGCAGTAACAAAGACTTTCAAAAGCTGGTTGAGAATGCTGTTGAAAGGCGTCAAAGGTTTGAATCTGGTTTTATGAATACTACTCATCTTGATTGTCAAGTACCTGATGACTCCTCGAACGAGGAGAAAGTGTTTGAATCTGGTGACTGTGTTAATACGCAGACCAAATCTGAAGTAGCTGGCGAAACTTCGGATGAGGAAGAAGTTCGCAATTTTTCTGATACATAAAAACTGATATTTGATACCTTAATACAGGTGACAGTATTTGGATATGGGATTCTGAAAGCTGTTACAGGCTTACAGCTCCGATAAACTTGAGCTGCTCCCTGTTTTTATGTACCCTTAATTGATTCTTAATGTACATATCTTTATTCTTTTTCTAAAAGTGAAATCTTAGACAGGGTGAAGCACGTCACCCTCCTCGGGCTCAACATGGACCCACTTGCGTCCGTTCAGCTTGTTCATAAGCAAACCTACAATTAGAATCACAAGAAAATGAGACGAAACCGTTGAATAAATAATGAAAATGCTTAGAATCCCCCAAATCACCTCATATAACAACCTGTCAATTTAGTAAAACCTGCTTGAATCAAACATATCATTAAACCAGAAATATTTTCTCCCCAAATAATTTGTTAGTATGATCAAATTTTCATTGCTTTTTCTTAATCATTTTCCCAATATACAGTACATCTATCTTCAATCAAAGGTTCAATATTATACGATTACGATAAACCAAAGTAAAAAACCGGAGAAGCAGCCAGTGCAACCTCAAACAAGTAACAAAAAATGCAAAAAGGTCCATAATTTGGCAGCAAATATTGTTTCTCTGACTGGAAAATTAAACTTGTAAAGAAACCAGAGAAGGGATTTGCGTTTTGAGTTAGACCCAGTTCCTATGAATCACTTCAGATAAAAATGGGTTAAGGATGGAGCCTTTTTCTCTTGATACGCTACAATTCAAACTCAAAAGGCTGTACCAGATTGCCACTCTGCAGTCTACTAATACAAACAATTTCAAATTGCCCATTTCACAGCTGGTTGTGCATGATTCTAACTTGTAGGAAGAGAGTGATCACCGGAGGCAAAGGGACGCGCCGAGTTTAGAAACGCCGGATGCTTATGCTCTTTTTTGAGAATATGATGTAGGAAACATTGGGTCCGGCCTGCTTATGCTTTCAGTTTTAGTCAAACACCAAATAGCAAGTTCCTGCGTTTGAAGATGAAGTAAAAAGACACCGCTTAGGATTTTGGAGTTATATTTTTTAAGTTTCTCATTATCAGATAAGTGGGAGCTGAATCCCACCGTTGAACCGCGTTAAACACAATCAAACGACAAGTCCTTCAAAAACTCCGTCTCAGAGTTCCTCAACAAAATGGCAGGTCATTGACTTCAAACGACTATCCGTTCGCTCATCATAATAATTAATAATAATAATAATAATAATAAATTAGCCAAAGCGTTTTGTAAGTTCTTTTTCGTTTGTAGATCCCATCGTAATTTTCTTTTCTTCATTGCTTTTGACCAAAAATTGAGCTAAACAAATAAACTAGACTAATCCAAAATGAACTAGCTCTATCTCATTTTCACCAAATTAAGTTCATTGTTATTCATTTATTAAATATAGCTCAATATCTTTAGAGGTAACCTGTAATAAAAGCAATAAATACTTTTATTGCCATAATTAAATGATGAGAATGATGTTGAACCATCAAAAAGCAAAAGAAACCAGATTTAAGGTATTCACAGTTCATAAATAGACTATAGATTTGAAAACTGGCCAATTGTTAGAAATACATTGATGTGTAATGCAATGCAATGTTGAACCACATGGTCATTCCACAAGAATGCAGAGCCAGACCAAAAATTGAATTCCGGTGCCAATTTCTTCCAAGTTACTTTTTCAATTTGTTTTCCAACTAATAACTATGATAGAACGGGGAAAAAAAGCAGAAACACTTCACAATTTACTGAATTCCAATAAGACAGAGAGGGTTTTTCTTCATCAGGCTAAGATCAACCTGCAATTTCAAGAATGTTTTACAGTCAATGAACAAAAAAGATGGCAATACTGTCTTAGCTTAAAAACACCCAAGTGCAAAATTGTACCTTGTGTCCAAACAGATCGCGGATGTTATCAATTCCATACAATATCATTGTTGGTCTGGTTCAAACAAGTGGAAACAAAAGAATCAAATTGTGTATGGAAGTGATTGACAGATTTCTTTTTATTTGAGTACATTTGGAACTATGACATTATTTCTTAAAGGAAGGGTCAAGTTTCTTACCTTTCAAGTGAAAGCCCCCATGCAATAACACTAATATCTTCTGGAAATCCCATCGGACGCAACATTTCAGGCCTGAACATACCTGAATTTCCAATCTCCACCCATTTCCCAAAGCCCTCATGATAGCTGATGGATGCAGTATGTATTAATTCATTTATTTTTTTAATAATATATTTATACTTCTTCAATAGAATTATAACAAGAGCCCTATAATCTATTACCTGAAAATCTCCATGCTAGGTTCAGTATATGGATTGTAAGCTGGCTTGAAGCGCAGCTTGGACATGCCTGAAAGCAAAATGTGGCTTAGAAGTTAGATTTTTCCTCGTTGCAATATCCAACCTCATCCACCGTTGTGGTGGCCTCATCACCCATTACCAATGTCAAGCATAAACAGCCTCATCAATGCCAAATTAAAATTCACTATCCCAGTAACCACTAGGTAATCCCACTGGTATCAAACTAACAAAAACTTTAAACATAACAACCCATTTAATTGTCTTGCATTGATATTCAAAATGAGTTTTCCCAGGGGAAAAACAATGAAAAAGCCATTGAAAGAATAAAAAGCAAATTTCGTTTCAGCAGGCAAATAATTTTAATTACCTAGTCGTGAAAAGAAGTCCTCTAAGACTCCAATCAGGTGACTCAAAGTAAGTCCTCGATCACACACCAGACCTGAAATCAAATGTACAAGTTTAGGGAGTATTGATAAATGAAAATCTGTGCAAATCCAGTTCTCAAAGAGATGTTTGATCCATTGTACAGTGACATGAACTTACAATATTCTACAATATAACACATTTTGCAACATGTGTAAGCTGGTCTGGCCCCACCTTTCCCATGAAAAGGTACTAGGGCAGCACCATGGCCAAAAATGGTAGTGTATTGATGAAAAGAAAATTATGGTCACTTGCATTTTGATGCTTCATGACAGACCAACCTGGTATGCGCAGCATACCAAAACCCTAATTGAATGACAAAGGAAACGCTAGCCTCAGCATCTATTTTGCTCAAATACCTTCTATCTGGTGGAACTCTGCAAGATGAGTGCGATCTACTGCTTCATTTCTGAAAACACGATCAATTGAGAAGTATCTTTTGGGGGTAAATGGTTGTACTTTTGCATGCTACCAAGAACAAAAAACTAATAAATAACACCTCCAGCATCATAAACAAGGAGGAGATGGAGGACGAAGAGAAAGTAGTGGGGTGAAGTGGAGTTTTCACATGCATAAGAACATTTGTCCAATAATAAACACATTTAACATTGACATAAAAGTTAAACTAAGCACTCGAGACTGTGTAACATGCACAATTCACATCTGCTTCTAAAAAGATCAATGAAAATAATTAATAAAACGACTATCATATCCTTCAGGTGGCATTTTTTTAGGAAAGCAGTGCTGAAAGCAGGAAAACTAGATCAATGCATTAAAGCAAAAGGAAGCCATTTCACAATCTGGAGTATTACATAAAGTCATTAGACTATTTAGACAACCATTGAAATAGACCAACGAACAGATCAATAATTGCAATAACACCTGTGCTAGTGCATAAAGCATTCGAGATGAAATTGCTGTTGTATGAGTTCGCAGAAGATTTTTGTTTGCCTCATCTATTTTCCATTTATATCCATATCTGCCAGCACAAAAGTGAATAATAGATCAGGGATTTGAACTTTTGATATGATATGATAATAAAGATAAAAGATAAGTATCATACCCTCTTGAACCATAACCCCCAGACTCATGGACCTCCTTCACACGCTCAACATAATCTTCAGGTAGTTGCCTTGTAGTTGACGGAACTACATACACGTACACTTAGTGCTTAGAGTGAATCTAGAAGTAGAAAAGTTACCAAAGAAGAAAATATAGCAATCAAGTTAAAAAAAACCTTTCAAGAAGAAAGTATCATGTGAATCACGAGCAGGATGCTGCTGCGGCTGGAACAGTACATCAAAATTCCAGAAGCTGCATATTGAAACACAAGCAGAAACAATAAAATATTTGGTTCTAATAAGCACATGATTAGGCCATTTTCTATTAATATATATATATATATATGCTTAACAACTTCTCTTTTAATTTAAGAGTTCATGTGTGAAGAAAGAAGCAGCATTATCTTGTTATACATCAGGTTAGATTTAGTATGATCAGGCAATATTTGATATATTAAACCCATTAACAGAACCTCCTCATTAATTAAGAAAGCACAGAAGCTACACTTGCGTGGGAAAAGGGATGGCAATATCAGCTACCTGCTCTCGACATATCTATTTGTAGGCATTTCCTCAAAGCTGCATTGAGTATAACAATATATGAAGATGTCAAACTTTGAACTAGAGCAGACAAGTAAATAGCAGAAGAACAAAGCAGGTCCTTACTTTAGCTGACGAAATATGTCTTTCAATCGATCTTTCACCTTAAAAAGGAAAAAGAAAGAAAAAAAATTACTGACATGAAAGATTGCAATTCATTGTGAAAAATACTATTGCAAGTACTAAGACAGCAAATGAAAGGCTAAGATGAAGAAATTTCAAAAACAATATGGCATTAATCAGTAATAAAAACAAACATAATATGCCCGTAACAACCAATCTTACAACATCCACTTGTTCACATGTTCAAAATCTGACCCCACAGGAAAATTGTGAATGCCAAACTGTAAGCAATAAAATTGGTTACTACATCACAAACAATTCTCACAAGAGAGGTCTTCCAAATTCCTTTTACTGTTTGCAACAACCAAAATTTTGTTGATGCCTGATACAAGTTTCCTCAATTTAAGTAGAACCTGAAATCTTTTATTTAGAAAGTTCAGGATAGAATATTATTTAAAAACCCCAAATTAACATGACCTAAAACTAGCTCGTATCTAAAACGAAGAGCCAGAACCAAGAGAAAGTTTGGACAACTTATAAGAAGGCTGTTAGGATTGCATTATAATCGATGTTCAATATGTCAATCCACATGCTGAAGCTTAGTTGAAAATAAGAAAAATGCTTCATATTGATAATGTATTAACCATGTAGTTAAAGGCGCAAGGCGCACTAAGGTGCAAAGGGCCGCTGGAGCCTAGGCGCTAGCCTCAGTGAGGTGCAAAAATAAAAAAATAAAAAAATAAAAAAAAAATTTTAAAAATATATAATAACTGCACAAAGTGAAAAAAAAATTCATTAATAATATAAAATATATAATGATATAATTGTAAAGATAATAAGTTTCAATTTTGATTTGCTTGTAAAATATTATGATATTTAATTGTGATTCTTGAATATGTTTTGTATATGGTTGAAACTACATTAGCTGCAGCATAGGATCTATATAAAAAGTTGTATAGCCTCCTCTTTCTTCTTTATTTTCCCTATCTTCCATAATTCACTCTTCCTTCTCTACTCTTTCTTTTCTCAAATTTTCTAACCTTTCTCAGTATCCAAACACACTCATTAGGGTTGCTATACTGAAACCCTAACAAAATCAGAAAAATATTTGGCAGCATAAGGCGTGCGCCTAAGCCCAAAAGCTCTTGCCTCATCAATATCACCCACCTTTCAGTGTTTAAGGCTCCAGCCTTTGAGCCCTAAGTAAGGCGCGCCTTTAATAACTATGGCATTACCTTGAAATAAATTTTAATAAGCAGGCCTGTCCTCTATCAATATACTAAGCCAATTCTATATTCAAACATGCTGAATATACAAAAGATGTTGCCTAACTTAATAACAATCAAATTATGATGTACCAGGAATACTTCCTTTTTTCTTGAAATAAATTATAATACAGGCTGCACCTCCATGCATTGTCTATTAATAAACAGTTAAACATCCTATGTAGTATAACGCAAACAAATAAAAAACAAAAGAAAAGATCATATTCTTGCCTTGTTTAGTGGATGAAGATGGCCACATTCAGCTGGTGGACCCTTAGCACTAAAGTTATACTCCTTAAACTCTAGTTCCTTCCAATCACCCCTAGAAAATCAGATATATTATGAAAAATTTAGATTGCATGGATTGAAGTCAGAATCTGTTAATATGCAAAATGGGACAGAGGAACCGGCCAAAATCAGAATCTGTTAAGGGCTATCCCAAGTTTGTTATTTTTACTATGCATAAGCTCCTTAGTAGACCTGGCCAAAGTCTGGTTATAAACTGAAACAAGATGGGATGGGATTACAATCATGGGCCCTGTTGTTCCAAGCAGGACAGTGACCAACGAAGGGCAGTTTCAGTTCCCTCAGTTAGGATTTAAAAAATGAAAAAGAAAAAGACCATGGCCATAACCAGCCAGAATGTGTTCAAAAACTGGCTGAGACCAGAACTAGCTTGTGGCTTTGTCTACAGCTCAGAGTATATCAATGATTTCCTCTGACGCCTGGGAGGCCAAGAAAAAAGATAACATCTGTGTTCATATTTAGAATAAGATTACAAACAAAAGGCTAAAAAACTATCTCATAATGCTAGCAATCAATAGATATTCCCTAAAATTCATGCCAGTTAAACTCTTCATCCAGCAGGGAAGCCCTACTGTTGTGATAAACATGGAGCACACACAACAATGCATAACATATATTCAATCATCTTTGTCGTCCTCAACCATTGGTTGTAAAACCCCATGCCCACTATTGAATGATATGACCCAACAAAGCATGTAACATAATGCAAATGGTAGTGGCTTGGATAAGTACTTAATGCATATGAAAAGACAAGTACAAATACGGATATACCTCTGTAGATTTTCCCGAGTCAAATCAGTAGCTGGCTTCTTTCTTTTTGGTGCATAATTGGGACCTTTTTTCACCGAGTATCCTTTCCATGTCCTAAAGAACAAACAGAAGTTGTAAAATACCAGCATGTATTAATCAAATAATTATCTTGTTGCACATCGCAGAGAATAAGGTCTCAAATATGATACAAATGAAGCAGAACATAATAAGATCATTACTGCAGAACAATAAGCTTCCTTGCTTTCAGAGAGTTGATATCCTCTTTGCCAATTGCCTGCAATCCAAAAACAAATAACAATAGCCAAATTGAATAACAGATAAAATCAGATTTTATGTTTTTTGATATTGTAAATCACACTGGTAAGTTGCTTCTAAATTAAGCATGTATCACCCTTATAAGCACAGAAATGGGGTGCAATAATGACAAGATTGCTTATTCACAAGAAATTTTTACAAGGGGAGGCCCTTCCTAATCAACACCTGTTACCCCACCTAGGGCACAGTACAGATAGAGAGGATGGAATGTAACTTTTCAAAATTCCAAGTTCATATTCCATTCTAGAAAAAGCTCAGGTATGCTGGAATCTTGATACACCAAACTTGAACTACTTTTTGACAAGTTAAAAACTGATTTCCAGCATTTTTAATCTTAATCAGTCACCCCTCGAACTTGGTCATGACAAAGCTCAACAAAATAAATGTACTAGATCAAACTAATTGATGTGACAGCTGCAGTTACTCTTCTGAAAACTATGCCAACTGCAACATACTTGAAGTAGTACTCTGCTTTTTTAGCACTTAATGTTTGCAAAATCAGGTAAAAATGTTACCCTAAACAAAGAGCGCCATCCACTCAACACCATACCCAAAAGAAAAAATAGTCACACCTATTATTAATCTTTTAAAAATTTATGCCTGAAAAACATGATAAGAATTGAAAACTGAAAAGAAGTTAACTGAATGTCTGCAGAACTGTATAAAACTTTTGACCATTAAATGCACTAAAAACACTCATGAACCTTGCCATCTTGAATTTGTAACAGCAGATCCTTCACTTTGTCTTCCACATGTTGAACCTACATGACAACAAACATATAATAAAGCAAACATTGAAGTTCCAAAGGTCCACATTCAAAATTACACATAATAGATATAGAATTTACCAAGTCATAACTAATTATGTATTACAAAAAACAGAAGCTCAAGTATGGACCTATTTAACACTTTTCTTAATTAAAAAATTGTCTATCCAAATAAGCATAAAAGCAATGCCCGTGCCATACAATTAAAACCAAATCCCTTTTTATGAAGTGGAAAATGTTAATCATAGCCAAAGCTCAATAAAAAGACCCAAAAATTGGATCAGCCATAAACCTCGAAAGAGCTACCTTCCTCAATATTAGCTTTCCCATCTCCACCCACTTGTTCTTTCCAGCCTGTGAGCATCCTATTTTGAAAACTCCAGGATCAAGCTTTTTCTGCATCATCAAATTTCAACAATCCAATTCAGTGTACTACAATTGCTTCATAACCACATACCATGGGAAAAAGGCATTTTAAGGGTGATACATGCCTAATTTCCACACATCCCAATTCTCACACTCAACTAAGAAGAAAAAAAAAATCAAATAACTAGAGGAGTTAGTTAATACTTAATGATCATGCATTTTAGCCTTGACAAAAGAATTGCACATAATAACCTGTAATTCATCTTTTGAGATGCTACCCTCTGGTGGCACAGCCAAGAAAAGCTGCACTTCAGGCGATCCTTCAACAGCATACTTCTTACCTTCGTCCGTAAGAACCCATGTTTCCCTCTTGATATCCTGCAATATTCAAACTACTGAGTAAACTCATATATAGCTTTCATAATCCATCCGACGATATAGACCAATATTCACCAAAGCCACTCAAAAGTTCAGCATACTCCATTGGACCCAATTGACTACCATTTTTCAGAGCAGCCCTTCTTCTAATCGTAATGGTAAATCTAACTTTAAAACTTCTAAGCCGCATTAGTGTATCCATTAATCTTACAACACAAAACCTAGAGTAACTATTATAAGTTAAATTACATGGATATAGATACACATATTTGACAGATAGATATTCGGATGATAGAAAGCAGTACCTGAACGTCAACGAAGCGGAAACCGTAAAGACTTTTGATGACATTGACAATATCAGAATGGTCGAGTCCCCTTTCTGCGGCGAAATGGCCGGAATCGGAGATTTCCTCGTGATTCTCTAAATACCCCAAAATCGCCTCCTCCGCCATGTATCTTGATTGTTCTCCCTCTCTCACACAGTCAGAGAATTTTCAATAGTATACTTTCAACGTACGCAGCCACCATGAGAGTCCAGTCTACTGGAAGAACTCAGCTAGGGCAATGAGTACGGGAGAGGGCTGGGCTCCAGTTTTGGGCTTTAGCAGTAAAATAAAGCGCTACGCCGCTACCTAAACGCTTCAGTGAATGAATGACAGAAAATATTAGGCGTCGTCCGGAATCAAAGAGATCAACTACCCAACGAGAGTGACTACAAAAATACCATTTTTAAATCTTGAATTTCATTTTTCTTTTGTTCTTTTTATTTTTTTATTTTTTGGATACAACAGACAAGAGGTGTTATTCACTAAAAAAAATTTTTTGGAGCGTAAAATTTTTTTATTCTCCCAACAAATGTGTCTTTGAAATATATATAGCGTAAAAATTTTTTTACATTCTCCCCAACAATATGTGTTCTTTGAAATATTATATATATACTTATTCATAATAGTATAATTAATATATATATCAGAATCCCGCTTAGCCCATCTCAATTAATGTTGTTCTATTGATTTTAAAATCTTGAATAAAATACTTCTGTTCCCAATGCTTTTTCCATATATATATATCAGAACCGCTTACCATCTCAATTAATTTGTTATTGATTTTAAATCTTGAATAAATATCTGTCCAATGCTTTTTCAATACATTTCAACATCTCATTTGCTATTTTCTCAAAAAATAAACCTTCCGAACGTATTTGTATCTTATGTCATATTCCATGTCCATGTTTATGTTTCGCTAAATTCATAAGTTCACTTTTATAATATTCAGATAGATTCATAAATTCACTTTTATAATATTCATTACATTCACTTTTATAATATTTATAAAAAATTTTGTTGAATTTTTTCCCTTTAAACCATTAAACATTTTATTTTATAAAATTTACACCTATTAGAAACTTCATATTACAAAAATATTCTATTGAATGCTCCTACTTATACAATTAAATCTTTTTTTCTAAAAAAAATTATACAATTAAATCAATTAAACATTTATTAAATAATTAAAAAATCTGATGAAATCAATCGTTTACATAGAAAACTTAAAAACCTTTAAAATTATTATAGCTACCTTACAAAGATACAATATTACAAAAATGTATAACTTTAATAACATGATAAGTCTCATACAAAATTTGAAATACTATAAAAAAAATAATAATTTTATGCATTCGGCTACAGCGGCCCATTACAATTTTTTCATTCCAAACATCTTAACATTGCAATAGAAAAGTCTAAAGATTGATGAGGTTCATTTCCTTTAATTCCAATGCATCAAAAATTGCAATTAGCCCTGAGTTTCTAAAGCCCAAAAGCATCAATCAGGCCGAATAGGCTGGCCACTAAATGCTCATTATCATTAAGTCAGAAATTCTACAAACAGATATAATGATCCTTGCATTTGAAGTTTCATCCATCACTTTCAGTTTTAACATGTAGCAGGAACAACAAATTCAACAAGAAACATTACACAACAAAAAAATTTTAATACAAATCTTCAAGACCCATATACAGATCTTTTATTTTGCAAATGAAAATTTTAGTATGCACTGGTAAGAAAGATCAACGATAAAGGCTCTCTGATCTCAGGTTCTCTGCAATCTCAGTTTCCCATCGGTCACCATTCTCAAGTAGCTTCTCTTTGTCATACAAAAGTTCCTGCAATGCATTTAAATTTTAAGCAATGATTTTTTTCTTCTTTAGCGAGTATAATTTAAGTATAAATCCAAGTAAGCTAATGATAGACAAAATGAAATTAACCTCATGAGTCTCTGTAGCAAATTCAAAGTTGGGTCCCTCAACAATTGCATCAACAGGACATGCCTCTTGGCAGAAGCCACAGTAGATGCATTTTGTCATGTCAATATCATACCTGTAGAATCATGACTTGTGCATATGAGAGAGAGAGAGAGAGAGAGAGAGAGAGAGAGAGAGAGGTCAAAAGAGAGAAAAGAGGAACAACTAAACTGCTCACCTAGTTGTCCTCCGGCTCCCATCTTCACGTTCCTCGGCCTCTATTGTGATTGCTTGTGCAGGACAGATCTGGAAAACAACCAAGCCTATAAAAAAGACAATACATATAACAAGACAGTATATAATGAAGGAAGATACAGCCTGTGGATTTTCAGAAGGAACTAATTCAAAAGATAGTTAACAATAAACAGACATCATATACATAACCTCTCACAATTTATAATAGGGTATAGCGGTCAACATTATTTTACCACAGCAGACAATTTAAATTAAAACTGCAATAAGTTTGAGCCCCATGGACCTAGAAATGCAAAAGAGGCGAACAGAAAATACAGCAAACACATGCACACAAAAGAAATATTACAGTAAACTAACTGCATAAAGCTTCAAGCATGTGAAACTGCACAAAATGTACATTACTACAATCTTCTATGTTTCCAAAGAAGAACAATGATAGGAATGACAGGTTAATCAAAGTTTGGGGTGATTCAACATAATTTCCCTTCATATTTAGCCTAGTTAACTTTGGACATTCCAATCTAGAGATTGCTTCAACTAGGATCTAGTGTAACAACAGCACAAATAGTAATTTGCATTCATTACTCCTGAAATCATTGTCTATCAGAATAAAATAGTCCAATTTAGAAAACAGGTACCATTGCATATCTTACTTTCTAGAAGCATTCCTTATCAGAATCGACAGAGTTTCATTTAAAGTAAGCATAATGGATTTTCTTTCTTACAGCTTCACAGAGTTTGCAGGCAATGCAACGTTCCTCTCCAGTTGGATATCGTCGGAGCGCATGCTCACCACGAAACCGGGGGCTTAAAGGACCCTTCTCAAATGGGTAATTGATCTGCACAATAGAAGGTATTGTTTGTATCACGATGCACCAATACCATGCCACAGTAGCAGGAAACCAGCAATGAAAACTTACAGTAACTTTCCTTTCGAAGAAATACTTCAACGTTAAGTTCAAACCACGAACCATTTCAGTAAGAAATAGTGTGTTTATGCTTCGCTCAAAAACTGCACGTACTCAAAAGCATTAGGAACTAACCCTTATATGAAATAGCAATGAAGTCAAACCAAATATAAAAATTATATTTCAGAGAAAAAGTTATTACCAGAACTCCAGTCCTTGGAGATCTCCTTTGCTAGCTGCTCTCTTTCTTCATCCTCTACAGTAAGCAAATGAGAAGAAAATACATGAGCCATAAATAACACAAATGTAGCATAAAATATTGTCATCAAACATGTGTTATCCAATGGTTGTTGTAAGTGATTTACTAGGGACTTTCTGTCTTCAGGCTAATCTCTAAGGAAGATCCTTCCAAAATCCTAAATTCAACACACTCTTCTTTATTTATGTGGACATTCCACAATAAAAAGCTAAAACAAGTATGTAATATGACGGATACAATGCAGAGTTGCTATTACTAATTTCATTTTAGGTGGGTTCTCAGATATATAACGTACGACTATGTTCCTTTGAGATGATTATACTTCTAGGAATAGTCCACAAGCATCTTTAGTACAACCTTCTACAATCCAAAAGTTCAATCAAATGCCTACCCCCAACCCAATAAATAAAAGGAAAAGCCCTTCAGAGAGAGAGAGAGATTTATAGCAGATCAAAACAAACCTTTCTTGGTAGAAAATGAGTGTGCACTAGATTGTAGTGCATGCTGGTGTGAGCCCGGAAATAGTTGTCCAGATACAAGCTAAACACACGAATCATATATTAACAATGATGAGGAAAGGAAATGCTTACAGCATTATGAAAGTAGACAAATGAGCTAAGAGAGAAAAAATTATCAATTAATATCATAATGAATTCATGAAAGTGGTAAAATGGAAGGATCTGCGATTGCAACATGGTGGCTGCATTAACACCATCAACTTCAAAAAGGAAGCGCAAAAAAGGTCAGACATTAAAATTACGCCAGTAACATTTGCTATATTTTAAAAGTTATTCCAAAGCATACGCTACTGAGCTATCCTTTCAGACCTTATAATGATAAATATCTTTATGCGCCATCACAAGCCACTGTTTGATTAACCTAACAATTACGTTAATGTTTTGCAAGTTAATTATGGAGCCTATGAAAAAGAATCAGTTTGAAGTATAAAGCATACACAGTTATGGTGACACGTAAAATTCCAGTAACAAGAAACAGTCATGTCCATACACATTTTACCTATTGGATATGCAGAGCCAGAAAATCAAACGCAAAATATAAATTGGATTTTAAAATCATGTCCGTACAAATCATGAGATTCTCTCCAATAGAAATTGGATTTTAAAATTCATTGGCAATCGGAGAGGATTTGAATCTACCAAACCAGCCATAACATTACACCACATATCAGTTTATAAATGCGAAACCAAAATTAAACAGAAAATTGAAAAAGGAACGGATACTAGCCTCGACTTGCAAATAGGAATCCGTTTAAGAATCAAACATTTATACAAATTTCCTCATTTCCTACATTCTGTTAGAAACTACACAAGAGCAAGGGAAATGAGAAAAGAAAGAAAGTTAGGGCAAAAAAAGTTCTTACAAGCCGACGAGCGCGAAGCGCGGAGATAGACTTGCGAGCTAAGATCGCAGCCATTAGAGTATTACCGACAGGAGTGAAGACGATTGGAAATTCCTCCTCTTCTTCTTCGCTGCGATTTGAAAGCAATAAGCAATTACTGAAACCACCTGACAAATTGGGGCATCCGAATTTGTTTTTCTTTTTCCTTTTTCTTTATTGAGTTGCGGTTAGCGGAGTCGGTTTATATATTTAACGGTGCGTTTTGGTCCTGTATAAAATGATGCGTTTTACATTGTAAGACGTCGTTTAATATATTTGCAAACCCCTTCAGTCTCAATTGTAGGGTTTAAGCGATGGTTCCCTCACAGTTGCCTATCTGGCTTTCGAAATCCCTTTGACTCAATCCTTCTACCTTTTGTGCACAGGAATGGCATCGTTTTGCAGATCAGCTTTAATGGCGGGCTCAAGGTCCATAGCGGCTCGGTCTAGAACCCTAACCCAAAAAACCTTAAACTCAAACTCCTTTTCCTCTCCTTTCTCTTCGCAATCAACGCGAGCCATCCCCAACGCTTCAAGGTATGATTTCCCACTTCCTAAAAGAAAACTGCTTCCAAATCCCTATATGTATCGCTTAAATTTTGAACACGAAAGTAGTCTTTTTTATGGAAATTAGCTTCGGAATTGGTAATTAAGTAATGATAATAGTTAAAGTACCATTTTTTTTTTTAATTTTGATGGTCGATTTTCGCTTCTGACTTCACTATATTTTTTTCTGTTTGCTTTATAGGGTTGTGTCGGTTTTGGGGAGCGTGGAGTCACTGATGCCGCTTCACAGCGCCATTGCGAGTGCTAGGCTCAAATCCAGCATCGCTGTTGATTCCTCTTGCTGGAGCTGGCTTTCTCAAGGTAATTTTATTTTACAATTTTGATTTCTGTCCTTTTATTTTTCTTTTCCATAATTATGCTTCCTTTCGCTTGTTCCATTGTTTGACTGCCATTATCTGAACTCAATTATAATTTTTAGTTTAGTCTCTTGCTTACACCTTAAATGTGTTATAGACATCAGAAACACATGATTCTCTGTTTATTTTCCTAATGTGCAATGGTTAACTAAAACTATTATATTATGTTTGCTTTTGAAAATTATAGCAAACAATTATTAGGGTATGCTGTTGAAAAGTAGAGTTAAGTGTTGCAAAACTAAAAGAAATGACTAAAAGAAAATGACTAATTACCCAGCAATGCATTTATTTTTTCAACTATGCTCTTTTTTTTCCCCAGAACGAGATTCAAGGGAATTGAATTGTTTTTTTATCTGTTTAATTGATGTCATGCATTAATGGATTTTGTATTTCTTAATCAACCAGCAATTGCGGTTGCTTGACTTATTTCTTCTACTACATGCAATAGGGCTTGCAACACCATTGTGACAGAATGCCGGATCAATGTTGGATGGTAAAGGACAACAAATCGTTTTTAATTCTGAAATTCAGTTTTTAGTGACACAGTGAATGCAAACTTGTTTAACCAAATGCTGTTGTCCTTTTCAATGTTATTATCTTTTCGTCAACCCCTTTCATGTATGCAGAGAAGAGTGTACTATGGAGTTTGCTGATTGCTAGTGGCTTTATGGGTTCTTGGATTTTTTTTTTTCTTTTCAAATTTACCATGTATTGAGATGTGAAGAAGTAATCCAGCTATATAATCCACTGCTTTAACTAATTAAATAAATTAAAGAGCATGTGTAGTGTTGACTGCTTTAGATGCAATAAAAAATGTACCTTTTCCTTCAAATTGTAACAAGATATTATTGTTTGTGTCTTTTAGTTTTAGTCATCAACAGATCATATTGCATATGTTAGAGATGTTTGAACTGTGGAGATGGAAGATTTCTGAAATTAGAATCATAGAATTTCAAAACTTAGAATATTTTAAAATTTAAGCTTCTTTACCAGTGTGGAAAATAAAGACTATGGTCTTTGAATTGCTGAACTGATTATAGATTTAGCAAGCAAATGAAGAATGAAGAGAGCGTCAAACATGAAATTTCTGTCTCTAAAAGCTTTTAGGTTAATTCAATTGTTTTTGTACTTGTGTTGCTCTTTAGCCCATTGACTCAATCTCTTGCAATTGAAATTTAAGGAATGACGTCCTACTTGCATAATTTCTAATCCAGTTTTGATCCTTTATCTTTCAATATTTGCCCTGGTGGCATAGTTATCAGATGCTATGCAAGCATTGTCCCTCTTAGAAACTACAAGTATTTATCCAATTGCTGCATGTCATGTCATTGATGTCATATTACCTGAATGCCAGATGGTATAGGCATGATCTGGAATCTGTCCATCCTCAGATGGAGTGTTCATTTCACATTCAAAAACATTATTGAGTTATTAGATGAAATTAGAAATAACGGCAATTTTAATAATTCTTGTTCCTTTTGTTGTGGACTATGCCAAGTTGTCATTTCCCCCTCTTAATTTGCCTGATTAGCTTATATTCTTCCTGTTTCACTTTCCTTTTTAAACATGTCTTAAGCTTTATGTAGTCAACCAAATTTCATAATTATTGTTCAAAATTTTCTCCAGTACTGATTTCTTCTCTTTTTTTTTTTTTTTTTCTTTCATTGGCATTTCCTAGATTTTGCAGTTCCTCGGTGACAAAGGTTTTGGTAATTTCAAACAAAATTGGCTTGCTTTTGAGCAGTCTTTCTTCCTCCTATGTTGGTTCTTCCGTCCTTTTGCCGTTTCATTTCTACTGATGGCTATTTGCATCGCATAAGTCATTGATTGGGTGGGGTCAATTTTTAGTATGGGTTGTGGGCATGCCTTCTTTTTTTGAGGTGGAAAGTCAAGGTCTTCCAAAAATGTGTTCATCAGCTTGCACACTCTGGTCTGTTGACAGTATTTATTTTCTTGGCTCTTCTTTTTATTTATTTTTCAAAGTTAATAGGCTTGACTCTTAACCTACACAGATCAACTGGAGAACATGAGAAGTTATTTGTATCGAATTGCTATATGTTGGAATCACTAGGATCTGTATTTTCTGGGCTAGGAAGCATGCATCTACCTATTATTTTATTAACTTTGCAAATTCATTAGTTATGCATTAGAATTGAACCAATGATCTATGAATATCGCACGACTTTCAGGATTTTTGGAGTTGGAGAAGGATTTTGATGATGTTTCTGATTGTATGTTTTGAGTTTTCAACTAATCATACCCTTCCGATTTTTGAAATGAAGTGCAAATATCATCATATTTTCAGAAAAAGCCTTTAACTTGTATGCTGTGTGTTGAAATCTGAAATCCACTTGCAAGGAATTCCGTTTTCAGGGATGTGAGATCTAATGTCCCAAGAAAGTTTGTAGGTTAATTTGCCTGCTATGTCCAACCCCAAAATGTTAATAGAATCGTAATCTTGTTATGGCTGTTAGAGACTTATTCCCAAGTCCCAATTGTTGCAAAACTGAATGGCTTTCTTATTTTCAAACAGAACCTGTCGTGTTTTATACTTTCAGCTGGCTTGATGGAAGAAAATTAGGCTTGAATCTTGCAGGGCCATCCTTTCCTGTTTTTCTTCAAGTGGTTATGAAAGATGTTGAAATTGGGGATTACTAGTTGACATTAAATCTTTCTGATTTTTGTCATTGTAGGCTAATGAAACATAGCACTCACTCATATGGTGAAAAGAGGGTGAATGGGTGGAGGTTATTAACCTTTCCCAATCAGGGGGTTTAGACCAAAGATTGTATGTTAGGATTTCTTTTGCAAAGGAATAGTTTATAACCATCAAAGATAATCAACTGCTTCCACCGTAAATTGCAGCAGAACTGTTCCCTTGCCTGCCAAATATTTTTTATATCTTACAAACCTTACCGGTGTTAACTTTTCATAAACCGCCACTTAAAAAGCTACTTTAAAAATTATTGTTGAATACAGCTTTCAATTTGTAAAATAAAATTATTGTTGAATACAGTTTTCAATTTGTAAAATTATTTAATCGAACACTTTAACTTATAATATTAGATTAATTAAGCACTTATTAAATAGTTGAAAAATATAAAATTATTGTTTTAAAGTTATTTTAACCATGTATGAAAATAATAGTTCGAATATAAAAGTCAAAACTCCAAAAACTATCTTTTTTTAAAGTATAAAATTATTTGTTATCAATATGAAAAATTCACAATATTATCAAAATTTATAAATTTAAACGTGTGACATGTCGTCCATAAAATTCTTGTAAAGTTCAAAACAAGCCCTTGGAGTTTTTCTTGGAAATTAGATTTAAGTTGAATTCTAGTTTCTAAGCTTTGCTAGGATTGGATTGATTGGTGAATGTTTTAACTTATATATTATATAGAATTCATTAACAATGTGTTGTTCATTCTTTTTCAAACACTATCCATTACAAAAGGAAGGTTGATGGATGCCAACCAAAAAATATCTCTATATCATATGTCATTGTCATGGATAATATAAAACAAGACTACGATGTAATATCATGGCAAACAAATTTTATAAAATATTCATCTAAAAAACTAATTTATAAAATATAATATAATAAATTTTTAGAAAGGCCAAATGTATGATTAATACCGAAATAATTAAAAAGTCATTTAATAAATATAACAATTTCATGTTTGTTATCAAACAAATTGTGGGTATTAATAAAATGTAAAACATTTCCACATGGAAAATACGATATACACGTTGAACTTATGTCATGGCAACGTATTAGGTGTCATATTATACTTATTTGCGTACACTTTAATAATGTTTTAGAAAATACACATTTTTTTTACACTATAAGGAACTAGTATAATTATTTTTTTTATAAAAATTATATATATCTTTTTTTTTAATCACGAAATATTCAGGATCATATCCGTTTAAAAATTAAATAACTTAATTATTCTCTATAGGAGATAAGTAAAGAGTTGGCTCATGACGATTTTACAAATATAAAATTATATATATTTGTGTACAAAAGAAAATATGAAAATTTGTGTTATTTCATTTAATATTTCGTAAAAGAATTATTAAGTAACATTATCCCATACAATTTTATATATTATATAATTTGTTAATATTGCTAGACAACAATTTTGTAACAATTAACAAATAATTCCTAATACAATGTTGTTATTTTCATATTTAATATTTCCGTTAAAAAGAATTATATTAAGTTAAGAACATATCCCATTACAATTTTATTATTATATTATTTAATTGTAATATTGCTAGACAACCATTTTGTAAACAATTAACAAATAATTTCCTAATTACAATTTGATATATATATATATATATATATATATATATAATATTTCATTTGAAGATGATTTTATATATATTTCATTTGAAGATGAATTTTAATTAAATTAATTAATACGAATCTAAACATATTATAATTCAACTCTCAATATCTTTTTTTCTTCCTTTCTTCTAATGACTTAAATTGAGTGGTACACCAAAATATTTAGATACGTTAAATTTGAAATTTATTGTTTCATACCTTATTCATCCATTCATGATAAGTCCAGTTTACCCGTTTAGGGAACATCATAACTTTTAAGTATAAAAATTTCAAATTTCACGTTTATACTTAAAATAAGAATTTTTTGAATTTTCATATTTAGATTTTTTATTTTCCTGACTTTAAAAGGAAAGTTACTCCAACTTGAATATTAAAAAAAAAAAATTCATAAAAATGGCTTGTATAATTTAACGGGATATTTAATTATAATTTCAAATTTTAACTAAAACTTTATTATAGTTATGGCACAGGTGGCTCGTTCATTTACTAAAGTTATTTAATAAAATTTTTCTTCTATTCTTCAAAAAAAAAAAAAAAAGAAAAAAAGAGTTTATTTAGAAAGTTGATAAATATTCAAACAAGAAAAGGGTAATTTATTAATCCAATTTTAAGTTAAATGTTTTCAAATTATTAAATTAAAAATTATACAAATAAATAAAAATTAATACTCATTCATGATTTGACCTGTATAAGATTGACAATAAATTATTCTAAAAAAAGATGTTGATCAATAAAGTAGATGTATTAGATCTATTCATCTAGTAAAAAACATTACCATGTGAAATTATTTGAAACCTTATCAAATAAAATATTTCTTTTTCTTTTTTTTTTTTTTTTTGAAAAATAAAATATATCATTTCGTTTTTTTTAAAGGAGTATATTCCATTTTGTAATTGAAATTTTTTTTTTTTTTTTTTTTGAGAAAAAAAATATATCATTCTTTTTTTTTAAAAGGAGTATTCCATTTGTAATTGAACTTTAATCATTGAATTATATCCATAAAATAAAGAGCAAACACAACCTTTTTAAATAAACTTATAAGAAAAAACCTAACCTATTTAACAACCATAACCTAATTAAAATCTAATTTTCTTGTACCTAAGTATAGCATTAAAGAAAAAAAAAAATTGTCGGTTAAAGAAAGACTAAATGTCCTTTTCAATTCAATCGGCCTTGTGAGTTGTGAACTTGCAGATTTTTTCTTTCTTCCTCGTATAAGATTTCAAGAATATCAAAATATAGTCATCCCCTTCTCGAATGTAACATTACCCTTGGAAAACAAACTATAAACGATCACCCAATTATTGCAACTTGAATTCTTACTTAAATTTGATCAAATCAAGGACAACCCAGTTTTGTTTCTTCAACTTGAAGAACTTTATTTTTTTTAAAAAAAAAAGAGATTTCCTACGGATCAGATAGAATTAAGTTTGTGGGTTTGGGTTGTCCACTCGTCCTCTTGTTCTTGATCATTTTTTTTTCCTAAGAAAAATCAAAATCACTCTTCATTATTTGAATTAGACACAAGTTACACAACCTTCATCAGGGACCTCAAATTCAATGGTAAGGGATGCCCGAAGGCCAAGGAAACGCACTAAGTGTGAGTTTTTATGGGTAATAAAATGATGCGATCTTGTTTGTTTCTGTTACATTACACACTCAAAAGAAAAGGAGACAGCCTTTTCAGTAATTAAACGCTCAAAAGGAAAAAAAAAAAGATAGAGAGAGCATTGTCTATACTTTTATGTGACACTCATAATTTGTCTTCTATTGCCACAATTTCATTGGGATATGTGAGGATTTGCTTTTGTTCTATAATATCAATCAGAGGTAGGTTTTAGTCTTCGGTGTATCTGTAACTGTAAATGGAATTGCAGCTTTATTTTTTATGCTTTAATTGGGTGTAGATTTCTTTGTGATTAATTTTTCATTGCAATTAAACAATTAATATGTACTATTCATTTGCTTATCCTGGTTTCTTTTTAGATTTTCTGTATTGAGTAGTTGAGTTTGGTTGATCCTTTCTTTCACTTCAAATTATGAGTTAATCAGTTTGACAAGACACAAGTTTTGATTTTTCCTTTTTTTTTTTTTTAATTTTTGTTTTTATTTTATTATTCCTATCAGGAGGGACTGTCATTTATTGGGTATCAACGTTTAGATATTTGTACTTTTCTCTAGTTTGTTTCTCATCGTCTTATCACTTTATCTTTTTGTTTCTGCTTCTGCTATCATTGCTGTTTCCTTCTTGGCTCTCCCTTTCTAAACCTGTTTCCTGTTAATTGTTCTTTTCACACCCTTTTTCTTTAATTCTCCCTCACCTTGTTAGTTGCATGCCTCTCTCTCTTTTTGCTGGGATTTCTTTCAAAAATTTCAATTGGCTTTTAAGTGAAACAGTATATATATTTTCGTATTTCAATGTAGATTACTTAGCTTGATTAAATCATATAGGGTAGTTAGATTGAATCTTCTCTATTTTTCCATGTAGTTTGCTTTGTTCACCTCCATTGTTTAAAGCAGTTGGATTGAATACTTTCAGGCTCAATTCTTTATCTTCTTCTTGTTCTTTTCTCTTCCTGTGTGTAAGTAGCAGGTTTGTGGCTTCTGGTTCCTTGTACTTACAATGACCAGCTTATTTTCTTGACATGTTGTCAATTCACTTTGTTAACATGGATGCAGGTTATTTTCTCTCACGAGAGTTTTTCCAAAATAGATTTTGCCAAGTCTAGTGCGAATCAAAGTAGAAGAATTTAATTGAGGAGGAAGATAATATCTTTCTAGCCATGGAGAATTCCCATAGAATATCTAATGGAAATGGAAATGGGGTGTTGGATAATGGACATACAAAACACACTCCTTATCAACCTAGCATTAAGGTATCATTACCGTGGCTTGATTTGAGAGTATTTTACGTTCGTGTTAGCAAATGTGAGATTGATGACTCAACTCCCCAGTTCCTTACAGTAACCCACATTCCATTACATCCTGATACTGTTATAGAAGTTAATGGTATTCGAATTTCTGTCAACTACGATGGGCCAGCGATCCTTCTCAGAAGAGATAGGTTGGATAGGAAATCAGAAGAAGCTACATTTGTTAGCACCGATAGTATAAGGATTAGTGGGGGTGTGAGGTTTGAGGTTTTTGATAAGAATGTTTTCGTGTTATCCGGAGTACTTGAATTGTGTTATAACAATGGTATTATGGGGGAATCAAGAAGTCATACTCAGAAGTGGAGCATGAATTGTGAATCAGAAGTGACTGTAAGCGCTAGCTTCCTGAAGGCAAAACAATATGCCAGTCCAGAATCAGCTTCACCTACAGTTGAGGTGTATGTTGCAGGATCCTTTTTAGGCACTCCAATTATCTTAACTAAGACTTTGCAGTTCAATTCTCGGAAAAAGCTGATGAGAAAAGGCCTATTAGATTCTATACCAGAATATGAGGTAACTGAAGGTCCAGACTATGACCCTTCCAGGATTCCTTTACAGGTATGTCTTGATTCAGTAATGAAATTGCAGGGAAAATTCACTCTTTTGTATCTGGGATGCTTTGTTCTTGTTTTCTTTATTAAAACACTGACCTTAAATGCGGTTAATCTCAATTCCATATAGCAAACCTAAAATAACTAGTTCAACTGATATGGTTTCTGGAACATGTTTTTATGCAATGTTATCCTTTATCTTTTATTTCGTATTGTTCACATTATCCATTGCAATTTGACAGAGCAGCATGATAAACGCATTTCGGTTACATTTCCTACAAAATGAAATTCTATTTTTTGTTATATTCTATTTTTTTACGTGTTGCACGTGTGCAATGAATTGCTCAGGATGTTCATTACTACTTTATGATTGAATCTCTGTGGAGGACTATATAGCAGAAACTGTTCAAAATAATTTAAAGAATATTTTTGACAACATGGTTTGATTATATACTATACCACGCAAGTGTTGCACTGAGCTTTGAATTTTCGCATAAGGTGACAAGTATAATGCAAAGATGTACTACTTTGTAATAAAGTGTGTGTAAATTGAAAAATGCTCCTGTAAGTGATGGAGCCTGCTAAAGTAACCCACAAGGTTGTCCTTTTACTCGAGCGGTTTCTTGATCAGCTAGAACACTAAGCAAAAATGAGTGAGAAAGAGCCAAACGTTTCAACGAATACTCCATTGAAATTGTCATTTAGTTTGTGACTATGCCGTTTTGGTTGTCGTTCAGACTTAGACTTCAGAGCTTTAATCTAATTTTTAAATAATGCAGATGTCAGAATACTCAAATCACAAGTCAGAAAATGAAGAATACAGTCACTTTGGAACAGGATATTTAGAAGGTGAAGACGGCGAACTTTCATGGTTCAATGCTGGTGTGAGGGTAGGTGTTGGTATTGGCCTAAGCATTTGCATTGGAATTGGAATTGGTGTGGGGTTGCTAGTTCAAACTTACCAAGGCACCGCCCGCAACTTTAGAAGGCGGCTACTCTAACTAAAGATTGCCCTGATTGTGAATAATCTCATCACATAATTGCATCTGAGCGCAGGCAATGTATAAATTCTAGTTGTTGCATCTGTAATAAAAGATTGATTAAGCCTGTTAAATGTACTGCACCGTCTCCGCAGCATTTTTCCACCCGATACAGACCCTGTATTTTTAGTTACTATAACCTGCTGTTGCTTCTAAGACGGTGGAGTTCTGGTTTTTCTTTTTGCAAGGGTGTTAATAGCAATGAAATTTCTGTCACATAAAATAGATTTGGATCTCTCGTTAATTTTTTCAAGTTAATATACCTATGTTTACATGAACACATTGCATGGCTTGCTTGATCAATGTTTTAGTTATGGTTTAGTGTTACTACTGTTGTTTTTATATGTATCATTCAGCACCAAGAACATTGTAAATGCCACCAAAACCAAGAAATTGATCCTAAGATCATCAAAATGGAGTCTAGTGCGCTTCAAATCCACTAGACCAAAGTTACTAAACTATCTTGGATATGCACAAGATAGAATCGATGTGGCTTCAAATCCACACAATTAAATCTAAATTGAGAACAGGGATTGATTTGGATGTCGTTTCTTAAATAATAAATCGAGTGTGCAATCCTTATAGATGGAGTACAATGGAATCACTGGAATCGCTTAAGGATTTTACAGGCACATGTAGGATTTAACTTACCCCAATGGACTCATATAGAACAAACATGGTCCAGCACCAAAGAAAAAAAAATAATAATAGTAGTCCAATTGTAGTGAGATCATCTCTAATGTGCAAGTTTGAACCTGCTAGAACATGTAATAGTCGAAATTGCATAGAAATATCTCTAAAAAATGAGAGAATTTGAACCTACTAGAAAATATACTGTGATTCTGATAAGCATGCAGTTGTCATTCTCAAGTTGACAGATTAATTCCGATACACAAGCAACAAAGTTAAGTCTTAAAAGTTAATTAGAAAAAAAAAAAAAAAAAGTTATGCCTAACGACCATATATAGTGGCAATCTTCTATGTACAGCCACGTCACGATTTCCAGTCACAAATCAAAGCAATGCATCAAGAATAAATTTTGACATGCTCTTTAAAAAAAAAAAAGGGATTCCCTTCTAATTGAAACCTAGAATGAAATATGTACATCACATGCCATAGCAAAAACCATGCAATGAAGGCCACCATCATTTTTCAAAAACCATGGGTATTGCCCCAAAATGAAGAGTATAAGAAATGAAGAGAAAGCATATAGTTTTCTCCTGATGCAGATTCGTGGTATATATACAGAGTAAACTATGCGATAATACAAACATCAGAGCATTATACACAATATTGACAAAAATCTAGAATTCAGAAGCAGAGGCTACAGTTCTCAACAAAAAACTGTCCATCTCTCTATCAAAGGTTCCCTTGTGGTGGTTGCATTGCACGGCGGAACCAAGTGTTGAATGCACAGACCAAATGAGGGCAATCTTCAACATTTCGAGTTGAGAAGCTGAGGCACTGCTGCAACAACTCTTGTGCATCTGACATTGGCAGCGTAGAGATAATTCTTAGGAATGTTTCTTCCAGCTCTATGTACAGTGATTTATGACTAGGCGACATCGGTGACACGTTGTCTTTGCATACAATCAGAACAGGAAGCCAGTCCTTTACAAGCTTCATCCTCACCTGCAAGAAAGTACTCCAACTTAACCATCTACTATAGTAACTATGTTGGATGATACAAGGAAATACAATTTATTGAAGGTCCAAGCCGAAGTGTCAAACATAGGTTCCAGTAAGTCAAGTTCTGTAATGGGGATGTTCTGCATGTTAATTCATTTTATGCATTTATATTCTTGGAGTTTTAACAGTAGACACCCCAGCAGATTGCAAAATGCTGGTGCAATGTGGCATCATAAAAAGGAAAGCAGCCAGATTTATCACATTGATTTACATAAAGGCTCAAGTTAGTGCTGTACTTTAAGCAAAAGGGTAGAAATTGCGTTACATAAAGGCTCACATGTAATTATATATATACTTCTTTTTCCAAGCAAGAGGAGGTAAAATTTACTAGAAGTGGGAACTCCGAGAATCTGTATTTGCAAAGTTGAACTTGGAGGATTTTTCTGAAGAATGTACTCGCTCTATTCAAGAAGAATTCCTTAAAAGTCTCCTGCAGTGCTCAACATATTTCATCTTGAATTCTTCAGTTTAAGATTTCTTCACCTTTCCATCCCCAGATCTTCATCCTTGATATTTTCATATCTTATTCAGCATCATAGTTGTATGTCAAACTAAGCAATAATTTTATTCGATTAAATGATTCTATACCTCCAAGTGTCTCAATACCACAACAATACATGACATTTATATTCGTTCCTGGTTTGGTTCTTTCGTTAAACAGATAATGACTTGGTTTTGAAATTTATCCATACAGAACCATGTACACCCTAACACAATCCAAAACTCTATTAGTTACCACCATCGCTACAAAGTTTTTCTAGTCATTATATAGGTAATAAGTTATAAAAAAGAAACAAATTCCTTATTCTGTCACTTTGTTCCATAAAATATAGAAGGATGCAATCTTCATGAATCAAACATTCGCATGAGTTCTTTATATTTGAACAAAAGCATGAGCCTGCCTCAGCTATCTCAACCTTCAGTTAAGCAATATAATATAGCCATTGTGACATTGTAAAAAGTACAGAAAACATGAAACAACCTCCCTAAAAGCACTAAACCTTGATTATAATCAAAATAGGACATTAAGGGTGAAAGGTTAGGCAAGTATACTTCAACATAAGAGATACATATACAAATACCCCCCCCAACATTAAAAGATCATTATAAATGAAAGCAGTGTTTCCTTCCCTTCACAGCAATTTCAATTCTATAATTCTCAATTATTAAAGCTGCAAAGTTTGAACTAATATGCAAATAAGTGGCAGATTGCAATGCAAAGCGAAAAGCATACCTGTCTAGCAGCCAAAATGGTCCCAGCAGCAACCGCATTGGCAAGCTTCAATGTACAACGAAGCACAACAGCAGGAAGACCCGGCACAATATTCCTCCATGCATCATCACGAAACGCACGCTGCAAATCAGCTGTGAAAGCCGACTGCTCACTCCACTCCTTCACCGCACTATCCGCCACCTTCAGCTCAATCATCCTCTCCACCAGCCACAGCAAATGCTTCCCATTAGTCAAGGCCGTGTGCAGATTCAATCTCTGTATTGCCTCCGTCTCATTGTGATCCCCTCTAAAATCAGGACTTGAGTACTCCTCAAGCGATTCCTTCACAATCTTCAAACTCTCCTCAAAAGCTCTCTCCAGAACTCTCCTAGCGGACTCTCTCGACGAAAATTCCCTCAACAATTTAGCCACAAATGCCTTCACGAAAGCCATGTTTGGATGGTTATGAATTGCAGCTAATATCAATCCGTGAAGCATTTCCTCGCACGAATCATCCTTCCCCGGTGAAGTCCTAGCTAAAAGCTCTTGAGATTCCTCTTCACGCAAAAAAGGAATCAAGCTGAGCACACGTTTCTCCTCTTCTTCGCTCCACGGGACCGCTTCCAGGAATTTAACACAATTCTTCACGCAATCTTCGAATAACAACTCTAACGCCACAGGTAGAATATCAAGAGCCGTGGATGCAGAGTTTATTACGGTGGTAAAATCGTCGGTGTAAAGGAGTTCAAGCACGGTTAAATGAACATCCATGGAGCCCTGAGTAGGCTGAACCCCGAATTTGAGAGAGATCAAACTCTTGCCATTGGAATTTGGATAATTGGATTCAATGGCGGAAGAGTTGGGTTGCCAGCGATCAGATAATAGGGCAGAGAAATACTTCGCACGACGGAGGACTTGAGAATGAAGGTAGATCTGGACGTCAGATTGTTCACCGACGGAGGAAAAGCAACCATCACCATCTGTAAAGGGGGCTGTAGCGTCAAGGAAAAGGCGAAGGATGACATCAGCGGTGGTGGGGTCGTTGAACGAGGTGTCGGCGTTGGTGGTGGTAAATGCGTACGATGAATATGAAGTGGAGGATGGAAAGAGAGGATGAGAGGATGTGCGACGGAGCTTCTGGGAGGTTTCTGTGATGGTTTTGTCGGAGAAGGAATCGATGAGAGCTGCGGTGGAGGAGAGGCGCGTGGTGGTGGCGGAGGCGTTGGCGGAGGATAAATAGCGGTGATGTAACACGCGCTGTCGCTTCTTCGGATTTGATGGCATCATCTGATAAGAGGTTTTCGGAGGTATTTCGGGATCAAGATAGAGCGGAGACGATAAGTCACGAGAAGTTTTAAAGTTGATATCAGTAAAAACGTGGCTGCGTGTCTCGGGCGAGTATATTGTTTTGTATAATTAGCGAGTAGGGAAACTTAATAATATTTCAACGGTAGTGCTAATCTGGGAACGGCTTCACTGTCTTCGGTATGGTATGGGCTCTGTTAACAAATTTCGTCGAAACGAATCAATCCCTTTATTTATTATGCAAATTAAAAGTGAGAGAATTTTTTCCCCCAAAATAAGAAATATAATTTCTTTATATTTATAAAATGACTATAAATATTAAAATAATAAATAAATATTCATTTAAAATGGTCAATATTTAGATTTTATATAAATCAAAACATACAAATTATTTACATCGTATCGTTTTATTAATATGTCATTTAGTTATTTACAAATAAACATACCATTTAGTTTTTTAAATTTATATAGCAGAATTAAACACTAAATAACATCTATAAAAAAAAATGTAAATATAAATTTAAAACTTGAGAGAGTATGAATATAAATCAAAATTTGAAAATTCACGAGATCGTGACTTCTCCAACTATCAAAATTATCTCCTATATTTCAATCAAAAACAAAGTTTAATTTAACCTCTAAATTGTGAATAATGATTAAAAATCTATATTTAATCTTTAAGTCATTTAATGAGTCAACTTATAATAAAAGATGCAAATAACAAATTATTAGTATTAAAATTAATAAAAGAGCATGAATTTCACAACATAACTAAAGTGATTAAACCATAAGTTTATTATATATGTGATTTGCAGAATTTGTATCAACTCTCTCTCTCTCATTTGATTTGTATCAAAATCTGATATCTCTCTCCTATGTGATCTCTATTGATCACCCGTTATACGCTCAATCTCATATTTCTCTATTAGCTTTTCTTTTTTCTTCCATCTCTCCACTATTTGCTTCTTGGTTTCTTTATTGATTAGGATTTTATTTTCTAATTCAAACTTAAATTCACAAGAAATGAAATAAAGGGAGCTTGACAATTCTAGAGAGAGTAAAAAAGTTGATTATGGTGATGGGAATAGACATCACATTATAATTTTAATCAAGTTCTGCGAAACTTATAATTTTGAGAAAAAATAATTATCAGAAGAAAAAGATAAAGAGACATCATATATAGAAATAACAATAAGAAAACTGCGAAACTTATGGTTTTGAAAAAAAATAATTATCATAAACAAACATCACAAACAAAAATAATAATAAAAAAAGCAATCTACAAAACACTAATTGTCAGCAACATACCAACTTCTGTAATCGTCAATGGAGATTTTAGTCTCCATTTATTGAAAGATTATGACTTTCTATTTTTTGTATAAAAATTCACAATATTTAACACTTCTAAATTTATAATTTAATTTTTTTTTATATAGATTGGTGAACTTTTTTGTATAATATAATTTTCATTAATAATCTATTTCATAAAAATAATTTTTATTTAATTAAAGATGTAACATTTTGAATTACGATAAAATATTTAAAGTTTATCTATTTATTAATATAAATTATTTTAAAAATTCAAGATTTTATAATGAATAATTTATTATTAATACAAATAGGGATAGAAGAGGAGGATATTTTACATACTTGTTTCGATTTATTTAATGAGAGTGATTATAAATAAGTTTGAAATTAATATAAAAAGTAAAATTACGTGATTGTAGGTATAAATCTTTCAATACCGCTATCCATTGTATCACAGTAGTTTAGTCGGATGTAGCCAGTAATTGTTTGCACGATGTTAGTAAAAAATATATACATTTTAAATAAGTTTGATTTTTGAATTTTAAAATTTATAAATGTTATTAAGGGGCATCCACCCTGCTTCCATCCGCAAGTGTAAGTAAACCTCAACCAATAACTGGAGGAAATCCCACCGTAAGCATAATAAAGATGCCGCACCAAAACCCTGCTCTTTGTTCTTATTAGTATAATTTGATAGGATAAGTTTTCCAGATTTCGGATTGGGATGGGTCCAGACTCAGACAGCGGAGGATGGACTTAGTGCAGTGGCCAATTGGAGTTGATATAGAAAAAATCAAAATCAGATCGAATATAAAATCAGTTTTGAAAAAACCAAACTGGACCTGATCTTAACGGTTCAATCAACAGTTAGTTTTCCGGTTTCCGATTTATTTTTTTATCGGATCTTTCCTGCTCATAAAATAAAAGTGACACTAGACGCATACTCCATGTTTATCATTAAAGCATTTGAAGTTAAAACGGTCTTGGGTCTGTTTTGGGCTCGTCATAGTATTGGGCTTGGGTTGATCATGAACCCAAACTTGATGTACTCCAGAGCCATACACAATCATTGGGCCCATACTATAGAAAACCTACATTACATTATAAACAAAGTTATGCTACATTTATGCATTTTTTAAACGGAGTGTCGTTGAATGGGATAGTTCTCCTCTAAGTTCCATTTATTATCTTTCAAATGTATAAAGAATTTCTTATAAATACCAATGTATTAAAATTATTACATAATCATGGCCTATCAAATGCGGTGTCTCTTGGATGGTTGATGGTAATGATGATAAAAAGACCGAGGGCCAAGTGGGTGTCTTTCGGGGAAATATCATCTTCTACATGCTACGATACGCTAACCTATTGTGCAGAAAACCAGAAACAATGCCATAACTCAAGGAGGCTCATCATTTTCTAGTTGGAACGAAATTAAGGTTAAGTCATTTTTCATTAATAGTATTTGATAATTATGTGATATATTAGTTCATTTTTTAATTGAGAATAATTTCAATGGTGTGAACTTATGACTTATATGAAAATTTTATTTTACTTCTGTGTTTTATCCCTTTTATAAATAAGTGCACTTCTGTTATTAAATTATTAGAATTAACACATTGATTCTCCGTAATCTTATATTTTGCACCGACGGTGATATAAAAACTAAAATTGCTAAAATTTACGTAATTTTTACTATAATTTCGTCCCTTTATTAGTCAGAATATTTCTTTTAAAATCAGTTAATATTTTGTAAATTCAAAATTCAAATGTGCAATTTTTCAATTTTTTTCGCATTTAAAATTGATGGAAACCGGTTAGGTTAAATTTGATTGATATATATATATATAGTGTTTTTTTTTTTATTTTCTCCAGCACCAAGTTGATTTTAAGATTTAGAATGTGTTTGGCAACAATTTTTAAGCAATTTTTTTTTAAACGCTACTGTTTTACAGTATTTGGCAACATAATGTTTGAATTAGCTTTTAGAGATTAAGATAGCATTTCTTGAAAAGTTAATTCATATAACGTGAAAAGTTAACTCATCTAACGTTTAACTTTTAGCGTTTTACAAAAAAACAGCTAACAGCTAGTAAAACGGTTAATTTTGCCGGAGATATCTTAATAATACCGTGACGTCAAAGTAAGAAATTCATAATAATAATAATAACTTAAAGACATTGAGTGCATAAAAAAGACGTACCTGCCAATATAATATATTATATGTATAAATTAGAAATTGTAATGTCTCCCATGTTGAAGCAATTCATAGCTAGCTGCAGGGCCTTCGAGACTGTAACCATATAATATAGTCCCTCAATCGATGGCATAGTGGCAAATTAACAGTTTGGCTAATACTAATAGGTTAGAATCCCTCTTGCTTCAATTTGTTATTTATTTGTCTCAATCAACTTCCAAATGCTTAACCTCTCCAATTATGAATAGATTAACCACTTTTCTAGTTTCAAACTTTTAACATATCCGTTATAAACCTTGAAAGAAGATTGCTTTAATCACGTTCAAATGTCTTTTTCCGTCTTGGTCAAATAGGTGAAGCAATAGGAAAACTACTAAAAAAGTCGCTAAATATATAAATTCGTTGAACTACTTTCTGACAGAAATCACTCGGCATCTTAATTTTTTACTCTTCCGGCATCTTAATTTTTTACGTTGAATTTATTGTGTGCCGTAAAATTATAAATTATACTAACATTACATACCTCTCCATATTTATAATAATAAGTTTTTTTGATATTTTTGAATTTTATATACAATCTATTGATTTGATATATAGTTGTTATAATTTTTAAAATAATAATTTTAACATGTTTTAACTATTTAATAAATATTTAATTAATCTAACTCTACAAATTGAATGTTTAATATAAAAAATTTTGCTAAATTGAAATATTCAATAGACACAATTTTATAATTTAAAGTCTTTAATTGATCAAACTACATATTGAGAGTATTATAAAAAATTTTTTATAATAAAATACAAGCGTGAATTTATACATTTAGCCTACTAAATAACAAGCTTGAATCTTAACAAGATCAATTTAAGAAAATATATATATTAAAAATAATATTCATGCATTAAAATAAAAAAATTTCAATGATTCAATTATATCTCCATTTTTATTTTTAGTTTTAATCCACATATTTCATTTTTAATAAACATACGGCTTATTTTTATTGGATGATAATATTTTTTAAGTTCGATATGAAATATTCCTAAAAAAAAAAAAACAATTCAATATGAAATAAACACAAACACTCAAGCCTTCAAGATCCTACAATAAACTTTTTCTTTTTATGCATAATTTGGATAATTCATTTTAAAATATTTCATTTGTAACTTCTTTTTCTATGTTACATTACATCTTCTAACAATTTTTTTTTTTTTTTTTTTTTTTTTTTTGAAAATAAACACAAAACTTCAAGCCTTCCAATGATCCTACAATAAAAACTTTTCTTTTTATGCATTTAATCCTTGATAATTCAATTTAAAAATATTTCTCATTTTGTAAACTTCTTTTCTTAATAGTTACAAATTACATCTCTCTAACAATTTTTTTTTTTTTTTTTATTTTTTTCAGAAAAATGAAATGTCGAAAAGAAGGGACATTTTTTTTTTTTTTTTTTTTTTTTTTCAGAAAATGAATGTCGAAGAGGGACCATGTTTCGAATGGCACTCTAAAAACTAAAACTGAACGTCACAAGCAATAATAAATGAAAAAATAAAAAATAAAAACAAAATCCGAATCCGAACATCATAGTAAGGGAGGCTGACCCACAAGAAGGATTTGTTTGGCATTGAAATTTGATATTACAGACGCTCCTTTCTGAATTGTATTAATACGTCCCATAAACTCACGATTTTTTTCATTAACAATTAAATGTTTGCAATGGCCCCACACTCCTTGTTCAAATGCCAATATGATATGCAATTCATTAAATAAAACGATTTTAAGCTTGAAAAACGAAAATTGACAAATTCTACAAATTTTTTTTCTCGTTAAGCATATGGTTAAAAATACTTTTTGTTTTAACAAAAAATATTATTTTTTATTAATTTAATCTATAAACAACCTAATAAATTAGATTTAGATCGGTCCATCTTGTAAATTTTAGGTACATATTATCATTATTCACCGTATTAAATAAACTTGATTGTAGGTATTTACAGATACTATATCTCATTACTAATAAAAAAATATTTTAAATGAATTTAATTAAAATTAGTCAAAAGAGTTTGAATGTGCGTATAATTTAAAATTCAAAGATACTCGCTCAGCTTCCATCATTATGTTTACATAAATGCTTTTTTTTATTATTTCAAATTATAAATTTCTAGTTTACATGAGTAATTTGTTATATCTTAAGGGGCTGGATATATATAACATAATTGAAATATTAATTAGTTCAATGTCCACAAAATAAAGGATATTTATCATGCTTTTCTTCCTAATTTTTTAAAATTTGATTTCAATTTCGTGGATTTTAGCTTGAAATACTGATTACGCATCAACAATGGTATCATGGTACAGCATCATCTATAGATAAATCACTAAAATTAAAAAAGATCAAATGATATTTAAAAGGTCTCAACTAGATGTGTAATTTTTCAAATTAAATTAAATTGAAATATTCAATAAATCAAAATAAAAATTGAAGATATAATTTTTTTTATATAAAATTTAGGTGTTAATTTACATATTTGGCATATATAACAATCCACCTATTCAAATGGGATATGTATATAACTTTCTATAATGCAGATAAAACCACATTAAACATTTATTAAGCAATCATATAAATGATCCCTTTGAGAGGAACTTGACAAGGGCATTAGGTGGCAAGTTACATTTGATATTAACCTGCAACCAGGTTAAGACAATTGACATGTGGGAGTAGTTCAAACTTTTATGACAATTACTAACTTAATTGTGCTCTAAGTAAGTGTATTAATTTTTTTTTGTGTAAATTACCGGTATTCGGATCTTATTATCAATGACTGTCTAATTTAGCTCGGGATTACTCATAGTTAATGCTCTTCATCCCTTCCTATAGGTGCGTTTATTGAAAATCAAATTCAAAAACTTTTTCTACATATTCGGCCTGCATTGCAATAAGTGTTTTAATTTAATCTAATTGCAATCCGACATATATGGTCAATGGAAAGGAACTTGGAAACAAAAGAACTGTCTTTTTTTTTTTTTTTTTTTAATCAAATGTAATAATGATTAATTTTTTGAAGATAGGGAGTTGTTTTATCTATTTACATTTTATGATATCAATTTAAAAAAAATATTCTAAGTTTTGGTTCTAGAGTTGTGCCTTAAGATTTATCAAGATATATGTGTTGTCGGTCCTTATAATTTCTTATTAGAGTTATGAAATAACCAATATCTCTCTCATTATAAGATAGGAAGATAAATAAATAAATAGCACAAACTTTAAACATTGTTTTTTTCTTTAAAAAAAAAATTAGAACAGTCGACCGCTTATTTAAGATAACTGAGTCATTTTCAATTAAATCAATTATATTAGGTCAGTAATTTAAATTACTTTTTAATGCAAGTAATTGGGGATTAATTAAAAAAATATTGCAAAATAGAATAACAAAAGTTTTATTATTCGCGGGCTTGATACATCCTTTATGCGAATATATAATCATATATTAAAACTAGTTCTATCGAAGAACGTGGAGTTAGGAGGTACAAAAGTTTTTTTTTTTTTAAAAAAAAAAAGACATTCAAGTCTTTTTTTTAGAAATTATATTTTTATCTCTATATTTTCACACAATTAATTATTTTGTCTTTATATTTTAAAAATTACATTATTTTATCCATGTAGTTTAAATCTCTTAAACGAATTTATCTTTCCGTCCATTATTTGAGATTTAAGTGGTTAAATACTAGTGTAATTATAGGATTAACCCAATATACATATATGAACTAAAAAGAGAAAATTACACTTTTGGCTATAGATTTTACATAATTAACTACTTTATCATTGTAATTTGGAACTATTAACAAATCTTAAATAATAGATGAAAGGATATTATTCAATGGGAACAAACTACATGAATAAAATAGTATAATTTTTAAAATGTAAGAGCAAAATAATTAATCATGTGAAACTATAATGATAAAATCGTAGTTTTTCCTTTTCATATTCTAATATCTCTGTTCTATAATACTTGTTATATTTACAATTCAAGAAGTAATAAATTCATTTTTTCTATATTTACCTTTTATATGTGACCAATAATTACTAATTTAATTTAATAGTTTTTTAAAAAATGATATTAAATAAAGATAACACAGTCAATTTACTCAATAATTTATTATAATTTATACAAAAATTTAATGGTTTTTTAAGGTAGTAGATTATGGAAAGTTATAGATTTGCTTATTAATTAGGTTACCTTTTACGATTGCAAATGTATTTATTACCCACTAAAAGTGGGTAATGAACAAACTTTTGGATTCTATCCAATTGCTTTAAGGGTTAGGAATTTTTTTCTCTTTTTCTTTTTTTTTTTTTTAGGCACATACACCAACTTTTGGACAAAATGGTAATTTATGGGTTATTTGGGTCTAGGCCAATCAATGCTAAAAGATTAATATTAATCAATTAGTTAGATTGCTCGTCAACTTTATATGCCATTTGTGGATTGATATTTAGTCTATGCAATATTTTTAATAATGGAAATATAAAAATTTGTACTCCTTCATTCTAAATATATAAATCATTTAAGATTTTATATTAAAATTAAGAAAAAAGTTAATTTTCTTAAATTATAATAAAGTTAAGAGTAATTAAATTAAATTATTATTTAATTCAAAATTAAAAGTAATTTGTGAAGATAATTATTATATATAATATACACAAAGATAAAATTAAAAAAAATCTGAAAATATTTAAAATATCTTATATTTTTGAATGAAATAACCACCTTAAACCTATTAATATTTTAGGATGGAGCGAGTAATTTAAAAATGCCATAATTTTCTCGATATGAGTTTAAAGCTATTTATTAATTGACTAAAAATTTTATCCCAATCTAAGCATAAAGAAATATCAATTGATTTAAAAAAATGTAATCCTTCCATTCACAAATAAATCATTTAAGATTTTTTTTTCAGTAATTAAAAAATAATTAATTCTCCTAAATTATACTAAAATTTTTCTTAATTTTATTAAATTATAATTTATCTCACATTATTTATTTGACTAAATATGATTTTAGAAAATTATAGAAATAGTTAATATTTTTCATATATCATGAGTAAAGACTAAAAAATCTTATTAAATATTTAAAAAACTACTTATATTTATAGAAAAAAATACTTTAAAACCATTTATATTTGTGAAGAAAATCCATATTTTTTTATAAAAAATACATAATATTAACAAAGAGTTATCATTTTTTTTTTTTTAAATTACAACCTTGTGTTGACAAAAGAAAAAATAAAAAATTAAAGCCTCATGGAATGCACATAAAAGTTTCCACTGGGAAAAACTATACATCATCGAGATCAGGGACAGTGATTGCCCGAATGATTCCACGTGGTGAGAGACAGTGAGGACCGAGGGCACTATATTCTTGCCGGTTTCATCGAGTAAAGCAAAGATTTTAATGTGGATTACTCACATTCAATGTGAGAAAAAAGAAAATAAAAAAGCATTTTTAACCAATTAAACAAATATGTCAAAGTCAAATGACAAAATCATTTCTCCCACATGTTGTATCCAATGTATTTTGGTATTTGATTAATAATCTAATTTAAAAAAAAAATTGAATAATTCAATATTTTTCTTTTGTATTATGATGTTAGGAGCACTAACATGTAAAGGCTAATTGATCTCTCACTCTCCATCGTAAGTCAGAAAATTAACATTAAATTAATTTTAATAAAAATATATGAATATTGGTATCTTTTTGGAGAGAAAAGGGATAAAATGGTAATAATGGAAGAAATTTTTTAAATGGTGCGCTGTTCAGTGGCATTCGCGTAATAAACATTGATAAGCAGACTTAAATGTAAAAACTCGTAACTTAAACGTTCCTTTCAACTTATCTTCTTTCTTCGTCTTGTTCGCTATTTTGCTTTCACTTTGTATCCGTTGAAGCTGCACTTTTTCATTTTTCCCTCTCCTCTGTTTCTCACGACATCGACACCTGACTGACTCTTAAATTTTCCAGAATTCCCACAACTATTCCGTCAACAAAACAATCATATTTTCACTACGTCCACTCTCAAAAATTCTCTAGAAAATTCCATTACTTGCTGGAAACCAAACCAACCAATGTCGGTCTCCGGCACCGATACTTCCTCCACCAACAGCAGTAACAATAAGCTCTCCTCAGAAACTCCATTTCTCAATCTAAAGCTCTATGTTCTAATCTCAATTATTTCTATATGCGTACTTTTAGTTTTTCTTATTGTTTTCCTTTGTATCCGCCTGAACCGCACCTCGCGGAAACGGAACAAAGTGCTTGCGAAGCAGAGCTCTGGTATGATCCCGTTAGTTTCAAAAGAAATAGAAGAAATTAAAGCTTTGGATCGCGAAGTCAACAGCGAGAAAGAGGAGGTCAAAATTGGAAATGTGATTAAGAAGAAAGAGATTGAGACTGTTGTTGATTTGGAGATCGGAGAAGGGAAACAGAAGCAGAAGAAGAGTGCAGAAAGTGATGACGCGTCTTACAGTACTATTAGTGACGTGTCATTGGTGGAGGCGCAACAGAATATCGGGTGGGGCCGGTGGTATAGCTTGAAGGAGCTGGAGATTGCGACGCATGGATTCTCCGAGGAAAATGTCATCGGTGAAGGAGGATACGGTATTGTGTATAGAGGGGAGTTGGAAGATGGGTCTGTAGTGGCGGTGAAGAATCTGCTTAACAACAAGTGAGTGCTTACGGTAATTTAAAATTCAAGCCAAATTTTCTGTTTGTTTCTCTAGAAAATGGTTTTTAAGAAATTCTTTAATTCGATTATAATAAACAAAAACAATTCCTTTTATTTTTTATTTTTTCCCCTTTTAATGGTGTTTTGTTTTCATATCAATAGTCAATATAAGTATCTAAGTATTAACAATAATAAGTTATAATCTAAACGGATATTTTCTCCTCTTTGTCGGTGCCAGATGGTCTCTCATAGGGAGTACTGGGAAAAGTATACGGTTACTTTGTGCTTTAGTGCGCACTCTTTCTTTTCCATTTTTATCACCCATTGATTTGTACTTTCTCAACCTTCATTTTTATTTTAACACTATCTTATATCAATGACCTCAGGAGGCTTTCCTACTTTAAACTTTATTTTTCATCAAGATGCTTAACTGTTTGATTTCACTTAACTTTTCAGCATTTTTTTAATGACTTGGGAATACGTATTCCAAGCCCCATAGCGTGTGAAATTACATTTTACTGTTCTAATAAATAGGAATACTTACAGGGCAGGAGTGCCAAGATTTTAATCCTTGGCCTGCTAGACTCTAGACTGCAATGTAGAACAACCATTAAACTACTAGCCCAATGGCTTACGAATAGCGACCATGGAATAACTTTTCCTGGGATTGACTACGACTATAAAGAGTAATATCACTTCTCCACTTGGTCAATAAAGAGTCGTGTACTAGTAGCCCAGTGCTCAAATACTTACCTCTTAGCAAGTGAAGTTATGGTTCGAATCCTTGCATCTTTCCCTCCTATAAATACAAAAACAATTCAAGATATCTTCTGAAAGTTTGTGAATCAGAATGGGTGTATTTCATTTCATAATATTTCTGTTTCATTATAAGCATCGTGATTCAAAATTTTCCATAATGTAGAGTGCCTGAAAAATTTGTCTGGAACAAAGTTTCATGTGCTGCTTTTGTATTTATAGAGGGCAGGCAGAGAAGGAGTTCAGGGTGGAAGTTGAAGCCATTGGAAAAGTAAGGCATAAGAACTTGGTGGGTCTTCTTGGATATTGTGCAGAAGGTGCTCGTAGGTATTTACCATATGGCAACTTGGCTCTGTTATAGTGCATTTAACTTGAGAATTGTCTTCTTTTTCTTGTTCATGGCTATTTTATTGGCTTCTCAGGATGCTTGTTTATGAATATGTTGACAATGGCAATTTGGAGCAGTGGTTACATGGTGATGTAGGGCCTGTTAGCCCCCTGACCTGGGATATCAGAATGAAGATTGCCATTGGGACAGCAAAAGGGTACTGTATTCTTGTTTGCATGAGCCTTAATTGTTTGGCAGTTTTGATTGTAAATGATGCTAATACCATTAGTTTTTCATTGTATAATGTTAATCAGTCACACCAACGCAAATTACTGTAGCACCAAGAAAATTCTGAATATGAGATTTCCCATCATTTTTATTTTTTGAATTTCATCAACCCTTTAATCTATCTCACTTTATATGCTTGATTCAAATTATAATTTCCTGCGTTTGCCCACTGGCTTGGATTGACTTGATTGATAGTTTTTTTTGGCAAAGCTTTAAAGCACTGCCATCATCGCTGGCTAATAATTTCATTAAACTTCTTTCCTAATTTATATTTTTCCCTGAACTTTTTTGTAATTCCTATCTGTTGCAGTCTAGCCTATTTGCATGAAGGTTTAGAACCTAAAGTTGTGCATCGTGATGTAAAATCCAGTAACATACTTCTGGATAAAAAATGGAACGCAAAGGTTTCAGACTTTGGATTGGCTAAACTTTTGGGGTCTGAGTCAAGCTTTGTCACTACACGTGTTATGGGAACATTTGGGTTTGTACTTTATCACGTTTATAAATCAATTGCAATAATGAGTTGTTCAAACTTAGGTGACATATATAACTTTAACATGCAATAGTAATTAATCTGTTGCCATTTTGCTCCAGATATGTTTCTCCTGATTATGCAAGCACAGGTATGCTTAATGAGGGGAGTGATGTGTATAGTTTTGGAGTTCTTCTTATGGAGATGATTACAGGGAGGAGCCCAATTGATTACTCCAGGCCAGCTGGAGAGGTGATTACCAATTTTTTTTTTTTTAGTTACATTATAACAGAGATACAGCACTGCCTTAACACTGTTTCTATTGAATTCATTTCAGATGAACTTGGTTGACTGGTTTAAAGGGATGGTGGCTAGTCGTCGTGGAGAGGAGGCTTTAGATCCTCTAATTCAAGTTCAACCTTCTCCAAGAGCTTTGAAACGAACCTTGCTGGTTTGTCTTCGATGTATAGATTTGGATGCGAATAAGCGACCAAAGATGGGGCAAATTGTTCATATGCTTGAGGCAGATGACTTTCCTTTTCGTGCTGTAAGTTCCACTACTCTTCTATTAGTTTTGAACTAGCTTAACATGTGGGTTTCTAGTTTCAACTAATTTCATGATGTTATGCTCAAGTAATGTCATTTACAATTCATCACTTACAGTCAATTGAAGGATTGAGTAACCTAGGTGCTCATATTGTTTCATGTGGCACTGTAGTTCGCAATTTAGTATCTGAGCTATTATTTACTTTTCTCAAAATTATCATCGTGTAGCATCATGTTACACAGTATTGGGGAAACTGGCATGAATACATAATACACACCTTTATTGCCATAATGTATGCTTGAGGGGTTTCCATTGGACTTCAATGCCAGCAAGAAAAACAGTTCTACTTGTTCTTTGTCTATAGATGAGAGGCAGAATTCCTTATTAGTTAATTTTCTTCAAATTTAGCCTTTTTTGTGCTATCATAGTTCCAGAAATATTTCATGTCTTTATTAATCAGTTGTCACTTAGTGCTCCAGTTGCAAAAATCTTTCCTTGATGTCTTTTTTCCCCCACTAAACAACTGCACTTCAGTGGTTTCTTTTTATGGTGTGTCATGTGTATGCTTTCTGCAGGAACTTAGATCGGTTAGAGATAAAGATAATCCTGCGTCTCATGCAGATGCGTCCAACAAAGTTCCACACCCTACCAAGCATGGAGGGGGCAATGACGTAGAAAGATCAAGGCGAAGATGATTACTTCTTGTCGGTTTGAAGATCAGTAGTTCCAAAATTCATATTATTTTGTAGCATATTTTTTAATTTAGGATACATATAAATAATTAAGTGTATTCATTGTGCATATATATTACTTACTCCAGTCTCTTCTATCCCCATCTTCTGGACAACCCACATTTTGCTGATAAACTGTGGCATCTGAGAGTTAAAACGACCCCTGTAAATACAGATCATATTTGAATATCCAATATTTCAGCTTGCTTGTCTTGAAGATTGTAAAAACAGATCATATTTGAATATGCGATATTTCAGCTTGCTTGTCTTGAAGATTACTATTCATAGTCATGCTAGATTTGTCGTCTTAAGTTTCGACCATTACCGTGTCTACTTATTTTCAAGACTGAAGCTTTTATGCAGATCTAGGAAGAAGTTTGAGTGATTTATGTAATTCTCGGTAGAATAGTTCCTTTTAATTGGCTTATGCTGGAAGATTTATATTATACTAAATTCAGCTGGTTTAGTCAAGAGAGAGATGGATGGCTGGTTTTTGAAGGAGCAAAGAAAGAAGCAAAAGCTTCAAAATTCATCTGGTCACCACTTGAGGTAATCCTCTGCTTATGCTCACCAATTAGCAATTCTGTTGCTTTCAGTGATATGTTATAATGGTTGTTGTTGTGCCTAATTTCCGTTGCTGCAATTACCCATTTCTGTCACAACCTAAAAGTTGAAAGACTATTGCATATTGGTATTGGCTAATGGCTGATAGGTCCCTTTATGCAAGTTAGTGGGCACGTGCTGTATGGATGGACTTTCAGCTTTTATTTAATCATTTATTTGTGCAAGAATACTGGATTAATTAAGCCTGTCATTTTCATTTTCTTTCCTTTTCTAAAAAGAAAGATTGCTTCCTTGGAAAGCAATAAGGTATGAATTGTGAGTGACTAGAGCAACACCAGAAAATGAAAAGAGAGAGAATCTATTAGATTCAATATAGTAGTTGTAGAAGTTATTTATTAACTTTTTATTAATTTTATACTTTTATTAGCTCACGAATGATCACGAGTTCATGTTGAATTCATATACAACTAAACTCATTTTTGGCGAATTTGATTGAATTAAAAAATTATTGACTTGCCAATTTATTAGAGTATTTTAATCAATAAATTCAATCTAATTCGAGTCATGTGTAGCTCTAAACTTTAGATGTTTCCCTTAAAAATTGTCAATTCTAATGTGTAAGCACTTGTAGGGTTTAGAATGCCCTCTTAATAATAATTCCCTTGTCCCGTCACATTCCCACATGACCTATGAGTGCATCTCAATCAAGACATCCTCCCCTGCAATAAAGTCATATGCTTACCCACTAGTTGAAATAAGATAAAGGATAAAATAACAAAGGAAAAGAAAAGAAATCCAACAATTATGTAACCTATTTATGAATTTAAATAATGAGTTTTCTTTATTTTTTTTAAGAAAATAAGGGTTTTTATTCAGGACTCATAGATCATCATAACTTCATATAAAAATTACAACCGCTAAAATTTTCGTAAAAGTATTAAAACAGAGCTGATGGATCGACAACTCTTTAATACTTTTATTTGCTATCAGTTGCAGATTAAAATCCTTGCCAAATGTCTACAAAATGGTTGTGTTGAACTAAATGCCCATCAAACTCCTTTAACATTACTATATTTAATAAATTAATAATTTATATTGTAATAAAATTAATTATTTTTATAGAATATGTATAACGTAATTAATGATATTATCAGAGTTTTAATTTTATATTTAAATAATTATTTTTAATATGTCAAACTCATATCTTATTTATATCTAAAATAAATAATTATTTAAAATATGTATCCATTCAAAAATTTTCTAAAATTTTTAATTATATTTTATTGTTTTGATTATAAAAGTTGCTTAAATTTTGAATTAAAAATATAAATTTTTTTTATTAAAACGAACACATTTGCACATTTTTTATTTTTTCATTTCTAAAAAAATTATTCTTTTAGAAAATAAAAAAAATAAAAAACAGAGAGCTCTCTATAAGTGTACGTAGACATATCTTTCGATTGACCGTGGCTCGGAACTTGGAAGTGGCCCATGCTCAGTAAGTACCCCAATTTTCCGATTCCTGGCCCTATAAAACGAAGGCCAATTAATATTTAATAGGAGTAATTAATAAATAATCTATATTGATGAATGAAAAGCTACAGGTGTTTGTGTTTCCATATCGAGAGAACAGCCAAGATTTCCTCCATAGCCAACACGTGTCATCTCGGATTCCCTCGCTTAACTCTTAACCCGCTAAAAACTCCAAAATTACATCACTATCCAAAGGCAAATCAAATCTCTCTCTCTCTCTCTCACTTTCGGCGTCCTACAGAGAACAAAAACAGAAAAAAAAAAAAAAAAAAAAAAAAAAAAAAAAAAAACTCCAAAAATTACATTCACTATCCAAAGGCAAATCAAATCGTCTCTCTCTGCTCTCACTTTCGGGCGATCTCCTACAGAAGAAACAAAAACAGAAAAAAAAAAAAAAAAAAAAAAAAAAAAAAAGAACATTCTCTCATAAATCCTCCAAGGCAAAGCAAGCTAAGCAAAAAAAAAAAAAAAAAAAAAAAAAAAAAAAACATTCTCTCATTAAATCCTCAAGCAAAGCAAGTAAGCAACCACACACGCTTCAATCAGATCTACTCTATCTGTCACAGATTTTCCGTTTATATATATACATTGTAGATAGAGAAAGAGAAGGATATTGAGCGAGGGAAGGAGGGAGGGTTGGGCAATGGAGGAGAAGTTGATTGCGAGGCTGGAATCGGCGGTGGCCCGATTGGAGGCGCTATCGACGTCGGGGATCAGAGAACGTGGCGGTTTGGACTTTGGTGCTTTTGATGTTGCGTCGGATCCGTCAATTTTGGCTTTCGACGATCTTATAGGGCAGTATTTAGGTAGGGTTTCTAGTGCTGCGGAGAAGATTGGAGGACAGGTTTGGGAGGTTACAAAGATTATCCAACAGGCTTTTAGTGTTCAAAAGGAGCTTCTCGTTAAGGCCAAGCAAACTCAGGTAGTGTTTTGCCTTTTATTTTTTCTCCCCTTAATTTCGGAATTTAGATTTTTGTTGGAGATTGGTTTTTAAGTGTAGCATTTGTTTTGCTCTGAAGGAACACTAATGTTTATCACTCTGCAGTAAGGTTTTGTGAAATTAGGTGAAGTAGGTATCTGAATTACGATATAAATCATTTCTTAATCTGCTTCAATAGTGATTGAAATTGAATACTGGTTCTTCTTAGATTGATTCTACGTTGTATAGTTTTGGGCAATTAGGGCCACCACCTCAGTGCATAAAGGAATAAGGAGGAATTAGATGAATTTGATTCAGATCATTCTTATAGATGGCCTTATTTTCTAGATCTTTTATGTATGAATCTGATCTGATGCCATTTGATTTCTGTATAAATGGGCGGAAAATGAATAAAGTAAGTCAGCATAACGAGGGGAAATTGTTTAAAAGATAGCAGCAGTTGCTTGTGATTTATGATTTATGGAATTATAAAATAGCCAAATCCATTTCATTCTTGGATTGATAAGATCTTTGAACATACAATGGTTGAATTGTCGCATCATCTTGCACTTGGTATCATTGTTTGCTAGTGGGAATTGATGATGTAATTACTGAGTGATAGCTCTAAGATGAAATTAAAAGCTTGGCATTCTGATAGTATTGACTAGCACTGGTTGTAGTGCCTACTTTAGTTTTGATTCCCTTTGCAACATTATTTCCTTTGATTTGTGGTGATTGAATGGTTTAATCTCATTGGTGTAGAAACCTGGCCTGGCGGGATTGGCTGAATTTCTCAAACCTTTGAATGAAGTGATCATGAAAGCAAATGCAATGACAGAGGGGAGGCGATCTGATTTCTTTAACCACTTGAAATCTGCTGCTGATAGTCTGACAGCTTTAGCGTGGATTGCGTATACAGGAAAAGATTGTGGTAAGTGAATTTTGTAGTTTATTTCTCATAGCATATAATTATTTTTTTATGGTCTTTGATTTAGATTTTTCCTTCGTATTTAAGGTATGAACATGCCAATTGCACATGTTGAAGAAAGTTGGCAAATGGCTGAATTTTACAACAATAAGGTACTTTATATATATTTACTTGGTATACACCCGCGCACTTTAGGGAACTGCCACTTAGATCTAATCGTTTGTTGTTTAGGCACAGAAAGAAAATTTGCCTGACTGGATCCTTAGTAAAGGATGGATACAAATAAAAAGTAAATCTTAAGTTTGCAATGTTTTTTGTTCCCATTCATAAATGACTTCTTTCAAAATCCTGATGCTCACTTATTCATGAGAGGGAAAGAATGTTAAAACGCTAGGAGAGGAAACTTGAAGAATTAGAGCATTATTAAGCCATCATTGATTAGTTCTTTTTTTGGTGTTTGATACTTGTATTGGTTGTGCTATACCGACATTGCTGAATTAAAAAAACATAGGAGCTGTGTAATTAACCTTAACTTGTTTCTAACACACCACTGCAAAATTCAGATTCTTGTAGAGTATAAAAGCAAAGACCCAAATCATGTTGAGTGGGCCAAAGCCATGAAGGAGCTTTATCTTCCAGGTTTAAGGGATTATGTAAAGAGTCATTATCCCTTGGGCCCAACATGGGGTGTTGCTGCCAAAGCACCAACTTCTGGTCCATCCAAAGCTTCTCCACCAGGTGCTCCTGCTGCTCCACCTCCCCCACCAGCTTCTCTCTTCAGCTCTGAATCTTCTCAGCCTTCATCATCAAAACCAAGAGAAGGGATGGCTGCTGTTTTCCAAGAAATCAACTCGAGCAAGTCTGTGACTTCTGGTACTTATCTTTTCAGATTAAATAAAACCTGTGTCTTTCAGCTGGAGTTTTAGTTGGCTGTCTCGATGTTTTTTTTTTTTTTTTTTTTTTAAAAAAAAAAAAAATGCGATTTAGTTGGCTGTTTCTCGATGTTTTTTTTTTTTTTTTTTTTTAAAAAAAAAAAAAATTCTTTGTAGGCCTTAGGAAGGTCACCAGCTGATATGAAAGGACAAAGAATCGTGCAGATAGAACTGGTCGTTGTCCTTTTTGGTGCCAGTTGAAAAAGCAGCCCGTGTTCAGTTCACCTTTCTTTCTCTAAAAATCAGGGCAGGGATTTTTTTTTTTTTTTTTTTTAAAAAAAAAAAAAATTCTTTGTAGGCCTTAGGAAGGTCACAGCTGATATGAAGACAAAGAATCGTGCAGATAGAACTGGTGTTGTTGGTGCCAGTGAAAAAGCAGCCCGTGTCAGTTCACCTTCTTTCTCTAAGGCAGGACCTCCAAAGCTTGAGCTTCAAATGGGTCGTAAGTGAGTATGCATCATGTTTATGTTCGGGTTTGATTTCAGTTTGAGAAGAAATATTGGCATAGGATTTGATTCATGTATTATCTCCTCCTTCTTGCAGGTGGGCTGTTGAGAATCAGGTTGGAAAGAAGAACTTAGTAATTGATAATTGTGATGCGAAACAGTCAGTATATGTTTTTGGATGCAAAGATTCTGTTTTGCAGATTAAAGGTACCTTTTATTTGCATTATTACCATACTTTTTGACCTTAACCATTCTAAGAATTCATGAAATTGTGCTGTGCATCTACATACATTATGTTACAATTCAGCAATGTATTTGTTATTCTGGTAATTCGCAGGGAAAGTCAACAACATAACAGTTGACAAATGCACTAAGATGGGAGTTCTATTTACGGTTAGTGTGAAAGATCTCAAATTGAAAAATAAAATGACTGAAAATTACTTTTACTCCCTATGGTGGAACCATATATTAAAGTTTGATGATGGCTCATTCTACATTCTCAACTTATAAACAGGATGTTGTTGCTGCTTTTGAGATTGTAAACTGCAGTAGTGTTGAGGTTCAATGCCAGGTATTTCTTTATTATTTTATTTTCTATATAGAATCCTTAATAATTTGTAGGATATCTTCTGTCCAGATGCTAGAATATCAAATTATATTTGGGCAGTGCTATTGATCATTCTTAAATAGATAGGTATAGTTCTTAGTTTATGGAGTGCTACGTTGCCCTAATGTGGATCTACCATTTGCGCTTCATTCTAGGGTTCAGCCCCAACTATTTCTATAGATAACACGGGGGGCTGCCAGTTATATTTAAGCAAAGACTCTTTGGGAGGATCTATAACTACAGCCAAGTCAAGTGAGGTCAACGTTCTGGTACCAGGTGCACAGCCTGATGGTGATTGGGTAAGTTACAAACTCTTTACTCTGTTCAACTCTCAAAGCTTTATTTATTATATTTTCCTCCTTTGTCTGCTTAGTTATGGTTTCTGGGTAGAGGGTGGGGTGTGTGGGCAGGCTTATAGGTAATCAACTCTACTTTTTAGAAGTAGGCAAAAAAACATCACACAGATTTCTACTGGCAGGCATTTGTTCAGATTTTCTTTTTCTAACAGTTCAGTGAAATAAACCTATGGTTTAACCTGTCCTGAATATTGCTGTAATAGACAGTGTACAAGGAAAAGTTCCGATGACTGAAGGATGCCTACGTGCATTCTTTGGGCAGTAACTGAATGAAGCCCTTGGCTTCAGAGCCCTATCAACTGTTGGCTTGTGTAGGGTACATGGGGTGACATTTTCCAAGTGCTTCATAATACATATCTATGGCACTGGTGATCTCCATGCTTGCAACTTCTATATACCACAACACGAGACATTGCCATGATGAAAATGTATGGTGGAGTTTTTGCAATCAACCAACCCCTTGTTTGTATAAATGAATTTGGTATGAGATTTATAAATGATGGAATTTGGTTTAATTACATTGAATTCTGTAAAATTAAATTCATACGAGTAAAATGAACATTCTCATACAACACCAAACATGAAAACTGAAACCCCAAATGATTTTCTATGAAAATATTATGGTTTTCACTTACACCAAATAGGGACTAAATTAATTGATGTCTTTGTTTTGTAGGTGGAACATGCATTGCCACAACAGTATATCCATTTATTCAAGGATGGCCACTTTGAAACTACTCCAGTCTCTCACTCTGGCGGTTAATAATCTTATTGCCAAATCAGGTTTCGATTTCCATTTTACTTTCCTAGGATGGCTGAGGGTGACTTCATTTCTTTTTCCCTTGATTCAATTTTCTGTCAATATCTGATCATGATATTCATGCTGTCGGTTATGCTCACGTTATTCCTTGTGTATAACCAACTGTTGGAAACTTTCTGGATTGTTTTTTCATGGTGTTTGTTCCTAGATGGCCTGTATTGTTGTGAGGGTTTCCAAATGCGATTGTGTTGTAATGAGAACGAAGTTTTGTATTATTTTTGCTTGTGAAAGCTTCTTATTTATTTGTTTTTTATGTGACCGACCTTTTGGTGGAAGCAATATTTTCTTTTTTCTAGAGCTGAACCTGTCATCATCCTATAAATTTGGGAGTTGATATCAAGTTAAAGTGATGTGGTTTTGATGTGTACTTCTTTAATAAATGGTAACGCTGCCATTATCATGTGATGTGAGCCTCTAGGTTGCATGGACATGGAAGCACGGAAATGATACGGGGAAATGACATTCGAAATATAATTTTACAGGAAAAAACGCAGTATTTATACAGGAAAATGGATATGCGGAGATGCCTATGGCTAGAAGTTTCTGTGGATCATAGGTGAGCCTTATGCCTTGTCTAGTTGAGTGGCAAAAATATTTCTGTAGAGGGGGCATAACTTGTGTCTGTGCTTATATGCCATAAATTGATGTCCAGAAAAAACACACACAGTTGGAGTTGGAATAAGCTTTTATCATACATCCTACTATCTAATTATTGGTCATTTACGTTGACTCTATGGTCTGATAACATGTACACCGTGCACAAGTATACTGACGATTGTTGACGGAGCTTCTCTCTTGCGAGGCTATGAACATCACGTGTAAGGACGAATTAATAATGGAAATATGGAATGATTTGGGTAAAAAGAAGAGAGAGAAAGAAGATCCGCGAGACGACTTGAACTAACACGTCATTAATGCCCAAGTACTTTATAAACCTAAATGGATTCTAATGTAACTTTTGGATTTGATGTTTGTTCATTTGCAAAGATTAAATGAATTATCAACTGCTGCATTCCTTTTTATTCACCCTTTATATTTTCTAGTTTCTGTGCATATGTACATATTGAAGTCTTGGTTTGGTTGGTAATGGTTTGGTTGCGAGCCAAGACTTGCGTGTGTTAAACGCTCATGGTTATGAAGAAAATAGGCAGTTGGGTCCACTGGGAACGTCACCTTTAGTAAGTGGTGAAACCTAAAATTCTACTTTCCACACCCGATTGGTGGTTGGTTGAGATCGTCCAAAGCAAACGACCTTTATTCCATGTAACTTCTGCGCCAGCAATGTAATTGTAATTTAATATGACGAAACCCTTTTCGCTTAGGCAGAAAGTTCCCCTCTTTTCCTTTTCTTGTAACTCGTTTCTTTCAACTCTTTCCTTTCCTAATTATAATTATTTTCAGGTTGAAGCCCAATTGGATCAATGTATTGGAATTATATAATCAGTTTAGTCTTATACTTTTAATTAACGACATTTCTTATTATAATAATGTATAAGTGAAGAACCCAAATATAATAATTTAACTTTTCTTATTTTAAGTGAAGCAGAGAGGTCAATTATGTTGTACTTGATCTGTAAGTCGCGTCTAAAATGATAACGCATACGTGGATTGTTGTAGGCACGGCGGGTTCATTGAACCGTCGGTTCCTGTTCATCCGTGAATCAGAACTGACGGTCTAACATTTTTAAAATATTGAATCTGAACAGATTTTTGAACTGCCAGTTCTGGTGTGATTTCAATAAACCGACGGTTCCGATCATGGTTTTCAGTGATATATATATATTTTTTTAAAAAAATCGATTTTAACGTTATATCTTTCTTTCGGAATATTAATATGAGTTTAAAAAATATTGGTAGATTTTATTTTAAATAAATTGTAGAATGCTCATACTCGTAGAAGAATAAAATTAATTAATTTTACAAAATAATCAAATAAATTATCATTTTGTTTTGTTTAAATGTTATTAATTAAATAAATTATGAGAAAATTTTGAAAAATACTTCAAAAGAATGTAATTTTAAACTTAGTAAACAATCTAAAAGGGTAAAATAAAAGTTAAAAACAATATAAGTGTATATTAAATATTTCTCTCTTTTTTTACTATTTTATTTTTTATATTTTTAACTTTTAAAGTAAAGTGTATTTAAAAAAATAACTTATAAACAATCTCAAAAGAGGTTAAAATAAAAGTTAAACTATAATCCAATATTTAAGTTATTATTAAATTATTTCTCTCTTTTTTTTACATCTTTATTTTTTATATTTTGTAACTTTTAAAGTAAAAAGTGTATTTAAAAAAAAAAATCTTAAGTAAAGGTATATCATATTGTTAAAATATACATTTGAACTTTTAGAAATGTAATAAAATATCGCTTAAGTGCATTATTATTTTGAAAATAAAAAATAGAAATTTTTTTGGTTCGAAAACCGGACCGAAACCGCTGATTCAAAGCTGGTTTAAGTTCAGATTTTAACATTTACATGATCTTTAACCGGCTCCTTGAACTGTCGGTTTCCGATTTCAAATTTTGAACCAACAGTTTCAATCCGATTCTAATTTATCATAGTATAGTTTCGGTTTTTGATTCAACATATGAAACGACATGAACATACTTTAAGTTTTGAAAATAAAAATAGAAATTTTTGGTTCGAACCGGACCGAAACCGCTGATTCAAAGCTGGTTTAAGTTCAGATTTTAACATTTACATGAATCTTAACCGGCTCTTGAACTGTCGGTTCCGATTCAAAATTTTGAACCAACAGTTTCAATCCGATTCTAATTTATCTATAGTATAGTTCGGTTTTGATTCAAAATGAACCGATGAACATACTTTGTAATCATATTTATGATATATTGTAATGAAATAGGCGTAGTACAATAAAAAATTGTCATAGCATCACTATTTATTTATGTATGAAAATTCCCCCTTCAATTACATCAAACGCACATTGACTGGAACTTTCGTGATCAAACAAGTCAAGACTAAGACAAGGGTAATATCTTCTAGTGAATGATAATAATAGTATTTCCATCATTTATTTATATTCCAAAAGTATACAGAAAGAAAGATCGAATTCAATTTATATATTTTTTAAATTTCTCACTAATATTTCCATACGTTTTTTATATGAGGTGGCTCTCATTTCGGATTTACGATTTTTTTTATTTTTTTATATATAAGATTTTTAAAATATTCATAAGACTAATCTCATTTCAAAATACGTGACTATTATTTATTTTGTAAGTTTTGTTTAATTAATATAACAATAATCTCTTTTGGACATAGCTAGATCAAAATTAATTAAAGTCGGACAGAGCTTAACATTCTGTGAATTGAATAAAATAACATAATAAGTTAAGTGTTTCTAGTTCAACTAATTCGTATAGTTGATTCATATTCAATAATTAGATTGTAAGTATTTGTTAAACATTTTAATAAACAACTTATAGAACCATCCGTCGATTATATTTTAAATTTTTTTATATTAGCTAGTAGCTAATTTGCATATATATTATATTTTAATTTTACTAATTGAATTATCATTTTTATAATTTATTTAAAAATAATACATTTATATTAAATACTATTATTTTTTAAAAAATTAATTAGTATTTTTATTTTTATAACACGTTAAAATAAAAAATAATATATAAATATAATTATACTCTGAATTTTGCAACAATTGCTATCAAAATTAAATTTAACATCAGTTCAATACTATATATACTACAAATATGACCATCTGCTGCATAGTTCTACAACTTAGGAGGTGTGAACATGAGCCTGGAATCTGGATAACTGAGGGTCCCATTGCTCCGCAGCTTCCAGGTACCCGACGTTTGATTAATTGAAGTATACTTTTTATTACCGTTATAGTCTTCCAATCCACTACTACGCACTCCACTCCAATAGATAGACTCCCATCCCCACTCGCCATCACCGTCTCCATCTCCATCTCCATCTCCGTCTCCATTTATTTCAAAACCACTAAAAATAAGAAACAGATCCCTTTCTTTCAAAAACAGAAACAGAAACAATGGCGTTTTCAGTACTCATCTTTCTCTATCTTCTTCTTATTCTATCTTTCAACTTCTTAGTTCGTAAGTTCCTATTTTCTCTTTTCATTTTCCTCTTATTTCCTCTTTAAAGGTTTATGTTCGTGCCGCTAATTTCGCGTATTACAGTTTATAAGGAACAATAGTATAGACATGCTTCTAAATTTTCTTTTGATAAAAGAACGACGTCATTTCCATTTTTTGCAGGCTCGGAGTCGTTTATTGGCATTAACTATGGTCTACTTGCTGATAACCTACCGCCACCTACGGCCACTGCCAAGCTTCTACAATCAACTTCAATACAAAAAGTGAGACTTTACGGTGCCGATCCTGCCTTTCTTAAAGCTCTTGCTAATACTGGAATTGGCATCGTCATTGGCGCTGCAAATGGTGATATTCCTGCTTTGGCTTCCGATCCCAACTCGGCGACTCAGTGGGTTAACGCCAACGTCTTGCCGTACTATCCTGCTAGTAACATCATTCTTATCACCATTGGAAACGAGGTCATAATCACCTCCAAAATCATATTTAACCACTTTTATTAATTCCAATTTTCCATTAAAATTGAACTGAATTAAGTAAGATTAATTGATTTGTTTGGCTTTTCAGGTATTGTTATCTGGAGATCAGAACCTGATCTCTCAGCTATTACCAGCAATGCAAAATATGCACAACGCGCTTAACTCGATCTCACTCGGCGGCAAAATTAAGGTCTCCACCGTCCATTCCATGGCGAGTTTATCACAGTCCGACCCGCCATCTTCCGGAATGTTCAATCCGTCTTATCAAGATACAATGAAAGGGTTACTCCAATTCCAGAGAGATAATGGGTCCCCGCTGGCCATCAACCCGTACCCGTTTTTCGCTTACCAGAGCGACCCAAGACCAGAGACCTTAGCTTTTTGCCTGTTCCAACCCAACGCGGGACGAGTGGACTCGGGCAATGGGATTATGTACATGAACATGTTTGACGCTCAGGTAAGTAAGATCATCAAGACAATAATTAGTACTATTAATTAGATTAACTGCTTTAGAAAAACCGGTAGTAGGTTTAATGGGCCGGGTTGGGCCCGGATCCAAATGGAATGTTTAATTGTGAGGTCTATAAGGTATAGACACGAGTCGTATAGTTTAAGTGCACAAGGACAGAAAGCTTATAAGAGACGTTAACTTTGATTTGGATACGAGACGACTGACGAAGGACTAGGACTTTTTATGGTGGAATTCTACGCTTGCGTTTACTTTATAATAATAACTCTGCAGTCTTTTATTAGTCTTTTAAAAAGGGGCATTTACAGTTTTCCATCACTTTCTTTTTTTTAATTTTTTTGTTAGAAATAATTTCCATGTTACTGTTAGGTAAAGTTTCCCTTTCTTACGTAGAATATGTATACTTCTATTCATACACAAACCCAACAATGTTAATGCCATCAAGACAAGGTAAAAGATAATTAATGAGCTGTTGTTAAAGATAACACTTTTCTATCACCATATCTATAAATAGCTACCAACTATAACCGTCATGGTTTATTTTTCTTTTTTTCGAACGGTAACAAATACTTTCATTTGAATCAAAAACTATTAATTTAATTAGTTTGGAGTATGGGAATAAAATTTAGTGGTTATTGTTACTTTGTTGTATGGGGCGGGTACTAAGTAAGTCCTCACGACTCTTAGTGAGTTTCAACAGTTAAATAATGAAATTTTCAAAAATTATCTGTTTTATTAGATTAATCCATATATAATATATCACCAAATTAGTGAAAATTCTTGTGATCAAGAGGACTCGAACTAATTGACATCATACCTCTAAATTTTATTATGTGATAAATATTCAGAATTGATTTTCTTTTAGATAATGAAATTTACAAGATGAAACTAATTTTGGAAATGGTGATTTTGTTTTTCATCTTTACCATGTTACTTATTTACATTTTGAATTTGCTAGAACGATATACTCTTAGCTAAGCAATTTTGATGCGATTGTCCACTTTAGCTCTTTTTCTTTTATGTCAATTATACATTTATGCTTGATCACTCTTAAGAATGTAGAGTGCACGCATCAGCTTTAAGCTCGTGAAAAGCATTTGAAACTAATTCCTCCTCCTAATTATTTACGCATCTCTTGCTTTTTTTCTTTTTTTTATTGAAACGACACGGACTCACAAAGCACTGAATTACACATTGATGTGACTTCTTGTGCCTCATGACAAGCTGGCCATTGCTGTAATTTTTTAAAGTACTTCCAATGTTTGTATCATTATTGAAGTGAAAGCATGGATAATAGTATAAAAATTAAAAAAGCTAGGCTAATTTTGATTCCAATGTTGAAGGGACCCCATATGGGACCATCTTTTTTATTGCTAGAATCAGCATTGGCAATGATTCCAGTGCAAATGTGTTTATATGTACTAGTTATCTATGAGTTAGCCATTGGATGTGCAAATGATGATCATCAAACAGTAAGCACAAATGTTAGCATGTATGCAATATTGCATTGTAATTATTGTTACTGAGAAAAGTATTATGTCAAAAATGTTGATAAAAGGTTTCTAAATTTTATGTTTAAGGTGATCTGTACATGTTCTAAGAGTAAATGTTTTAAAATAGTCTAGTGCTAAGTGCTAACTAAACTTAGATTTTGTCTCTCATTAAACCAATTTTTATCCTTAGGAACTTTCGATTGATTGATCACTTGTAGTAATGACTTGAAAAATCATTTGTAGGTGGATGCTGTTCGGTCTGCATTAAATGCAATCGGATTCAAGGATATTGAGATTTTGGTTGCTGAGACTGGTTGGCCTTATAGTGGTGACAGCAATGAAGTAGGGCCTAGTATTGAAAATGCAAGAGCTTATAATGGCAATTTGATTAATCACCTTAGAACATTGGTTGGTACCCCATTAATGCCCGGAAAATCTGTAGATACATACCTCTTTGCACTCTATGATGAAGATTTGAAGCCCGGACCTTCCTCTGAAAGAGCATTTGGCCTTTTCAAAACTGATCTTTCTATGACATATGATGTTGGTCTTACAAAGAGTAGCCAGGTAAGAGAATATATTCATGTTTGCAAAGCATGAACACAGCTCGGTAAACTTTCTATTGAAGCTAGTAGTAGTAGCAGTTGCTGTTGAATTATAGCTTGTTAGGTTTCTTAAAATGGTATGTTCTGTTCATAGTCATCCTTTGGAAATTAAAGGGGTTAAATTCTGTGGGAAAATTTTTATGACTTTGTGAATAATATTTATTGTGTGTTAAAACTTTTGGGGGAAGAATTTTTATGACTGATCTTTTCACAATGTATATATTGTGGGACGTTGTATGCGTCAAGCTCTTAGATCGATCAGATATATAGGAATAAATAAGCGTTGTTTGCATGCATTTAGTCTATTGTTAATTGTAGTGGTTTATAAAATACCATTTCTGGTTTCATCTTTAGGTGCCATCAACCCCCACAACTCCAGCAACCCCATCAGCAAAACCAACAGCAACAGGTTGGTGTATGCCAAAATCTGGTGTTTCTGACGCTCAATTGCAGGCAAGTCTTGACTATGCTTGTGGTCAAGGCATAGATTGCGGCCCAATTCAACCTGGAGGTGCATGTTTTGAACCAAATAATTTAGTATCGCACGCTGCTTATGCCATGAATCTCTATTACCAAGCTTCTAGCAAGAATCCATGGAATTGTGATTTCTCGCAGACTGCAACACTTACATCAAAAAATCCCAGTAAGCTATCTTTATTCAGCTCTTCTTTTTTAACTCTATTTTTTATAAATTATGAAACAGTAGCCATATCTCAAAGCTACTATAAATATGGAATCATTTATTTCAGGTTATACACGAATGATTTTGGGAATAATTAGTAGCCAACTCTTTAATAATGAGCATAACTTTAAGAAAGAGGTGATAGGAATAGAATTTAATATAAAAGGTGTTGTCTTCTTTATTGGATTAGCTTCACCATTGGTGCATGATTAAAATGTAAAAGATTATGAGCTTTTGACTTTTGTTGCATCTTTATGGGGTTTCTGTCTCCACCAAGAAACAAAAGTTCTGATAGTTTTATGGTTTATGGCTGTCTTTAGTTGGAATAACAGGCTTAAACAGAATTGCTATTGTAAATTGACTATTACCTCTTTGTTTCATATATATTAGCATTTCCTGTTCATTCCTTAAAAAAAATAAAATAAAAAAAGTTTACCTTCAACTGCTGCTAGGTTATAATGGCTGTGTCTATCCTGGTGGAAGCACCTGAAAATCAAGAGAAGCTCATTCTTCAGTTGAATAAAGAAGGGGTGGATGGTTAAATAAAGTATGTGTAGCTTAATGGTTGTTGTAATAATTATTATTTATAACTGTCATTGTAAATTCTTCCTTTGATTTGGAAGCATTGTTTTAGATCTCTGTCTCCTTAGCATGTTATTTAATTCTGTTAGGGTTGCTTAAAAAGTGTAATTATGTTAGAGAGGAATACCTAGAGTGCTTTAAGCAAGTCACATGTTTTCAAAATTTTTAATTATGTATATCTCTTGTCAGTGAAGCAATACGTTGTCGTTTCTTTTTGTGATAGCCAGAACTGCAAATTTCTATTTGCAAGTTGTTGTTTTCTCCTTTTTGTTATTTATCTGACAGTGTTATGAGGCCACATGGTTGTGCCAAGAAGATGTTCTTGCTCAAATTTCTCTTTCCTCAAATGTCAAAACACACTTCAATTCATATTCTGTTTTGATTCTTTTTTCTTTTTTTTGAAGTACTTTCAGAATTTTTTTTATATTTCAAGACTGATATTTAACAACTAAAAACACTAATTTAATAGCATTTTATTATGATGCTCTTCAGAATTCATCAAGTAGGATTCATTCTACAGAGTTCGTCCAATAATCATTCAAATAAGTTGGATCCTTGAGGCCATTATATTTTATTTTTCATAAAAATATGTAAAAAGTAAAGTACAAGAACAGCAACTTGGATCTAAAATTTGTAAACTATTCCTTTCTTATAAGTTAAAAAAACAAAATGTAAAATATTCACTTCATTTGTGAGTTAATACTTCAAATTTATATGAAGTTTGCTACTTTAACAACACACAATCATAAAAATTAGTTATAGTTTATTACATAGCTCGTAATGCATTTTAAGTTAATTTTTCATGAATCGAGAATAAAATCATAACACTTTAATTTTAATCTGATGTATTAAATATTTTAAGTTGTAAATTTACATATAAAAATATAAATTTATATTATTAAATCGTTTATAATCATATTTATTAAATAAGATACTAATTTTGATTATATGACGCAATCAACAACTCTCCGTTGTCGTCCAGCGGTTAGGATATCTGGCTTTCACCCAGGAGACCCGGGTTGGATTCCCGGCAACGGAAATTTTTTATTTTGGTGCATTGTCATAAGCAATCTCCTCCAACCTTACAAATTACGTTTTATACATATATTTGTTCTTCTTGAATTATTAAATTCTCTCATTGCAACTTTTCAAGTTTTAAACAACATTAAAATAGACAAGATCATGAGCCCTTGGTTTTTTTTTTTTTTCCCCAAATCATGAGCCCTTGTTTAAAACATTAATAAACATTATAATTATCTTTTCAAAGATTGCCGTTTTGAGTTTAATTAAATAAATTACAGCTTTTCTTAGCAAGGATGTATTGGAACCATCTTGCTTACCTTTCTTGTGAATTTATTGATTTTTACATTAAAAATATTAAATGACTTCAAAAAAAAAAGATATATTATACCTTAATTTGTTATTATTTTTTAATTTAACTCTAATTCGATAATTTAACTGTACATGTAAAAGCGCGTGGATTAATTTCACGTTGAAAAAAATATAAGAAGAACAAATGATATATAACGAAGATGGTAACAGTAAATTTAACTAATTATAAAATTAAATTATCAATTGAATTTAATATGATATTAAAGTTTATCCTATTTTAATATCGGCCACTTGCCAAATATTTATGTCTAGACGTGAAAGTTATATATTCATAATTGGGCATAAATGATGTATAAAGTATCCAGTGAAATATATTAAATTTTAAAAAGTGAGTTAAACTTAATCATTTTATTAATATAATATCAATACATGACTTATCATTAACTCTGCAACTTTAATCTTATGACATTTTAAATTTGATAAATAACTAATCATGTACTTAAACTTTTAAAATTTTAATATGATTGCACAACTTTTCAAAGTAACAATAATAGTTTCTAATAATATTGGATATATATATATATATAATATTAATTTGATATTAACTATTTAAATAATATAAGTGTTTTATTGGTATTGAAAAAATAAAACCAGGTCTAAGCCGTCCATTTTGTAAATTAATGTTTCAGTTGCTCGAAATTTATTTTTACTTTTTAAAAGAATAATAAACTTACACATATGAAATGGGCACAAGATATATGATATCAATGTTAATATTAACAAAACACATAAATCTCATAAGTTAGTTGCTCCAAACTTGACTTAAAAAAAATTCGTTGAAAATTCTCAACAAGCTGAACTCGATCTTAATAAAATTTAGTCCACTTGACTTTGTCTGTGATAATACCTATTTTTATAAATATAAAAATCAATAAATCAATATTTATTTTAATTTTAATTTTATACTTATTATTATTACTATTATTATTAAATTCACATAAACAACCAAATAAAAATACTTGCTCTTTCTAATAAATATTAGCTTGTTTTTTTTTATATTTGTTCTAAATTATAAGTCAAAAGTTAAGTTAGTTTTTCAATATGCTTTTTGTTAATATATTTTATTATTAGTAATTTTCCTTTGAATTATTTATTAAAGATGATATTTAATATTATTTTTATATAACTAAGACGGCTAATCTTTTCGAACTGTAATATTTTGAACTCTTTAAATAGGATGCGCTTTTGGGAAATTAAATTTGTATTTTCATGGGAATTGAGTTGACTTAACATATTAACATATTGAGTTGACTTAACATCTAAACCAAGTCTTATTGATAAAAATAATATCAAATATTAATCTAAAAATATATTAAGAAACATAAATACATTTTTGAAAATAGGAATAAGTTAGAACTCTATATATGTGGATAGCGAGACATTTCATTCACATTAGCGAGAAAATTAATCACCATACGTGGTCGGCAAAGAAGTAGTAGATATTTAGTTATTTTCGAAAACAATTTACTGTGGTCTCACATCAAACCGTGCCGAGCAAAAGACATCAAACATAGATGACACGTGGGAAAAACTGGGCCGGCGGCGTCAGTCAATTCAGTTTCGCCCTTACCATCACCTCTGTTACTTCTGATCTTAGACCTCTTTATCACCAGCAGCAGCACCACCAGCAGCAGCACCATCTCCACCATCTCTGCCACCGCTTCCTTCTCCTTTTATCTCTCTCTGCAATCTAAAAGGCATTTATTTGTTTACCTTTTCTCTCTCTAATAATTGAGTCCGTATCTGTTACACCTAAATTTTCTTTCTCTCTTTCTGCTTTCGCTACTTCACTTTCAAATAATGATCACTAGAGCTCAGAATCGAATCCGAGCTTAAAAAGAAATGAGTACTTTTTAGTTCAATTTTTTTTTTTTTTCTTTTGGGTTTCCTTTATAAGAAATGTCTGTTGCCGAGCTAAAGGCGCGCCACGTGGCGGCGACTGAGACGGTGAATACTCTTAGAGAACGCTTGAAGCAGAAGCGGCTTCTTTTGCTAGACACTGACGGTGTTTTCTCTTCTCTGTTCTCTTTTTCGTGTTTTTCGAATTCGATATTTGTGTTCCTTTTTTCTTTTATTGTGTAAAAATAGATCTGATTGAACTTGTGGCAGTTGCTGGATACGCGAGGGCGCAGGGGAAGCCTCCGGTTAGCTTTGGGCCTACCGATCTGGTGTGCTGCAGGACGCTTCAGGGACACACTGGCAAGGTAAATCATTAATGCTATCATACAATTGTTTGCATTTGTTCAAATTCATAATTGCTTACTTTCTGTTTGATTTATTTTGTTTTGGCTATTTAATGGTGTTTAGCTCATGTTTAATGGCGTAATAGTTGATATTGTTGTGTTCATTGTTCCTTTGACTTGTTGATTGATAGGAATTATGAGTTGTAAGCTTTAATAGAAGTGAGAACTGAGTGGAGAAAATGGGGAAATTAGGTCTAGAGTGCTTTTCTGGGGAAAATAACAGAAGTTTGTTCGTGATTGTCCTTGTGTTTTATTTTTGTTGTTACTATTTTATATGATATAATGAAATAGGAATCGTGGAATCATTTAGGATATTTTGAGAGGAAATAATGGTTGTTTAACTTCTAATTCTACTTGAAATGGAACTGGGGAAATGGATACAGATGACCGAATCTCATCTTATTGTGGAAATTGATAAGTTGATCTGGTTTTTGTGGGTTTTTTGACACAATGTTGATTGAACTCGTGCTTCATGAGGATGTGCTGGTGGTTTGTTATGCATTTGAAGATGGTAGGACAAAGGTAGACAGAGGGAATCGAGAAACCAAAAGTGGTTCCACATTCTGACTGGCAGCTGGAGACTGATATGCGTGCCATTGTGGTATCTTTGGTAATGTTTCTGGAGCAAGCTTTTGGATCACACGACACAGTACGCCATGATGGCTATTTCATAATGAAAAGAGGTGCATGTGTGCCTGCATTCTGGATTTTGATGGAAGGTAGAAAGAGATGTCCTTTAGTAATCATGCTATGGAACAAGTTGGATTATAACCCTATAAGTTTGCATATCACAGCATTCTAGACTAAGAATAACGATAAGAGAACAAGTTAGGGTCCCATCGTGGGGTTCTTATTATAATTAGGGGACACTTTTCAACATCAGCATCAAATACTATAATAATGTATAGGATATATGTAGAGCAACACTGTGACTTCAGGCTATCTGCATTTGGTCACTAGAGCTTTATCTTGTTAATTTTTTCTATATCTAAAACAGTAGACATAGGATAGGTTATTTTTTACTTAAACTTCCTTGAATTGATGATAATGTTTGAATTTGCACCTTTTATTATCATGATTATTAACAATCCTTAACAGCGATAGAGTACTTCTTAGACTCTTAGTTTTATTTAACAGACTTTAAGAATAAGGTCTCAACCCACTTGGTAGTTTGCATCTGGACAATCAGAGAAGTTCTGAAACTTATGAACTGCACTTTTATGTTGTGTTATTGAAATCACCTCCTCCTACTCCTCTCTCTATTTTCTTATTCAACGTTTTTAGTTTCTTCTCACACTCAATTGTTGCCTGAGGAAATTCAGTTTGTCAGATACTTGATATTATATATTCCATGAAATCCAAACAAATGGGAACTATAACAGGATTGTCTATAACGGCTTAAATGGTGACAGGAATTGTCAAAAGGTTTTTTCTTGTTGTGATTGAAAACTGAATCCTTCTATGTTACTTGTTCTATTATGTGGTGGGAATATTGTTACTTATATATTTTATACTTATCATTATAGATATCTAGTGTTTTTGTGTTTCTTTCCCCTCTGTACTCTGTTTTTCACTGGCACACTCATGCACACATGTGAACTCACAGACTAAAACTACTCTCAAATTAGTGAGACTCAACTAAAGCTTACACATAGAATGATTTTGTGCCCAAGACCTCACATGTACATGGAATTGTCTCCTGCTGAATTATATGAAATTTGCTGATTCAGTGGCCAAAATGCTCGTGTGCTCATAGGCATGTGCTCACTAAACCAGTTATCATCCATATGTAGCCCAGCTGTATTCTTAATCCTGTGTTATATATGTCTGGTGTCGTTGTTTGGAGTACCTACTGTATTAAAATTTCTGGCATTAAAGAAATTGTGGACATCATCTCTCTAAGTTAATTTTTTGATACCCTGTGACCTATAATAGGAGGTTTTGACATGTTAATGACAAACTCCAAAGTGCCAAGAGAGATAAACTCACTTAGTATTTGAGACATTGTGCATTTTATATCATTCACTATTTTGAAAATGTGTTCTTATCTATAAGATATTTGCAGGTGTATTCATTGGATTGGACTTCTGAAAGAAATCGAATTGTTAGTGCATCTCAAGATGGGCGGTTGATAGTGTGGAATGCTCTAACAAGCCAGAAAACTCATGCCATCAAGTTGCCCTGTGCATGGGTTATGACTTGTGCTTTCTCTCCAACTGGTCAGTCTGTTGCTTGTGGTGGTCTTGATAGTGTTTGCTCTATTTTCAACCTTAATTCACCAACTGATAGGGATGGGAACCTGCCTGTATCAAAGATGCTTAGTGGGCACAAGGGTTATGTTTCCTCGTGTCAGTATGTACCAGATGAGGACACTCACCTAATTACAAGTTCGGGTGATCAGACTTGTGTTTTGTGGGATATTACCACGGGCCTTAGGACTTCTGTGTTTGGAGGAGAGTTTCAGTCTGGACACACAGCAGATGTACTGAGGTATATTTGAGTTATTCTCAATTTGACTGCATGCTTTTTCATTTTGTCATCCTGTACTTGAAGGATATAATTTTACGAGAAAATTCTCATTTGCAAGTTCCAAAATTTGACATCTTAGTTTGACTGTGTACAAACTAATATTCCAAAGGGCTAATTTTAAATATTTTTTTAGGAAGCTTGCATCCATGCCCCTGTAACTTTTTTTCCTTGTCAAGAATGTGGCATCTTATTGATGTTACCTCTTCACAAGCATGTGATGGATTCTGCAAGCGCCACACGGACTAATGATTGGATGACCCTGTAATAACCTTGACTACAAAATGAAAAGTGATTTCGGGATTTATTAAAAATGTAGAGGGGGAATTGTTTATCCTGATAGGGTTCTCTCTTCAGGGCTAGTTTAATAATATTAAACATTCCACATTTCAGCATCTCAATCAATGGGTCAAGCTCAAGAATGTTCGTATCTGGCTCCTGTGACTCAACCGCCCGATTGTGGGATACTCGCGTTGCTAGTCGAGCTGTGCGTACTTTTCATGGGCATGAGGGAGATGTTAATGCTGTGAAGTTCTTTCCAGATGGCAATAGATTTGGAACTGGATCTGACGATGGAACTTGTAGATTGTTTGACATCAGAACTGGGCATCAACTCCAAGTATACTATCAACAGCATGGTGACAATGAAGTCCCTCATGTGACCTCTATTGCATTCTCCATATCAGGAAGACTTCTCTTTGCTGGATATTCAAATGGTGATTGCTATGTTTGGGATACTTTATTAGCGCAGGTAAATACATGCATGATTTTTTTCACCATGTTATGTCGTGTTTTCTTTGTTGCTTGAGTTATTTCCCACATATCTAGACGTTAATCTTGCGTAGAATTTTGTAAGCCTTTTACACAGCTGTGCTGCTTTAAGTTTTTAGTTGTTTAACATTGTACTTTAACATCTGTAGGAACTCTTTTGTTCTTTCATCACTTTCACATGAAATCCCTGCAGATCTAAAACAAAATTTGTTTCTTTTAGTATGTGTCCTTCCCATATAGATTTTATGTTGTTCCCTTTTCTAGTTCCAGTTTAGTTACCTTTTGCCGTGTTAGTTCTTGAATTCAGGTGCTGGTCTTTCCTGTAATTGATTTAAAAACCAAGAACATATAGATGCTCCTCATGCCTCACCTTGATTGCCGGTTGAATATGTCCTAATTGTGGAAGTACCCAACCTTACTCAGTTTAGCCTTTCTTCTTCATGGAGAAAGAACTTCCATTAAAGTGCCGAGACCTGCTTTTTTGTTTAGAGTCATTACCTAGTGGTGAACCTTACGTGTCAAGTTTTCTTCTTTTTTCAATTGATGTATATACATGTTTGCACGAGTAGTGGCTAAACTTAGCTAGTCATGACAAAACATTGCATAGATCAACTTGAATTGTGACTTTTATTTTTTTGCAGGTTGTTTTAAACTTGGGATCTCTGCAGAATTCGCATGAGGGTCGGATAAGCTGTTTGGGCTTGTCAGCAGATGGGAGTGCCTTGTGTACAGGAAGTTATGATACAAACCTAAAGGTTAGTCTGCATACAGAGTCTCTATATTGTTTTATGATGCCATGTGATTTGCATGATAGAATTGCGTTCTTGCTCTTGATATTAATATTGCTTCCAATACTCCACACACCCATTCTCCCACCCAAAAGAAAAAACTGTAGAATTGCCCCCATCCTTTGTGTTGAGATTTCCTGTTGAGAAATGGCAATATATAGATGTAGAATTCCCTGTTGGCAAGTCTGATGAGTGTAATTCATTAACTTTACTAGCTCAATGATTTAGATGTAGAATTCTAGCCTTTTCCCGCATGTCTAGAGCCCAATTTTATGGCATGGCCCCTTTAGATATCAGTTAATTCTTTATTCTGACACCTGTTGCATTAGACTTGCGTCTCTCATTTAGATGTAGAAACATAGATTGTTCTGTTGTTTTGGCCTTTCCAATGGTTTCCAAAAACAAGTATTACATTTTGCTCACTATTCCTTACTACATGATGGTTGACCAATCTAATTACTTCAGCTCTATGATTCTATATGCATATGGATAAAGGCATATGTCCTGGAAGCAGGTGGGCTATTCAAAATATTGTAACATATATTGTGTGTCAAGATCATCCCTTCTAGGAAGGGGAATAGACTTTATCAACCTAACCCAAATAAAATCTTATCTTCATGCTGTCATTATAATATTGACATCTGATTATTAGTTTTAAGTCTCAATGGGATCTTTTATAAACAACCATATGTGAGTTGTATTCAATGCTGGTTGTCAATTTGTATCGAACTATATGGAAGTTGCGGAACTACTCATGTCCATATGATGGTCGTTATCAACAAGCTACATTAGTGACAGTGTTATCTGCTTTATAGCTACTATAGGGTATAGTTTTCTATCTTCTAAATTATTTGCCAGGCATCAAATATATGTAAAGAATTGACTATATATTTATTTGCGCTCTCTTTCAGATTTGGGCGTTCGGAGGCCATAGGAAGGTGATTTGAGAATGGAAAAAAAAGAAAAAAGTTACCGTGTGGTCCTCTATCATCCAAGGTTTGTGAGTCCCTGCTACCCCATAATTGCATTGTGCCTTCTTGGTTGATTCCATTGTGTTAATGCAAAGAAACCATAGTCTTGTACCATTGCTTCTAGTAATCCTTAATGTGAAAAACTGAGTTTGAGGGAAGAAGAGGGAAAATGTTAGACGAAGACCTTGACTGATGGGAGTAGCCATTTGTTTCTTTCATGGCCTATTATTCCTCACTTGTGCTCTTACTCTTTGTAATTGAAGTTCCGACTTCTATTTATTTAATATTTAAATCTTCAGTAAAGCAAAACCAGGGAAACCGATTGAAGTTCTGACTGAGACTTTTGTCACAATTGTGAAAAAATTTTAGTATGATTTTTCGTTAGGCGGAAGTACAACAACTACTAGGTCAATGATGTTTGACTCATTTATCAAATCTTGAAGATTAAATAGTAATAAATAAAATATTTAATGAAATGAAATTTTAAGAATCTATCGATTCAACTCCTATGTGAGTGTGGTACATTGTATATAATACTATGCATTGGTAACGAAGCAACTAGAAAAGCGTATTCTAAAACAGAATATAATGATTTGGTTATGTGTGCGGTTAACTGTATAAATTCACTTTTATATTTCAAAAAAAAAAAAAAAAAATTTGGACCGGGAAGTAAAACAACGTACTAGGATCGAATGATGTTATTGACTCATTTATCAATCTTGAAAGAAATTAAATAGTATAAAATAAAGAAATATTTAATGAATATAATTTTAAGAATCTTAGTCGATTCAACTCCTATGTGAGTGTGGTACATTGTAATAATATGCTATGCATTGGTAACGAAGCAACTAGAAAGCGTATTCTAAAACAGAATATAATGATTTTGTTATGTGTGCGGTTTAACTGTAATAAATTCAGACTTTTATATTTCAAAAAAAAAAAAAAAAAATTTTCTGACACTTCTAAAAAAAAAAAAAAAAAAAAAATTTTCTGACACTTCTAAACTTTGTAAAGGATGTATTACATGGTAACCTTTCAAACTTTTCCATATTAACAGCTAAGTGTTTTTTTTTGTGTTTCTGGGTGCTACTTTTGAAACAATTATTTGTACGTTTTTTTAATTAAATTTTACAAATTAAAATGTTAAATAAAAAATTTTAGAAATTGAAGTGTTAGTTTTTTGTTTTAAAGTTTAAGAAGTTTATCTATATGCCTTCACACAGCCATCGAGCACACAGACACCTGTTAAAATTTGAAAACTTCAATGAAAATATCTGGACATAAAAATATAAACTATCTTTCCACAATGCAATTAACACGAGTGTTTGAATCTCGAATGAATGGTGTAATTAACAAATACTCCAATTCACAATGCTTGGATGTAAAAATTAAAAATAAAAAAATAAAAAGAAGGGGAAGATGCTTCCCAAATTCTTATCCGATTAAATCTCGCAAGTATTGTCAAACAAGCTTTGATGGAACCTATAACTAATTCCACAAAAAAATTTAAAAGGTAAAAATGTAAAATAAAATAAAATCCTCCTTTAGAACTGATTTGCATGATACAAAGAGTATATCATTGCCGTATTAAAAGATGAGAGAGAAGCTCTGAGATGAATGCAAATCATTTTCCCCAGCAAGCCAAGCTCCCACTCCAAAGGGCATAGCATACGACTCTTTTCTATAACAAGCATTTTCGGCTATTGTCAACACACTCCTGCATGTCATCTCATCAAAAATTTGGCGCTAGTATAAGAAAGCAACAGTTATTAGATTGACACATTAGCCGCTTGCTACAATCTCGTGAATGGCATCACTGACAGATTCATCTTCAGATCTGACAGCCAGTTTCATCGCAACATCCCTTGCACCATCAATTCCAAATTGCAATCGCACGAGAACCCTCACATTGCCAATGAAAACACCAGATAGTAGGCAGGTATGCGACCGTGAATTGCTTGCGACAACCTCTGTGCCCTGGACAAGAAAACCCAGAAGAAATAGACAAAATTTGAGGACAAAAAAACTGTTTGAGATATTGCATAAAAGCATCCCTACAGGATGCTTGCATTATGCTTAGTTTAGTTGTCCAAATATGAAGCACAACTCGAAGAGGAAAAAAGACCAATTAAATTATACAACAGAGAATGACAGAATATTTTGAGAGATCGCATAACAGATCTCATTTGTATTATATCAGTTCATTTTCTTGATATGCATTGAGAAAACAAAGAGGTTGTTAGGCTAAAAACTCTGTCCTCAATTGCCTTCACAGTAATTAAAGGATGACTATGCAATTGAATAATTTCACCAACTAACCTCACAAGGCTGCATGCCAAGAAGGTTGATGACAGCACTAACAGCTTCAGACAAGCTCTCTCTAGGGCCAAGGCCATATTCATCCACTCGTTCACAATCAGGGCCCATGCTTTCCCATGCATTCCTGAAATTGGATACCCCAACTTTCATCATGTAATCTGCTGCAACGACCTCCAGTTCCTCAAGTTGGTATTCATCCTCCACACCATCTTCATCTGCTTCACCAGTAGTTGGATCAACCTAGACAAATGCACCCAGTCAAAGAAATGAAAATTCATAATACAACTGATGTGGATACAGTAACAATTCAAAATGTTTTCATTTGGTTAATCTTAGATGCATAATCATAAGAGCACAGGTACAAGTCACTTTAAAAGTTGCCTGTGCAAGTATATGCATGCCATAAAACCACAGCAAACCCTAACAATTTTTCCTAATTTATTTTCTAATACAAGACCAACAAAAACACAGGCTCAGAAAGAAAAAGCATATATATCACTGCAGGAAGAAGGCAAGCATACCTCTTTAACAATGAATCTCAACATATTTGAAAACTTCCCGACTGCAGGGACTCCCTCTGGCTTCTCAAAAGCCACAAAAGTTTGTCCAGGTGAATCGTAAGGGAGAGATCTTAAAGGCTTGGATGCTACCTCTGAAAATTCCTCTGCTTCTGAAGCATCTACAATAACCATAACCTGAAAAAATGGACAAACACATTATAAAGACAGCCCTAAGCATACACACTTGGAAAAATATTAAGTTGCTTTCATACATTTTCCAGTAATTGCTCTGGTATTGTATTGGTGCAATTGTACTGGAAGACAACATGCCCATCAAAAATATGCTTAACAGCATTAACAGCATATTCTGTCTCTGCTTCTGTAAGTTCCACAGGTGCCGATGACTGTTGAAGGAACAATAAGGAAACAGCACATAGTAAGTCTAAAGATTCATTAATGCAAAATAAATTCAGCCAACGAGTTAAAGAGTTTAAAATGTAAACCTTGAAGAGCTTCCCAAAGTTCGAGAACTCTGGGATGGAGGAAATAAGCTTTTCATAGGCATCAACAGTAGATGGGGGACCAGCTGGAGGAGAACCGAGACCAGTTGGCTTCTTGCCTGGGGCTTTCTTCTCTGCAAGTGGCTGAGACTTAACTTCCTTTGGCACAGAATGAATATCAAAAGGCTCTTCTGATGGCTCCTGTAAGAACAATAATATATATCAGATGACGACAATCAATAAACATTTAAAAATATGCACCAATAAGTTGTATTGATATTGGAGCTTATCACACTATATGTTATCCATAAATTTCTCGACCCTAATGCATAATCCCTAATTCAAAGGTTAATAGACATAAATCTCTCATTTTAACAATAACGCATTAATAAACATGAAAATTGTCATTTAGCTATACAAAACGTACAGGACAGAGAAAAAACTTACATAATTTTTCAAACTTGTCTCCAAGTTAAATAGTGGGATATCTAGTGGACCAAAAAGAAAAGCTTGTACATCTTTATCAGTTTCAACTACTTCACCGTCGCCACCAAGAGTATTAAGATAAAGTGTTGCCCTATCGCGAACCTGTAAAACAAGTCAGAGAGATAACTGCATAAATCAAACCTAACAACAATAACATTTTCAAACTATTATAAAGGAGTAACGGAGAAATAAATTGAATATTTCAACATTAAACAAATCTTTTATTAAAAATAATATTGATAATGAACATACATACAGATAGAAACAAAAAAATGTAAATGTACCAATAGAAGAGAACGTTCAGCAATTCCATTATTATATGGGAACCTACCTCATCATCACTGTCAAAAAGACAACGTCTCAGCAGAACAAAAATGCGAGGCTGGCATAGAGAGCACAAGAATATTAATCAACAGTCAGCAACTGACAATTCACCTAGAATAGTTGGAGCAAACAACACAAGCACACAAATATGCCAGTAATACCTTCAATGTGTCAACCAAAGCACCAAACTTGGCTAACGTGCTCACGGCAGCAGCCCGAACGGTTGCATTCTCAAGATGTACGCGATTGTAGATGTAGCGTATGTATTTGCTGGGATCCGAGGTCTTTGGCCCTTCAATCCCAAGAAAATGGAGTATCTAACAACAAGTGAATTAGGATAGATTTTAAAGGGGACGGAAGGAAAACACAAATAAATAAAATCACTAAATTGATAGATAGTCACCTGTGTCGAAAGATATGTAAATTCACAATCTTCAATGAACTCACACAAATGAAGCAACCCACTTTCCTTAGCTTCAGGGATATCACTGATGAGAATGACTATGGAATCTACAATTGCCTTTTTATACTCAAATCCACCTTCTTCCCGAAGGATGTTGCTTAAAAAGTTCATACTACAAACAAAAAGAAAAAAAAAAAAAACATAAACTTGTGGTTGCTAATAAATTAGAGAACAGATGACAATGAAGCCTAGTAAAAATATCACTCACAGTGTTCTGTACTTCAAGGGAAACTTCAAACACAGTGACCTTATGGCTTCCACCACAACAATTTTGAACTCATCAGCAATATCTGACATGAAATTTGTAATCTGCTTCATCAGGCGATCTACACTTGATTCATTTCCTGTCTTAAGCAGTGTTGTGATTGCAAGAGTGGCAATGCTTCTGTTCTGGTCAGAAATTAAACTCTCCATATCAATGTTGCAGTTAGTGACTGCCATTGGATGTGTCATTGCCACCTTCAAATCGATGAAACATTCAGCAGTTTAGCATGTGATTCCAAATCCTTGAAAATCATGAAAGAAATACCTATTCCCCTTGCACCCATCATGCAGCATTCCCGAAAAACCAAAATCTAGCCTTTAATAGCTTAAAGGAAAACTCGTTTACCTTGTTCAAGGTGCGGACAGCAGCAAATCTCAGCACAGGTTTGGAAGAACTCAAAAAGAGCTGCAGAACAGTGATTGCTGGAGTCAATTCTCGGCTTGTGACACCACTAAGCTCTGTGATAGCTCTGGCAGCCTCAAAAATCACCATCTCTGCCTTATGGCGCAAACAACCCTCCAGAAAATCATAGAAAGGACGGTCCCCTGTTTGAGTGTTAGCACCTGACTCACGAATAACCTGCACGTAAAAACAATTTCATGTATAGTAACAAAATAAAAAATATCACTGTCAAACATAAGTTCAAGTGGCATACACTAACCTGACTTGTATAACGTATCAAGAGGCATTGGGCCAGCGGCGAGCGAACAGTTCCCCTAGTCAGACTGGTAACTAATTTGCTGACAGCTAGTCGATCATTCTGCCGTATCTGCATGGTTTTAAAAGCACAAGCATCTTAATAAAATGGTCCACTGAATCCACATTCAAGCAGCCTGAGCAATGATTCAGCTAATACAAGAAAAAAAAAATACAGCACAAAGAATATGAACATTCATATATAACTCAAGAAATAGAAAATGAAACAAAAATGTAGCACAATTGCACAACATTCAGAGAATGGTAAGTCAAAAAGAATGCCAAGAAGGCCTCAATAATGTATGTATCCATTTTTTTGATAAAAGAAATGCTATCATAGAACTGATAATTGGCAATGAAGTTGTTAACTTAAACTCAAATCCACTCCGCATCCACAAAACAAATTACCTTTAGCAAGTATATCACCTGCAACCATTGATCTTCAAAGAGAAACTTTTTACTTAGGCAACCATCTTTGATTTATCTCATAAAAACCATATTCAAATTCTACATAGAGCTGGGAATGCTAATTAAACTCAAATCTAACCATACCTGATGGAGTAATGCCAGTGCATGAAATTGTACAAGGGCAGCTCTTGACTGCACAGCTTCCTGAACCTCATTGCTCCACCTTTTCACTATCTCTGGATTTGTCTGCCAAACAGTAAAGAACATATTAGGTAATTCCAAAAACAAAAACTAAAAGAAGATGTAAGACAATTAAATAGTACCTGGAGTAAATGGATACCACTAACCAAGGCTGCACTAGCAACCACTGGATTCTTGTCAACAATTGCTTGTTTCAAGTATCGCTCAATTTGGGTGAGCAGGGTTCCATCTGTTATCCGACAAAGCACACGAATAGCATTTGCACGGTACATATCACTCTTGCTATTCATGTCCTTCATAAGGGAGCTTGTCACAATTATAACCTTTTGTAGGGAAGAATGTAGCTAGTCAGTATCTACATCTGAACTAAAGAATAAGTAATAACAACATTATAAATAGGAGATGCCAATAAAAGCATAGCAATATGACCTCATCTGCTGATGGGGATAATTCCTTTATCATCAAATAGACCATTCTCCTTAAACCTATATCCCTGGACTGAAAAAGCTTTGTCACAGCAAAGAAAACTTCTGTGGCTTCAACCTATAAGAATAATGCAAAAAAAAGTATTTCAGACAAGGTTTCATTTTGTTCCAAATATATACAAAAAAAAAAAAAAGAGCATGTCTCTCGTTGCTCATGAGACAGTCAAGATGTAAGCTCTCCAGCAGAAATACTTGACCTTAGTGAATGTTTCTCCTTGGTTCAGAAGATATAGAAGCTTTGTAATGACCTGAAAGAAAAATAACATACCAAAATTCATAAGCAAATGGGTCCCATATTTTCCCTCCTACCTCTTTTTCTCTGAATAAGCACAAGCAGGTCATATGTATTGTAAATAGATAATGAGGCAGTATAAAGCAAAAACCTGAGAGCATTTTCTTGGATCAAGCTGAGGGTCATTGAAAACCCTGGCTTCCTGAAGAACTGCACCCTTCTCAATACCAAGAAATGGAGAGAACTCCGCTGACAAAAATAAATATCACAGAATCATACATGTTATTGGTCCTTCCTTGTATACTATAATCATAATTGAAAATACACTATAATTTTTAGTGCATCAATAACTAATCTAGGTAATCCATGTCACCAGAAAATCCACATTAGATAAATCTAGAAAGAGCACTAAATCTATTGAGATTTACAGCAAGATGGCAAATACAGAGCTCTATCAGATCCCTTAAAATGAGGGCTTAACAATGAATACCACTGGCTAACCAATAAGGACTTGTTCAATTAAGATCGATAAAAACAACAACTAGAGCGCCATATGTATTATGTACTAAGAATTACAAGTCCCATTAGATCAACTTTTTCTAGCAGAGATGCACAGAATTACCAATGCACATTGGGATTTAGGGATTAGGAAAGCATATACCAACTTCAATCTTTGTTATAGAGATCAGATCAACTAAAGCTACACCAAATCAGCTTAAAAGCTCTTAAAATTTGGACCTACTGTAATGAAACAAACAAGCAAACATGTTTATAAAAAGAGAATGGCACAGATCTAGAAGCTAACAATTGATCTAATGCCGGTAACTTAGGATTCTGCAATTAAGCCCTAAATTAAATAGGGAAATTGAAATCGAAGTATGAAATCGAGTAGAAAATGAGATCGTGTCGTAAGTGAAGAAGATGAAAACGGATTCAATACCTTCGTCGTCGCGGTCGTCGTCTTTCTTTATGAGAGGCTGAGCCATTGCTAAAAGCTACGAATCTTCAAGATCTGCAGGGTAGATTGTCGTACTTATAGAGACCCTTTCCCTCTCTCTGTGTTTCTCTCTGGCAGTGAAATTTCGAAGACGAGGGATCTAATATTTTCTGCTCGTTACCATTTGTGACCTCAATGCATAAAATGATGCTACGAAGGTGGAGGATGGAGTGTGACTAATCAGTAAAGGCCACGTCACCATGTTCTGTCAATTTAATTCCTAAACTGCCCCAAATCATGGTTTCTTAACTTGTTAGACAAAAGTTTGGGCAGGATATGTTTTAATGTATCCAAATCTAATATTAATTAATTATTTTGGTACTACAGAAAATAAAACATTTGCGATTTTGAATTTTTATTGGCCAGACTCATCGATTTTAATTTGTGCAGGAATTTACAAATTAGGTGTCGTATTTTTCAAAATTTTTACATTTTTCACATTTAAATTTGGTATCAAAGATATTTGCATATCATATATTCATATACGAATTCTTTGTTCGATATTTGAACACAGTAATAGCATTGAATTCGCAATATGAAATAACATTATAATAAAATACTTATTTTTTAAAGAAAATATTTTCTTAAATTTCTGACAATAGTTAATTTTTTTTATTAATAAGCAATAAATTATTTATATATTTAAAAGTTCATCCTAAACTCAACGCTGAAATTTGTTGTTCTATGGAATAACTATTTTATAGAAATAACTATTCCATGAAAATAGCTGTTTTATGCACTTTAAAAGTTCAACTATGGTAATTTGATTAATTTCTATTACTTTTATTTTAATTCATTAAAATACCAAATTAAATCTTAAAAGGACTTTAATTATTTTTAAATTGGCTAAATTCTCGAATATATATTTCAAACACAATAGAGTGATGTTGTATTATGTTAAACTTAACAAATTCAAACTTTTTTGAAAAAATCATAAATGAAATGAACAATTTTAATACTAAATATAAAAATACGAATTTCACAAATGAATTTTAAAAATTCAATGAAATTCACAAGTTGATATTCAAACACGATTATATATATATATTTTTGATAGAGTTATAATTCTTAACTAAGTTATGTTTATCTATTTTGTTTATATATAAATAACCATCAACAGATCAAGAGGTTTTATAAATTACCGCGAGAGCGAGAGTCTTAAATCTATTAGATAGCTGTGTGAGCTTGACAAGTTGGTTGTTAATTTGAGCTTCTACCACTGCTTAGTGTTAAAACAATAATAATAATAAGCATCAATTTTCCAACAGAAATTTACTCAAATCGACAAATTCTACAAGAACTCCATTAATGACGAATGCAAGATTACAAAGACAAGGACAATGTAATTGTGCCTTCACCATCATCCATTTGATGAAGGCTAAACCTAAACAAATAGTTGCAGTTTCATGATAAAATTATCACTCTCACTCTTCCCATTTGCTAGAAGAAATAAACTCGCATTTTAATAGTAATAACCCAGTTCTTGAAAATTAGTCTATTCATCCAAATACCAATCAATGGCGATAATTTCTTTGCTTAAAATTTGAGAATCCGATAATTTTTCCTTCATCGAGGACTGTTCTTTCCGCTACCTGTCTCACCTTCGCTGCTTGAAGAGGAAGGGTTGAGTCCATACTCACTTGTGTGACCATAATCACTGCTTGCATATTCTTGGCTACTGTCCATTAATATCATCTTCCTAAACTTCTTAATGTCTGCACTATATGAGGCACTGTCATACTCTGAACTATAACTAGTAGAATCGAGCCCTCGTTGATCAGTTTTGACCCCTTCATTCAAGTGATCTAGCGAGACATCGCCTTCTAGAGCTCGAACAATCTGCTTCGTAGATAAAATTCTTTGTAATTAGCATAAATATACACGAAACATTTCATATTTGGAGACTCTGGGATGGTTGATAAACAAGTAATATTCTAATCTATTTAAAAAAAAATAGTGATAATAGTAATTGATTAAATATGTGATTAAGAGTTTGTTTGCAATTACCTGGCTCATTTTTGGTCGTCTTCTGGCTGAATGTCTAATGGCCGCACCAGCACAAGCAACCATGCGTGCCATTTCAGCTGAATCATAGTTGCCATCCAGACGAGGATCTGCCATTGCTTGAAAATTTCCACTTTCCACTGTACTGGCACATAATGGTCTCGCCTGTGGATGCATAAAACAAGTAACATTTGAAGATATTCTTCCGCATATTTAGTTTGGTTTCAATCATCCAGTGTGCCTATTAGCTCGACTAATCCAGATTCACATCGGATTGGCCATAAAGCAGGGCAAAATGCTTATTCCCGAATATTAAAAAGATTTCATATCTCTTTCAAAAAAAAAAAAAAAACTCCATATTCAAAACTCGAACTCAAAATTTCTAATTAAAACATAAAAGATTCTTATCATCCTATTTTAACCTTCCAAGATAATCTACATATTTAGTTTGTTTTGCTTTTAGATTGAATTGGTTTTTACAAAAAATGTTGGAAAATGCTGTTAGAAAATTTAATTTGTTTACTTTCATATAATTTTTATGATTAAGAGAATTGGAAATTCATCGTTTTAAAATAAATTTTAGTCGAAGTTAAGGGTAGAGAAATGGTCACCCAGTCAACAAGACTCTCATCCATCTCTGAATTTATATCCACAGGACGGCGTCCAGATATGAGTTCCAATAACATTACACCAAAGGAGAAAACGTCAGATTTCTCAGTAAGCTTGCCACTAGATGCATACTCAGGAGCCAAGTACCTGCAATGGAAAAAATCATCATTAGTTATTTAATTATAATAATTAATCCCATTAAACTTTCATCTAAGTTTCGTATTGCAATTACAGATTAATCTATATTGCTTGTGAATATCTAATTATAATGAAACTAATTAACCATTGCTCAAGCAGTAAGACATGTTTGCGTTTACTGGATATAAAATTAACATTTTTTCGAGATATTAATTAGTGGAAAAATCGAAAATTAATTAAGTAAAAGATCCAAACCCAAAAGTTCCCATGACACGAGTTGAGACATGGGTAAAATTGTCTGAATTTAGCTTGGCCAACCCAAAATCTGCCACCTGATAATTAGTGTTGATTCAACACAGAAATAATTATTAGACGAACTAATTCAATCTAAATTAATCCAAAATGGAGGAAAATTAATAAATTTTATATATAATATTGCAGATGATAAACGTACCTTCGCTTCAAAATTGAAATCAAGCAAAATATTTGCAGCTTTAATGTCTCGATGGATAATGCGAGGATGACCTGTATCAAACATGTTATAATGGGAGAGTAGAGGTAAACATTCGGTCCGTTCAGTTTGAATTTTATAAAATTAAGAAGGAAGTTCTTTAAAAAAAAAAAAAAAAAAAAAAGAAAATTTATTTTGTTTACTTTCATATAATTTTTATGATTAACGAGAATTGGAAATTCAATCGTTATTTTTAAAATAAATTTGTAGAGTCGAAGGTTAAGGGTAGAGAAATGGTCCACCGCAGTCAGACGCGATAGACTCTCATAAGAGCCATCGATCTCGTGAATTTAATATCCACATAGACGGGCGTCCAGATATCGAGTTTCCGCAATAACATTACACCAATAGGAGAAAACGGTCCCAGATTTCTGCAGGTAAGCTTGCCACTGATTGCATAGTCTGGCACAGGAGCCAAAGTAACCTTGCAATTGGAAAAAATCCATCATTAGTTAATTTAAATTATAATAATTAATCCCATTAGAGAGAGTAAGATCCTTTCATGTAAGTGTTCGTATTGCGAGCGATTACAGATTCAAATGTCTATATTGGCTTGTGAGATATTCGTAAATTATAGCATGAAACTAACTTACCATTGCTAGTCGCAAGGGCAGTGAATTAGACGCGACATGGTTCTGCGTTTTACTAGGATAGTAAGCGGTTAAAATTAACACTTTTTTTCGAGATATTAATTAGTGGAAAAAATCCGCAAAAATTATTTTAAAGTAATAGCGGGATTCAGAACCCCAAAAGTTTCCCTAATGACACGAGTTTGAGACATGGGTTAAAATTGTCTGGAATGTTAGCTTGGGCCAAACCCAAAATCTGCCACCTGTATCAATTAGTTCGTTGATTCAACCACAGAAATAATTATTAGCGAACGAACTAATTATGCAATCTGAACTTAATCCAAAATGGGAGAAATTAATAAATTTGTAATATATAATATTGCAGCAATGATCAAAACCGTAGCCTTCGCTTCAAAATGTGAAGATCAGCAAATATTTTGCCAGCTTTAATGTTCTGCGAATGGGAGAATAGTAGATGATTGGCTGCAAGGGGAGATGGAGCCATGTATGGCAAACAGTGGTAGTTAGGGAGGTACATAGCGGATTAGAGTGTAAGATAAGGTCAAACCATTACGGATCTGGTTCATCGGTGTTTGAAATTTAAGTCAAATTAAGGAATCGGGATGTGGCATCTCTTTAGAAAGAAATAAAAAAAAAAAAATCAAACTAACTCTGCTACTATGTGTTCTGGTTAAAAAATAAAGATATGAATAAATCCTAGAATAACGTAAAAATAAAATGCATAGATATAAACCAAACATTTCAAAGTTGTTTAGAATGAGAATATTGTTTATATTGATCTATTAATTAGCGTGTTCAGTTCTAACGCTATTAGTTTATTTGTGAACTTTTTATTCCTTAAATTATAGTCATATAATAATACAGAAATACACATCAAACTTACTCATAGGAGAATGGTATTCAAAATTTGAGCAAAATCGAAACAATTAAAAAAAATATGATAAACATTTATCTTTTTTATTATTTGTGATTATTATTAGTTTTGTTTTGTCTGACCGAGGTTAATTGATGACAAGTTTTTGTGGCCATTCAAAGCTGTGCGAGGGTTTATGCATTTTTTACTTCTCAGTGTTGAAGCTTTAATTTAATGTATATAATCTATTGATTGACTTACAATCTATCATCGGCAAGTTAAGCCAAGTCTTTGGCTGATCCTAGGGCAAATTGTGTGAGCTAGTGGACCAATCCATGGTAAGGGGCATGACCCTTACCTGCAATAATTTTCGAGAAAGGAAAAAAAAATGACCAACTCTGAAAATGTTTGTACGAATGCATTGATGACCGGAGGTTTGGGTAAATTCTTCTTTGCGGCGCAAACGGCAGAAGTGGCATATATTTCAGAGTATGGACACTTGTGTTTCGGTTAATAATGAGAAAAAAAAAAAAAAAAAAAAAAATCAAACTAACCTAATTTTTGTAAAAAAATAAAAAATAAAATTCTAGAAATAACTAAAAAATAAAATCAAAATAACCAAAATTTCAAAGTCTGTTAAAATAATATGTTTATATTTCTATATAAATATATAGTTCAGTTCTATTTAGTTATTTTAACTTTTATTATTAAAATTAAATCAAACAGAAATCATCAAAACTTATCATAATTCAAAATTGAGCCAAATCGAACAATTAAAAAAAAATATGAAAACATTTATCTTTTTTATTATTATTATTATTTTTTTTTGTTGAAGTTAATTATGAAAGTTTTGCCATTCAAGAGGTTTAATTTTTATTCTCAGTGTTGAAGCTTTAATAATGTAATAATTATTGATGACTTACAATCTTCATGCAAGTAAGCAAGTCCTTTGGCTGATCCTAGGGCAATTTTGAGCCTAGTGGACCAATCCATGGTAGGCTGACCCTTACCTGCAAAATTTCGAGAAAGAAAAAAATGACCAAATGAAAATGTTTGGTACATGCATTGATGACCGGAGGTGTAATTCTTCTTTGCGCGCAACGGCAAAGTGCATTTTTCAGTATGGAACTTGTGTTTCGGTTAATAATGGAGGGAAATGCTTGGGAGAATACTCTAATGATTTGAGGTTTCTTACCATAGAGGTGATGTTCAAGGGTGGAATTGGGTAAAAACTCATAAACCAGCAACCGTTGGCCACCTGCCATACAATATCCAACAAGCGACACAAGATGGCGATGGTGGACACGGCTAATAATCTCCACTTCGGCTTGAAATTCACGATCTCCTTGTCCGCTGCCAACTTTAAGACTTTTCACTGCAATTTCTTTACCATTAGCCAAAACTCCTTTATGCACGTACCCGAACCCGCCTTGGCCTAGTAGGTTAGCTTTAGAGAAACCGTCAGTCGCTGCTGCTAGCTCCTCGTAGCTGAAACAGCTGTGAGTGAACCCCAGAGCCACCAATGGGTGCGGAGGAGGCAAGGCTGGACCATGTGGACCTGAGAAATTTGAGCTCTTGTCACTACCAGTTGATGCATTTGTACCAGGGAGAGGTTGTTGCGGACCTGGTGATTGTGCTGGTGGAGGTGGTGGTGATGGTGATGGCCACCCATGAGCACCAGGAGGTGGAGGTAAGTTGCCCATTTGATCATTGTTATATTGGTTTCCCATCTGCCAATTATTAGTTGGCCGTTGAGTAGTTGGATAATAACTATTACCACCTGCATGTGCGTTTCATATATAACCATTTTTCATTTAAAAATGAAATCAACATATGAATCTATAGAGCTATAAACTGTTAAATCGTAAACTTGAATCTAAGTTGGAGTGTAATAATTTATATATACACACATATATAATGGAAGAAAATAACTCTTCTTTACATTGTTATTTATCAGAAAGATGAAGTTTTGAAGGTGGTACCATTGAGTGCAGGAGATGGGTCGCTACTGTAGTAATCATACTCTATTCTCTTCTTCTTTTTCTTTTTGCTTGTACACAGGTAAACAAGTGATGCAAGTAGAAGCATGGCTGCCACCCCGACCACAACTCCAATTACAATGGGTACAATGGTACTAGAGGATTTATCAGTTGATCCGGACGCTAATGGTGGTGGTAGTGGTGGACGACTGGATTTGGATGATGATGGAGGCGAGGGTGGGGGTGAAAATTTATCATTATTGTCACTGTTATTTGGCGGCGGTGGTGGTGTATTTGTGTTAGAAGAGGAAGGAGGTGGTGGTGTATTTGTCTTAGAAGAGGAAGGAGGTGGTGGTGGTGAAGCATTTGAGTTATTTGGCGGGGGTGGCGCTTTATTTGAAGGTGGGGGTGGAGATGACTTCTTATTTGGTGGTGGTGGTGGTGAGGATAGTGGAGGAGGTGGGGAAGGTGAAGATGATGGAGATGGCGAATTTGCTGATGATGAAGGAGGAGGAGGAGGAGAAGGTGAGGAGTCCGGTGACGGGGCAGAAGCCATAAGAAGAACTTCCGACCTATATATTATTCTTACAAAGGCAACGGTCTACCCCCACCACTCCTCCAAATGATCTCCCTTGTAATCCCTAAGAATAAGAAACATATATATATATATATATGCTTTAGCAAAATAAAACAATATTCATTAAAGAAAATGAATACTAATTGAAGAACAACATATGAATAATCTTAAAGACTCAGAACTACTAAAGGATTAATAACATGCATAAAATTAAACAATCTAAGAACAATAAGATCAATAACCAATGAAAAGTTAAATTTTGATGGTCATGACTACTTCTAAGCTCATAAAATATTTTTACTAATAGATGTGTTCTTGTTCTTGTGTGTGAGTGTGTGTGTGTGTGTGTGTGTGAGAGAGAGAGAGAGAGAGAGAGAGAGTACCTATGGGAGAAGGGTGGAAGGATTCTCAAAATGTGGAAAGAAATGGTCTTGCATGGTAATAGAGTTACAAGAAGAAAGGGAAAACCGTGTACACCTCACAGAAACCCCTCCTAGAAAGGAGGAAATTCTTGTCTTTGACAGTGAGGTTTTCTGTTTTTCCTACTTTTAAGTTGAACCCTTTGTAACCACGCAGCCTAAGACTTAGTGTAAATCTCACTAGATGACACATTGTTTGTTAATTAGTTGCTTAGGCTAGCTCTTAGCCTCTTAGTCACTTTAATCTATTTTTGAATTTTAAGTAGTTAGTTTGTTTTGTTCAGCAAATTTTACCCATTTTTAGCTTGTGAATGTTTTGTCATTATTCTCCTTCTAAAACTATTCAGTTTTAGGTCCAATAGGTACAAAATTCTGTTTTGCACATAAACACAATATTTTCTATTGGGTGGTGATGTGATCATATTATTACAATTATATTCAAGGTTTAATTGATTATTATTACAAGTATATATAGCTAGGTAGAAAATTATATATAGTATTTTCTTTAGTTATCATTTTGTTCTTCATCATTAATTTATGTAATAACTAGTTGATTAATGGCATAATGTACAAAAAGTAATAATATAGTATCTTTATTTTATTTTTAAGACAAAAATAAAGTTTCAATTGATGGTTTTCTTCTTCCATATTGGCCTAAATTGAAGACTTGAATTGATTATTCCACATTGAATGTTAAATAAATTTACGAAATTCCAAGTTTCAACTCAAAACTTGGGCGTTTGGTTTTAAAATTTTGTAATTGCATGTCTCATATAATGTAAAGTGCGATAGGGTTGCTTTAAGAAAATTAATCAATATTATATACATATAAATTTTTTTTTATGTAATTTCGAATTATATTAGGTGCTTCAATACCCTCGAATAAGATAATAGTTACCTAAACAAGGGGGAAGAGAGAGAGAGAGAGAGTTCATGCACTTGTAGAACCTCTTGTGTCTAGGCGTAGAATAAGTTTCGATTAAGCTCATCTTTTGATTTTGTAAAAAAATAAATTCAAATTGATTCAAAATTAATTAAAAATCAAATCGAATGAATTCAAGATGTAATTGTTTGATTTCTGATTTACACTAATTTAATTCAATTAAACTGAACCGAACGAGTGGTTCCTATTTCTATTGGATGGCTTTTGTTTTGTGGTCAATAAGCATGGGGTTATTCATGAAAATGAAAGCTTCGTTTCTTTTTTCAATTTCACTTTTGGCTGATCAAACCTAACTCAATTCGTCTTTCACTATTCTCCTCAAACCTTAGAAGTGATTTCTAAAACAGCAATATATAAAATCAAAATTTCTACATATCCTAAATTAAGAAGTAATTAATAAAATTAAATACTTCTTTAATTACCATGGTTTAAAAATCTTATAGATGGAGCATCTTTTTAGTATGTTTTCCTTGTATATCCCATTATTGGGGAGAATAAAATCACCTTAAAAAGAAAACTTTTGAAACATCTTTAAGCATTTACTTTAATTGTTTTCAACAAACTAAAAAGCATTGATATGTAATGTTTCTATTTATGGAACTCAAATCAAATACATTGATCATTAAACAAAAAAGAAATGACTTTTGTGATAGTAACAAGACTAAATAACAGTAACAGGATAGTGCCTAGAACAAATCAACCACAACCTGAACAAATCACAGCAGTTTTACAGAAAGGCACCAAAACCAGCACCAATTGACCAATTTGTTTCCCACAAACGCTAATGTACAGTATAAACTCATACATACGAATAAGAATCGCTAGAAAGAGGCCAAACCATTTATAAGACTTGATAGGTTATTGAATCTCAAGAATCAAAAGCCACAGTTTTAGCACTCACATCCAGTTGACCTAGGCTGACTGCTGTTACCAACATCAATGGTATCTGGCAAGTATCTTCACACCATAAAATTGCCACCAGAAGGACAACAGAAAAAGTGATGTCAGTGTCATTTTAAAAATATTCAAACATAAATCGGATGCATGTTATTTAGATATAAATAACAATTCTATTGGCGGCATTTGCATGTCAACCACATTGGCCACATTGTCTGCTTGCGTATTGAATCAATTTTCAAATATTCTCACTAGCCAATCCAAATCTTAAATCATTACACTATTGGGCAACAGTATGACATTACTTAAAAGGTATTTTAATTTAACATGTAATTCAAATTTTATCAGGCCAGAAAATTAGCAAGACTTGTTGATTTGCAATCCCCATGAGATAGTATAGAATAAGTCCATGCAGATAAAAATGGTCAGTTTGGCAACTTACATCTCCTCCTCTTCCCCACTCTTCAGGGCATTCTTTGCAATGCATTGGAAAGCTTCTTCAACGTTGATGCCTTCTTTGGCTGAAGTCTCAAAGTATGGTATATTCCCTTTAGAGGCACACCACGCTCTTGCCTTTTTTTCTGAAACCTGAAATTAACAAGCAAAAGTATTGATTTCAACACATAAACAAAATGCACAAGCACATTGGAAACACATGTAAAAGTGTACAGCGCAACAAATTCAAGAAGATGCATACCACTCTACTATTTCCACCATCCACATCAATCTTGTTTCCAAGAACAACAAATGGGAAATTCTCTGGATCAGAAGGGCTTGCCTACAGACAGATAAATTTGCAGAGGCATAAAATTATGAAGAAAACAACTAAGAAAATCATGTATTCTGTTCAATAATGCCCTGTAAATTTGCAGATAAATCAAATAATACCTGTATGAGGAATTCTTCTCTCCAATTATTGAGATTGTCAAATGATTTCATTGAATTAACATCATATACAAGAACACAACAATCAGCACCACGATAGAAAGCAACGCCAAGACTTTGGAATCTTTCCTGGCCAGCAGTATCCCAGATCTGCCAAAACAACAGAATACAAAATATACAAGTAAAACACTAGCAGATTAACTAATAAAATCAATCAGGAATTCAACAAGCCACAAAAATACATATTACCAGCAATAAAGCACAGAATTAATTTGTGCCAAAAATATGATAGTTGAGCAATTGGGACAAGCAGAACACAATGCCTTAGCCTACAAAACTCATGCAGTGACCACCTTAGAACAAGATGTCCCACAAATGATAAGGGAACGCAACCATCAATCAGCAGACTAGGAGAGTACCAATGGTAATACTACTACCTCTTGACCGACCTCTAGTGCGCAGTCACCACATAGAGGATTTCATTCCTAGATTCATTATGGAAGGAAACCTCAAATTTGCAACTTACCACAAGCCTAAAACACAGCCCTGATTTTGTGGCGCTAATTGTAATTAATTATAATATGGCCCTGAAGATTGTCCCAGACAGTTCTACTTTTAGCAACCCTAAAGTTTATGGCCTTCCCAACCCAACTATCTGCAATAAGTGTTGTCGCTTGTCAGTACCAACTGGATTTCCACTAATCCAAAATCCCCCTGCCCCCAGATAGAAGCCATGACCATTATTGCTCCTGGGCGAAAAGGAAATATAGGTAAGTTAGGCTACCAACTGAGCTTTTTCATTCTGAACCTTCATTTATTTCTGCATATTGTCATCTAGTCCAAACAATTACCTCTATGACTCAGCAGCAACAAGGAAAGACGATTCACACATATCAGTAGTGGACTGCAAGCAAAGACTAGAGCTTTAGCCCTGCCCTCTCCCACCCTCACTATACCGATTGCATAAGAAATATTATATAGAAAAAAAAAAGATGAAAAATGGAAAGTCAACAGCTAAAAGACATTACCTTATTCCTAAAATATATACTCCAAACCAACCCAAAAGGAAGAAACCACAGAAAGTGAATGCACGGTAGTGCATAAGCAAACTTTAAGTTACATCACGATTTCATATAATAGGCCATGTACTACTACAAACCTGTAAAGTGAAGAGCCTATCTTCAAACTGCACTTCCTTAGTCAAGAAATCAGCTCCGATTGTTGCCTTATATTGATTGCTAAACTTCTTATTCACATATCTAAAAGCAATTAAGTCAAGAAAACAAAAGTAGAAAAGGCACCACTTCCTAGATTTACGAGAATGCATTTATTTCCCCTTCAAGAGAAGGAATAGAAATCACTAATCAAAAAGCCAATAACAGAAGGATACTGATTCATCAAAGAGGTCTTCCCGACCCTGTAAATAAAAAACAAATGCAAATTCATTATCTTAAACATCAACAAACAATCCCAAAAACCACCATTAACAACAATTTATCGACAACAACATCCTTAATCACTTCAAATGTATATTTTCAATTAACATAAACAAAATTATACACTCAATTTTACCCTAAAACCAAAATAGATACACCAACTCCTAATCAACAATTCAATTACCTAAGCAAAAACTCCTCAATCAGATCATAATTGACATAGTTGAACTTGAGCAAGTAACAAAAGCAATAAGATCTCGAAAGATCAGCTTAACCTAAAAACAAAACCCTAGAACTTTGCAAAATAAGCGGTGAATTAACCATGTAAGTACAGGTGACTGACCCGCTATCGCCGAGGATTATGACCTTCAAGAGAGTTCTTCGACGGGAAGGCATGATTGATTAATTCGGAGTACGGACGATGAAGAACCGATCTGTTAGGGTTTGAATATTGGAAATTGAATAACAATAGAAAGGGAAAAAAGAAAGTGATTTAGGTTTAAGTTTTGCAGGTACTAAGGTGTATTCTACTGGGAATAGGAGACGAGAATAGACCAGACGAGACGAGACGAGATGAGTTGTGTTGTTTAATTTTTTGTTTCCTGAGAAGGTCAGTCTTTTCTAGTTTGTAGTCTGCTTCGTCGTGGAAAGCTGTTACTGACCTGTAATTTGTCTATTATAACTTAAAAAAAATAAAAAGGAAATTGGGCTTTTATTTTAAAAAACAATAATGAAATGAAGAGAAACTTCTGGAATGACAGCGCTGTGAGCATCTCGGTGGCATCAAAGGCCAAAGAGTACTATAGATGGCCTTCTGAAATTATTTTGTTCTTTTATTATTATTTAAATTATTATTTTTTCTATTATTATTTTTTCTAAAAGAGAATAATGAGATTTCATTAGCTGGATGAAAAATAACCTCATAAACATTAATGGATAAATTTGGATACGAGCATGACGGTAAGAAGCTCTAACAGGGCAATGGGTACTTACATTATCTTGACTCTTAATTCACTCCACAACAATATAAAGTTTAGATTCTATGAGTGTTTTAGAATCAGAAATAACTAAATTAAACTCGAGTTATCTATTGAAATAAACTTTAAAACAAAATATATAATCTGAGAATCTATGTAAATAAATTCAGTCCCATATTATTTGAATTATTATTAAGAGATTGTTTGTTTGATGCACCAAAAAAGTTTTATTTTCCATTTTTGCTTTTTTAATTTATAAAATTATTGAAAGTCACATCTAATATTAATATTGACATATATTAAAATAATACAAATAAAATTTGTTATGTCAATAATATTATTGCTTTTTTTCTTAAAGTGTGTAGAAATATAAATAAATCTATTTTTGTAGAATGTAGGGACTATAAAATTATAAAATTTAACAATAAATTTATATATTATGTTTGATATAGAATAAAAGGTATTTTTAAATTAATAAAAACATACTTTACAGTTAATTTAAATAAAAAATTTTCTAAAACAATCTAATCATGTTATTTTCCTTATCAACTTTTCTTTTTGAAAACAAATTAAATTTATTAATTAATCATTCCTTTGTTAAAAAATTCAACTCTTTTTAAATATTCAAAGAGGGAAATTTAAATTTAAATTTAAATTTATTATCAAACCATACGTGAATTTAACCCTAGATCATGTGTTAATGTGCAAATAAACTATTAACTAATGGATTTTAAAAAAATTACTAACTAATATGAAAAGACATATATATTACAACTATACACTTGCTTTTCTTTTTTATATCTGTCACATATATTTTGGATTTTGAATCTCAATATCTTATGTTTATCCCTTTTAAATATTTGATATTTTTCTACTGTTCCTTAGTAATTCTGAAATCAAGAATATCCATTCTCATAGTAGGAATGGAAGGGGCTAGTGTGTGAAGTCTTTAACAATTTGAATTTTAAACAACAGCCGTTTTGGAAATTGATGGGGGCAAAGTTGATGTTGATTTTGAATTTGAAATTTTGAAAATTAAATCTTGATTTGAAGGTAGGTCTGAAAAACTGTATGGAACCGTCGATTTTAGAACAGCAGCCAAAACGGTAACTGTTCACGTTATTTGGAACCGAAACCGCTGTCGTCCATATCAATTTGCAGTTAAAATATTCACTGCATCAAATTATAGAACTATAAATAACACTTGAGTTTTCAAAATATAATTTGTTTTATTAAAAAGAAAAGGGGAAAAATTCTGCCTAAATTTTTATGAAAAATATTCAATTTATCCAATAATGTGTGTCATATGGATACAGAGAGATTTTATAAATTATAACCCAAAAGTTCCACATGAAATAATAGAACTTATACTTAATAATTCGGTTATCATCAAATCCACATTATTAGACTATCTATTTCAGTATTAATAGTTTATTTATCCATTTTTCACCCAAACAGAAGAAATATAAAAACCTATCATCTTCTCAAGTAAAAGACATTATATTAAAAAAGAAAAAAGAAAAAAAAATACAATCATAATATGAGTGTTAAACTTACTTTAGAATTAGTTGTCCGTCGATTAAAATATGAATCCCAAAACAACCTCAAACAACACGAATAAGAAAATATTGCATATTATTTGTCATTAATCTCCGTATCGTCACAAAATGATATCTGGTAGAAAAATTAAATCATTAGGCACCACTTTCATAAAAAACGAGTTGATTTTGAACAAATGGTTAAACACTAGACTCGCATTGCAAGACAGTAGCATTACCATGTAGAAACTTGCTTACCTTGAAGAAACTTCTAAGTGACGCGAATTAGGAGTACAACCATGATGAAGACACATGTCATTAGAAAAATCAGAAGCCAAGTGAAGCATGTAGTTTTAGAACTTTTCGAGTATATCTCCAAGGCTCGGACATTGGCACGGCCAGTGCCTGCCAAGCTTTGCTCAATAGCGTTCTCTGTAGAATCGAGTATCTGCACCCCTTGAAGAAACTTCTAAGTGACGCGAATTAGGAGTACAACCATGATGAAGACACATGTCATTAGAAAAATCAGAAGCCAAGTGAAGCATGTAGTTTTAGAACTTTTCGAGTATATCTCCAAGGCTCGGACATTGGCACGGCCAGTGCCTGCCAAGCTTTGCTCAATAGCGTTCTCTGTAGAATCGAGTATCTGCACCAAAACAAACATTTAGGTTTTGAGACTAGAAATAAAAACTTGCATATATGTTGTTTTAGCTTCATCTAATAGATTTATGTATCTCTTTTTACAGCCATTGAGTGCAAAAACTTTCTGACATGTACAAGAAAAGCATCAGTTTAAAAAATAGTCCCAGATCGATATACATGATCTTTGCAATCACATTTTGAAAAGTATTAAATTCAAGTATCTATAACACGTAAATGAACAGAAATCTGAATTTCCACATGATAAGTGGTAATGTAAAAATTCATGATGCATACACTCATCAACTAGAAGTTTTAGTTGCTACTGCCATTATTTCAAAGAAAATTGAAAAATACAAACAAATTATGAGCTCAAGGCAAGTTGTTTACCATATCAAGAAGAAAAAAGGTTGAAGTAGAAAGTTGCTTCTCAATTTCCCTTACCTCATTTGTCGGTGAGTCCACCATCCAATCATTGGTAGGGAAAAAAAAATTACAGGGTAGATTTTTCTTACAAAAGCCTGTCCTCTTATGGCTTTTACAATTTTATAGATCTGTACTAGTTAATTCCTTAAGGGCCCATTCCAAGTCAATTAACACGATTAGCAGCTTATCGATTACTGCATGAGTACAGAAATGGTTCAGTAGTTGTTCTTCAATTCATCACTAGTCAAGAAGAATTTCATATCCTAGCAACTTTCATCGCTTAAGAGAGTAATTAGTATGTCAAAATACAAGACCTCAATAGAACACCAATTCCCACGGATTAAATTCAGAAAAATGCTGCCATAGATATCTCTCTGATTGCCACTCCCAACCTCTCCTTCACAGCATTTACAAATCTGAGCAATTTTAAGATAGAATTCAGACACTTCACATCAATCCATTAATGGCAAAAGGAAAATGCCACTTCTTCACAATCCTAGTAGTTTCTAAATCATTACCATGTTAGAGATACTCATTAGCTAATCTTGTACAGAAAGAATAATGGATTACGCGATCATCTAATGCTGCCTCCCCAGAACATGCAGAATCACTCACCAAAGCTACAATTGCACATCTCTTCAGAAGGTAATCCATTTGGTTCCAAAAATCATTACCTTTTCAGTATTTTGCAAGGACTGGCTCATCAAGAGACTACTCTCTTTTAGTTGTTGTGCCAACCCAACCATTTCATCTGTCAGGTCTTCTTGAAGCTTTCTGCAATAGGATACAAAAGTTTAATCAGAAGTTGATGATCTTTGAAGCAACTAGGTAGTCCTAGATTCAATCTTTGGAACTTGGAGCAAGAAAATATGTAGAACAAATTATGTTTTTGAATATCTCTGCCTATATCATGAAAATTTTACTCATATTAATTTCAGGAAACTACATTGTACAGTTATAAATATAGTACTATAAGCAACAGTCAAGAAGGAGGACTAAGAAACTTTAAATGTATTGAAGCATTGTTATTTATGTAAATCCTGTTGCAATAAACTCCAATTTGCAATGAACCTTTCATTTTCACCTTATCCCTGGAAAGCGAGTTGAGACAGGGGAGTGAGATCTTTTTTCGGTTCAATACGTCCACCTACGAGACTCACCTTTGGCTTTCGTCTCGGTAGGGAAAGAAACATAATAAATATTAAAGATCAATTTGGTGTCTGCCTTACCTTCCACTCCAATCCGAGTTCCCCTCTTGCTCAAATACTTGTTCTCTCCCTCTCTCTGAACAATACTAGGCTGATGCCAAGCAGGGCACCATGTTACACCAAAATTCCACTACTATCTTGCTTATGCTGTACACATCATGCCATTGAAATGCCAAAATAGCTAGGGGAGTAAGGGTGTGCATTAGTTGGTAATAACCAACTAACCAAACCACAATATGTGGTTTGGTTCGATTAGCAAAGATTTGGGCCTCTTATTTGGTTCGGCCATCAGATGACCATGGTATGGAGCCAACCATGTTAACCATGTTTCAGTCATCAGATGACCATGTTAACCATGTTTCGGTCATCAGATGATCATGTTAACCGAAAAAACCAAACAACACACACACACACAAGAACAAAAGGATTCAGTATGGAGCCAACCAAACTGAACCAAAATGTTTGATTCATATATGTAATTCAATTTGGTTTAGTTTCCCCTATTTTGATTACTGGTTAATTCGGTCAAACCGAATCCACTGATGCACACCTCTACAAATAGAATCATGAATAATCACCCAATGCCCTCAAGAGGACCATCCTTGGTCTGTAGTCAATGCATCTTTAGCAAACAATGGCTGTATGAGTTTATGTGGAACTCCACTGGGTTTTATATAGAATTAAATGCAACATTTTTACTTGAAAAACTTAGATTACAGATCTAAGAGTCCTATATAATGACTCAACACACTCATCAATTAGCGGACCATCTACCATTTTGGTATTACTAAACTCTAATAAGTAGCAATTCCTTTTCTCTAATTGCAGAAACACAACTAAAATAGGACTTCTCCTCTTCGACAGATTATAGGAAAATGTGAGTGGAGATGGAGAAAAACTCAATGTGGTGCTCCATAAATATGAGCTCTATTATAAACTGAATACAATTAATCTTACTTAATGGAGGTGGACATAAACTTTATCACTCAAGTGTCATCGCGAAGAACTACACGAGTGTTTAGATCTACATCAATATTGTAATCTTATGACCAATTTCTTATACTCATGCAAATCAATATCTCGAAAAATAGCTCAAATAACGACACACACTCTACATAAATCTCAATAAAATAAAGTTCGCTCCTCATGGTAAATTACTAAATATGCGTAACCTTGGTGGTCAATAGAGAATGAAGGAAATTTATATTATGACCATACGAAAACGAATGCGCCAATTGGCTTTTCTCCTCCAGATGGCTCTTGAACACTGCCGCCGTCATGTTAGTGTATATAACATGAACTCTCAGATTGAACTCATATCCTTAAGATTATCCTGAAATACACATACTCATAAATTGAGTGGTATGGACCTAGCTAATGCCCCAATTTCGATAAAGAAGAGCAGACAATAATAACATCGTCAGAAATAAAATTTTGAACTCAATCAGAGATTAGAATCAATATATGACGATTATAGACGGAGATAATGGTGAGTTGTGTTTATTAGAAACAAAAGAGCTTTTCGAATGTGATAAGCTAGATCAGCACGGAAGAGAGTAGATGTCAATGAGACTAATGAATGAGACAAAAATTGAGCAAACCTAATTGGACGTTTTATAACAAAGACATTCGTAAGATCAGCCTTTCATGTCAAATGAAACAATAGTGCTGCTAATTAACACACTAAATACATTGTCCTTATGAACTCAAGCAAACAGTTTGAGAAATTTAATCTGAGATATACAATCTCCTCGATGATATAGTCACATTACAGTTAGTAACTGCGTATATAACATACTCCTGCTATCGTACATATACATAAAAACTCACAATGTGCATAATTATGAAACTATCTTCGCACGTTTTGGGCTCTATACAGAATTCTCAACCAAATTCTCATATCCTCTATGTGAGTATTATTATCGATATTATTATCTAAAGGTACTGTAGCTCTGACAATCTGTTGAAAGAGATCAAAATTCAGCCTCATGATATGCAGCAATATAACTCAAAGTATAAAATAAAGAGAAAACAAATTGTGTAAATCAGAACTAACTCTAGTTCTTATAAATATTGCTAATGCCCATGGTTAGATGCACAAACACATAATTAATATGATAATTGATCATGAGAAGGTTCGATGAGTGACGCTAACTGCTCTAGCTATCGCGATAGGTGAATCCCACAAAACGCTTTCTGCAAGCGGATAACAGATTTAGGCAAATGGGACAGAGAGAACTCTCAAACAAAGAGGAGATAACAAGCCACAAACACAGTGCCAATTATAAATTACCAATGGACTATATAGTGCCTCAGTTAGAACACTCGCCTCTCCTAACTCCACTCTGACAAGTTCAATCATATATAGACTGAGTGATGTGTTACGAGAGATGAATGATGAGTACATCAGAGTTATAAAGAGCGATGATTAAAGATATCTCCTAAAAAAATAGAACAAGACAATAAAGTTTTGTGCTTATTATGGGTTCCAGTACTTATAAATTATACTCAATGTAAAAATCCATACAGTCTCACAACAAAGCTATCAATTCTTATCTCAAAATCAAAAAAGTTGAAATCCGGTCAAGATTTTGATCATCTAATGGTGTCTCATTGATAATTTCCTAACAGAAATAAAAGAGAGAATTATAAATAATTCGCTACCTAGCCTCTCATTATTCATCCGAATCCTAAGCTATAATCATCACAAATATTTGAAAGCATACACTGTACTCGACTAATAGGCATTATGGATATTTAAGGTGCTCGTTGTTGAATTACATAACTAGTTCTAGTCCACGAGCCAGATGAAGGTGATATATGTAGCACAAAAGAGATGAAATATCAATATATCTACTATATATAATCCCTCACAACACTATAGTTATTTCCAATTAATTCTAGCTTATAGATTGACATCTTGTTGGCATATTTTAATATAGTATTAAATTGCTTCGACCATATATATGATGTATAACTAACAACATCACACGCCGATGTATACTCAATGAGAATTTAAGCTTATCCATCACGAATTTATGCAAACGCCACCAATGTTGGCGCTTGTCGATTGATAATTTCTTGCGAAAAGCAAGAATTGCGTGCTTTGTACTACAAATGGGTAATTTCTTCAAGTGAGAGTATATAAAGAGACCATAAATAGAGAGAATATGTGAAAATTATACTTTGGGTCCAGTAGATATATCACACTCATAGTCATTAGATATGAGAGAGATGGTGATCTAAAGTTCACAATCACATTAATAATTTAAAAGTATCCAATGCAACGCACCAATGGGGCAGCTAATCTGGAAGCAATGGCTTCAATCTTTTCTGAATAATCATTGACCTTAGCCTTTGAAACTCTGTTGAAATGTATTCAAAGAGAAGTTAAAGTAGCACTGCATTTAAATCTTAGAGATTGTTACATAAATACAACTCCAGCGACATTTGATTTATTGGATTGATAATGGCTACCGAACAGAAAAGGCCAACTCAAATGCAAAGGGGAAGAGAAATCTGGCTCACAATCAAAGAACTTAGATGTATTATTAACAAGTCAATTTTCCTTGAAAAGGACATTTACAAAAAGTTCCAATATTGGTTATCCATGAAAATTTGATTAAAGTTTTTCAAAGTTCAATTACAATTCAAAACAAATTTAAGAGAAGATATAAAAGAAAGCACGCATACCTAGGTAAGCCATCTAGAGTTCTCTCTTCAGCCAGTTGTTCCAATTGTTCTCGTAAAGTAGCAACATACTATAAAGTTCCAATATTAAATCCATAGGTAACAAAAGAAACAATTAGTTTATTAAATGCGCTAATGCCATTACAGAAATCAGATTATACAAAACCATAAACAACGCAAAATAAAGCATCAAAAAATTAAAAAAAAAAAAGGGATTATGAAAAAATAATTTCCGAATGCAATCAATGGACATACATGTATAAGTTTTGCTTGATTTTGTTGCCGAGGTGCAGCTGCAAGCAACCTCCTTAAGTTTATCTCTGTTTTACTGATTCCCATTATAACATCCTGTGGCAATGATAAAAAATAAATGAATAAACAGAGTTAATCTTAATGCTATAAATCAAATGCCAATGTAACATTACCCACACAAGTGAGAGTAGTTTCATAAACAAAAACTCTGCAATTTTTATGGCAAATAGGAATATTTCTTCGACTTCTGGATATTTTTGTCCTTTTCTAAAATAAGTAGAAAATTATTGTGTATAATTTGATATAATCCATAGTATAAGCACATGCAATTAATAAATTTGCTTCAAGACAAACAAAAGAATATTGACAATTAAATAATTAAATTGTTGAACATTACACCAACAAATAGAAGCCAATATACACCAATTTAAGCTTGACAAATAAAAATAAAGTTAAAAAAAAATGGAAAGCAAAATCAAGCAGCCTCATTTCAGCTATTGAAACCGGTAACTTGTGATCATGTAATGTGTAGAACAAATAAATGCAATAACCATCGCTTTTCATCACCATAGACAGTAAATCCCAAATAACAGGAAGAGATAATTTGATTGCGCAAGAACTGATAATGATAAATTAGGAAAAAGAAAATCTAGAAACCTAATTTTGATGTATATTTTAAATCTCTAACTAATTATTGACCATTCGATTCACCAAATTAAGAACTGATAGAGACGAACTACATATTTTCTCAATAAATTGAAAAATTGGGGGCTCAACTAGATTTAATTGGTTCAGTTTCTCATACTTCCTCACTAGCCAAAGAAATGTATTGATAGAGAAAGCTTACATTTGATTGAATCAAACTCTTAGTTTGAGCTTGAAAGAACTTAGGATTGATATTTCGCGGGTGGAGTAGGGATCATCGAAGACTGTTACAATCGGAGGCAGAGGTAATCGCCGGAATGACAATGGCAGCAGTGGAGATGGAGAAATCGAAAACGAAATGTATTTGTTTTTTAAGTAAGGGTAGTTTTGTCTTAGCATAAATTAAGGCTTATTTTCACCAGGTGTCCTTCAAGTTATAGTCTTATCACTTTACCAATATCATAAGAGTAACAGAAAAATCCCTATGATCAACTTCAATTTATCACTTAAATCCCTCAAATATCATAAGAGTAACAGAAAAATCCCTATGATCAACTTCAATTTATCACTTAAATCCCTCAAATATCATAAGAGTAACAGAAAAATCCCTATGATCAATTTTCCGGCTATTGAGTCACCGGAAAGCTGAGTAGACTGCATAATTTAAATGAAAAAAGCCAAAAGCTGTTTTTATAGTTCTTAGTTATTTTAGTAGCATTTACTTGTTAACTGTTCGAGTAGCTTTTATGAAAAGCTAAAAGCTAAACAGATATATTAGTTGACTTTTTATAAAACACTACCTTAACATGTACTAAACACTATAAAAAAAGTATTTAGCGTTATAACCAGTCAAAATATTAAAAACTACTCAAAAAACTGTTGCTGAACACAATTAAAATATTAAAATTTCAATTATGATCGGTTTTTTACTAAATTTTATTAATTTTCCTCAATTATTATTTTATAGGTGTTAAGGCTTTTACTCTCTTTGTTAATTTATATTCAGTCATTTTGTTTTTATTCTTTCATGTAAAAGTAAATTAACATTCCAATTTATTTAAAAAAAAATAGCAAAACAAAGCCACGGAATCTTGAAAACTTCATGTTTCCAATAATAATTCACTCAGCGTGCCATGGAATCTAAAATCATTTTTTTTAGGGAAGACCCCATTAGATTCTAAAAATTCAACGTATTTCACACTATCCTTATGTTCTTTGTCCTCGTACGGGAAGAAGATATTGTAGGGTGAATATAAAAGTTGAAAGACATTCTTATAATTGAATAGGAAAAAAAGAAATTAGGGCCACTTAGATGGATTTGGTCTTGCCTCCGAAGTTTTCAAATTGTAACCATAACGAAATAATTAGACGAGCCAAAATAATTTAATGGGCTATATAACCAGAGTAGTTTTTATTATCGAGTGGATTAAAACTTGAGACTTCTCATCTAGTTGATCATAATAATTCACTTTAATATAGGAGCATACCACAGAACCTGAATGATTTTGTAGTTGGTTTTGTCTTTTTTTTTTTATTTTTTTTTTCCCTTTATACAAAGGAAAGACTCACCTAATCACAAACTAATCACAAAAAAGTGATTTATTTCAAACGAATGTATTTTTGATCATACAAACAAAAAGGATAGAATAGTAACAGTTTTTTTAAAAAATCTTTTTTGATTGGCTTGGTGTACGGAACCACTCATGCATTAGGTATAAGCAAGTCTTATCCTTGTACAAAGTAATGTATTTTTTGCTAGTTAAACAATATTGGATTACCTTAACCCACAGAAAATATATGGATATCACATTTTTTCTTTAGTCTTTTTCAATTAAGTCCAATTTTAAAATTATGGGTATAATTAAATAACATATGCAAAATTCAAATAGAAAATAAAAGTCATTTTAGAGTGAAATTGGAACAATTTGAAAATTTAAGGTGAAAAATATAGTCTATCCAAATATAAAGTATAATTAGAATTTACATTGTGTAATGATGGAGCTAGTACGAAAAAAAAAATCAAAATTTGGGGAGCAAAATTGAAAATTTTCAATATTTTAGAAGATAAATATAAAAGAAAATTATGATTAAGGGAAATTGAGACACTCCTCACACCCTTCCTCCATCCTCTCATAGGTGTGAAACAGTGTTTGCCTTTTCCTTTTCTTCTCTTCGGGGAGACACACCATGGATAATCATTTGGGGAGACACACCACGGATAATCATTTAGAAATCATTTTGGTTTAGTTATTGTGATGATTGACAGTGGCAGTTGATAGATGGATATATATAGTTATTTGGTTATCAATAATAAGCTACCCACCATGAGATTCTGATAGTTGGTAAATGTGTAGTTGAATGAGTAGTTGAAATGGGTATAAGCAATTATTTGCAGTTTTTGTTAGTTATAGTGGATTTCTTTTTGATCCGTTAGGAGGCTGAAACGGCTTCAATAATAATATGCACTATACAATATGGGTAAAATTCTCTTTGACTCGCTAAATTGATGAAAACTCTGTGATCAAGAGGACTCGAACTTGAGATCTCTCACTCCTCATATAAGTGAAAAAGACTAATAAAATCATACCTGATTGGAACAGTTAATTACTCTATTAATCATGAAATTTAGATAAAATTTTATTTAAACAGTCATCATATATATAATTAGTACTTTGAAACAGGTTACAAAAAATCAAAATAGTGAAAATTTAAAGTAATATTATATTCTTATGTCCTACATGTTTCTAATAAACTCTTGGACATAAATTCTTAATTCAATAACAAGAAGTTGAGGCTTAGCAACAACTTGCAAAAAAACCACAAACAAAGATTGTGTTAGGTAACAATTTTTTAAGTAGTGTTTACTATTTTGACTGGTTAAGGTGCTAAACGTATTTTTTATAGTGCTCGATAATATAACTTTTAAACTAGCTTATAAAGGTTAAACCAGCAGTCTATAAAAAGTTAACTCATGTAACGTTTAACTTTTATCATTTTATGAAAAACTACTAAAACAACTGACCATTAATTATTATTCAAACAATAAATAGCTATCAAAAAAACAAATTTTGCCCGAACATATCCAAAGTAGGTAAGAAATTACATATAAACCACAACCACAAACCAAAAGACAATAATTACATGAGATTTGATAAATGTTAAGGATTTTTCATTAAAAAATATGATATTAACACGAAAAATTACCTTTTTCGATATCAGGATTTATAGGCTTTTAAAAAACAAAATATTTAATGCTAAAAAAAATTATAAGCACAAGAATGCACTTACTAGGAAAAAGAAAAATATATTTATATTCTAGAACGAAAAATTACCTGTTTTGAGATCAGGATTTATAGGCTTTTAAAAAACAAAATATTTAATGCTAAAAAAAATTATAAGCACAAGAATGCACTTACTAGGAAAAAGAAAAATATATTTATATTCTAGAATTCAAAGGAAAATTACACTATTGATTCTACTAAATAAATCAGTAATACTATTCAATGTATAAATCTACAATGTCATTAAAATAATGTAAGTTACAGGTTTATATATATATATATATAAACCTACATGCTTGATTCTTGGCTTTTGATGGAGAAAGAAGAAAACGATTGCAATGGAAAAAAAAAAGAGAGAGAAAGTTGCTAGGATTTTGATGTTCTCCTTTACACATATCGTTAATTATTATTTTTAAAGTTAAATATATTTTTTCTTGAAAACAAAATTTTAAGTTAATATTCTCAAACCCTATATATATTCTCAAACCCTATATATAGTTATATATATTAATATATAATATATATTATATATATATAAAAAAAATTAAATATAAATTATTAAGTAAAAATTTCTTCAAAAAATTAAATATTAAATATTAAGTAAAAATTTCTCATCAAATAATAATACATATATTTTATCATAATCCGACTAAATTGGCAACCTTGTGTGTTTAGCTACGAACAAAGACAATAGATAAAGAAAACTAAATTGCTTGAGAAAAGAGGAAGGAAATGAAGTGTTACTTTTATTCAATTATCATATATGGCGACGCCATTTTTATTTTTCTTTAATAAGTAAGCACTCCCATACATAGAGGACATAACGTTTAAATACATAGAACATTATACAATTTCATTAAAACCCATATGCTCCTCTGGAGGCCTAATTTACATGGTCTCCTTATGATCATTGTTGCCACCTGAGATCTCATCAGAGTTGTAACCATAGTGAAAGAACTCAGGACGTTTAGGATCGAACTTCTCAAATGACGTTGACTTGTCTATTTTATCATCATCATTGTAACCATAGTGAAGGAACTCAGGACGTTTGGGATCGAACTTCTCAAATGACGTTGACTTGTCTTTTTTATCATTATCGTTGTAACCATAGTGAAGGAACTCAGGACGTTTGGGATCGAACTTCTCAAATGACGTTGACTTGTCTTTTTTATCATCATCGTTGTAACCATAGTGAAGGAACTCAGGACGTTTAGGATCGAACTTCTCAAATGACGTTGACTTGTCTTTTTTATCATTCTTTTTTATCATCATAGTGTAACCATAGTGAAGGAACTCAGGACGTTTGCGGATCGAACTTCTCAACATGAACGTTGACTTGTCTTTTTTATCATCCTCATTGTAACTATAGTGAAAGAACTCGGGACGTTTGGATAATCGAACTTCTCAAATGACGTGACGTTGTCTTTTTTTCATCCTCATTTGTAACTCGGGACGTTTGGGATCGAACTTCTCATCGTTGAGATGGTTTAAAATAGATTTTGGCCCATTTTCCTCGATAGAAGTTTTATCATCGTTGAGATGTTGATCTTTTAGTAGTTCTTTCCTCGCGTCCACAGTAATACCAAACTATTAAAGAAAAAAAGAACAAAGATTAGAGCTTGAGTCCATATATATTGCCAAACTACTAAAAGAATCAAAAAAAGCATGTTCTTGAAATAAGACGAAAAAATTAGAGAAAAAAAAATGTCACACTAAAAATTATATGTAGTTCCGCTGAAAGTATAAATAATATTAGGAACAAAGCTAGCCATTTAATTAATAAAAAATAAAATCTGCATTAATTTCTTTTAAAAAAAAAAAAAAAAAAGAGCAACATATAGCTTTGCCATTAATTTCAATCGAATTTTAGGGTTGGTGCTAAGTAGAATAATGTATGAAGAAATGGTTCACTCACCAAGAGAAGAGGGAGAAGAACAAAGAAAATAGAGAAGCTCTTCATGGTTCTCTTTAGTTGTAAAGGGGAGAAGAAGCTCTTCATGGTTCTCTTTAGTTGTAAAGGGGAGAAGAAATGTTTGGTTTTTTAATGGTGAAGTGCCTGCTATATATAGCCACACAATGTCAAAGAAACCTTTAGCAATATAAGGGCATTTTTGTAAAAAGAAAATTTCTCAACTCATTTTTTTTTTTTTTTGTTATTTCTTGTTTATTACAAAATACGAAAAATTCTTAGCTACAAAGGGTGTAAAGCGCATCCGCAAATATGAGAAAAAGCACAAAGAGGAAAAATCTTAGATAGGCACGTCGAATGGAATTTCCATCTAAATTTCTACTTTTTTTGCGTTTATATGAACTGAAAAACGAATAATTACTCGAACGTAGAGGGACTTAAGTGTTGATTTGGTCATAATTTAGGGACCCCAAAACATTTAACTCCCCACTTAATGTTTGCTTTTCAATCCATGTAAATGGAAAAAGGTAAGAATTTGGATGGCAGGGCCTCGTAGTATAACGACAACATTATTTAGGTCATTCAAGATAATTACTCATAATTACTCAAACGTTGAGGATCCTAGGTGTTAATTTGGCCATAATTTAGGGAACCGAAAATATTTAACCCTTTTAACAATTATCATGTAACAGCATTTTGAAATTACTGACGCTTTGTAATTAAAATTTAGGGAAAAAATAAGGTGTAATTGCAACAATACGTAAAATTCAAAATGTTATTATACTCTAAAATAATTAATTGCACCTTATAGTTAAAAATTAAAATAAAATGCAATTCCAACCATATGCAAAGTTCATAGTATTTTTATTTTATAATATAAATTAATCAATCTTTTTTTTCCTAATTTCTCTCTCTCAATAATTTCAATAATTATAATATGAGTTAAAGCTTAACAATGTGCAACTGATTTTAATGTACAATTATTAACATTACAAGTATTTTTCATATGTATTGTTGAATTACATGGAATAGAATTGTTAATTTTGTTAAGAAAAAAAAAAAAATCAAAGCCATCAGTGCAAATAATTAAATTTCTCTTGAATTTCCAATAATAATTCACTTTAATATAGGAGCGTCCCACAAAGTTTTTTTATTTATTTTAATATCAGAAAAGACCCTATTAGATTCTAATAATTCTTTACTTATCTTATATTATCTTTTTTTTCCCTCCACATGAACCAAGATATGTGTTGGGTCAATATAAAAGTTGAGTGACATTCTTATAATTCATATCTTACATTATCCTCGTTTTTTTTTTCGTGTAGGATAAGATATGTGTAGGATAAATATAAAAATTGAGAGATATTCTTATAATTGAATAGAAAAAAAATATTAAGGCCACCTAGATGGATTTGGTCATGCCTCTTTTCAAAATTATGCGCGTGCGCATGCATATATATATATATAATATATTATATAATATATATATATATATATATATATATTATATACTCTATAATTTTTTATTGCTCTAAATGCATTAAAAAAATTTTAATTTAGGCTAATTCATCATTTGAATTTTTTTTTTTAAATTTTAAACTCATTTGAATCTAAATAGATCTCACAACTATACATATTCATGTTTTTATTTAAAAATCGATTATTTGAAAAATAAAATGGTTGATTTAGTTGTTTATGATAGTTGATAATAGTAATCATTATTTAATTATTTAATTGTTTATGATAGTTGTTTATGATAGTTTATAAATAAAAATAATTATTTAATTTTTGTGTAGTAATATTTTCTACTTATTTATTTTAATTTAAAATTTTTATAAATAAGATTATCCTAAAATATTAATTTCAAAAAATAATTTATTAATATATTTTTTTATAAAATTAATATAGTCAAAATATAATACATTGATAAGAAAAAGCCCTAAATTCAGTTGATGAGATCAATAGTAAATTGAAACTTATGTAAGCTTTATCAGCTATCAATTCCTTATTAGAGGGATATTTAGCTTATTTGTTTCATGCAAATTTATTCTACGTTTAATTTATATGTGTTAAATCTTCATTAACTACTTTTTCAACTCCTTTTTTTTTTTAATCAATTCCCCAGGGCTATATTCACCTCAATAATAAATCATTAATAATTTTATTTTCCAATTACTATTTTTATGTTATCATTATCATATATAATTATCTAAAAACAATAAATAACTAGTAAATATTATTATAAACATTTAATTAATATTTATTTATTTATTTATATACTATATTAATTAATTACATGAAATAATGCTATAATCTCCGCTGATTATTATTTTCTGCCCAATATCTTTAAAAGGGGCAAAAAAAAAAAAAAAAAAAAAACCAAAAAAAAAAAAAAAAACCTCTTTAGGCTAACCATATATTATTTGGTTGATCTTTTTACTAATATAAAAAATATGATTGTTAAGTTTGAATTTTTCCGATCGCACTAGTTTTTAATAATTCGATAAGTCAATGGAAAAATTATCCCTTAATCATTATGTTATTCGATCAATTGAGCCTTTTGATTAATAAAAAAATATTGAGTGATCAACATTTTTTTAAATTATAAAATCTTGCATTTATGCATGTGTAAAAGTAATAATTTTGCATGGATGATTGGGCATGATAAGAGTAACAATAATACCAATTCTATGGATGAGTAGGTAGGAATTGGGGTTGGTGAGTGCCACTCCTCATACATTGGTAGATAATTTTCTCATTATTGATAAAAGTTTTTATTTTTCTTTTCAATAATATACATTTAATAATACCACGTTTTTATTTTTTTATTTTTTTTCAAGAATAATAATACCACTGATTACCTTAAAAAACAAGGACCCTAGAGTAAATACTTTGCCACTTTTATTGATATTTTAATTATTTACACTTTAATATCCTTATGGGTCCTCTCTTAAAAAACAAGCACCCTAGAGTAAATTCTTGTTGTTGGTAGCTAAATTATTCTTTTTATTTTCTCAGATGAATCTATCATTTTTTTTAATATGGTATATAAATAAAAATAATTAATTAATTTTTGTTTAGTAATGTTTTCTAGTTATTTATTTTAATTCAAAATAAAATAAAAGACATTATATTAAAAAAGAAAAAAGAAAAAAAAATACAATCATAATATGAGTGTTAAACTTATTTCAGAATCAGTTGTCCGTCGATTAAAATATAAATCCCAACATAACCTCAAACAACACAGAATAAGAAAATATTACATATTATTTGTCATTAATCTCCGTATCGTCACAAAATGATATCTGGTAGAAAAATTAAATCATTAGGCACCACTTTCATAAAAAACGAGTTGATTTTGAACAAATGGTTAAACACTTGACTCGCATTGCAAGACAGCAGCATTACCATGTCGAAACTTGCTTACCTTGAAGAAACTTCTAAGTGACGCGAATTAGGAGTACAACCATGATGAAGACACATGTCATTAGAAAAATCAGAAGCCAAGTGAAGCATGTAGTTTTAGAACTTTTCGAGTATATCTCCAAGGCTCGGACATTGGCACGGCCAGTGCCTGCCAAGCTTTGCTCAATAGCGTTCTCTGTAGAATCGAGTATCTGCACCAATAGCGTTCTCTGTAGAATCGAGTATCTGCACCGAAACAAACATTTAGGTTTTGAGACTAGAAATAAAAACTTGCATATATGTTGTTTTAGCTTCATCTAATAAATTTATGTATTTCTTTTTTTACAGCCATTGAATGCAAAAACTTTCTGACATGTACAAGAAGAGCATCAGTTTAAAAAATAGTCCCAGATCGATATACATGATCTTTGCAATCACATTTTGATAAGTATTAAATTCAAGTATCTATAATACGTAAATGAACAGAAATCTGAATTTCCACATGATAAGTGGTAATGTAGAAATTCATGATGCATACACTCATCAACTAGAAGTTTTAGTTGCTACTGCCATTATTTCAAAGAAAATTGAAAAATACAAACAAAATTATGAGTTCAAGGCAAGTTGTTTACCATATCAAGAAGAAAAAAGGTTGAAGTAGAAAGTTGCTTCTCAATTTCCCTTACCTCATTTGTCGGTAAGTCCACCATCCAATCATTGGTAGGGAAAAAAAAATTACAGGGTAGATTTTTCTTATAAAAGCCTGTCCTCTTATGGCTTTTACAATTTTATAGATCTGTACTTGTTAATTCCTTAAGGGCCCATTCCAAGTCAATTAACACAATTAGCAGCTTATCGATTACTGCATGAGTACAGAAATGGTTCAGTAGTTGTTCTTCAATTCATCATTAATCAAGAAGAATTTCATATCCTAGCAACTTTCATCGCTTAATAGAGTGATTAGTATGTCAAAATACAAGACCTCAATAGAACATCAATTCCCACAGATTAAATTCAGAAAAATGCTGCTATAGATATCTCTCTGATTGCCACTCCCAACCTCTCCTTCACAGCATTTACAAATCTGAGCAATTTTAAGATAGAACTCAGACGCTTCACATCAATCAATTAATGGCAGAAGGAAAATGACACTTCTTCACAATCCTAGTAGTTTCTAAATCATTACCATGTTAGAGATACTCATTAGCTAACTTGTACACAAAGAATAATGGATTACGCGATCCTCTAATGCTGCCTCCCCAGAACATGCAGAATCACTCACCAAAGCTACAATTGCACATCTCCTCAGAAGGTAATACATTTGGTTCCAAAAATCATTACCTTTTCAGTATTTTGCAAGGACTGGCTCATCAAGAGACTACTCTCTTTTAGTTGTTGTGCCAACCCAACCATTTCATCTGTCAGGTCTTCTTGAAGCTTTCTGCAATAGGATACACAAGTTTAATCAGAAGTTGATGATCTTTGAAGCAACTAGGTAGTCCTAGATTCAATCTTTGGAACTTGGAGCAAGAAAATATGAACTTGGAGCAAGCACCCCCTTGCAACGACCACATTATTGTTTTATCCCCCACGGCCAATTTCTTGCTATATCATGAAATTTACACCACTCAATTAATTTCAGGAAACTACATTGTACAGTTATAAATATAGTACTATAAGCAACAGTCAAGAAGGAGGACTAAGAAACTTTAAATGTATTGAAGCATTGTTATTTATGTAAATCCTGTTGCAATAAACTCCAATTTGCAATGAACCTTTCATTTTCACCTTATCCCTGGAAAGCGAGTTGAGACAGGGGAGTGAGATCTTCTTTCGGTTCAATACGTCCACCTACGAGACTCACCTTTGGCTTTCGTCTCGGTAGGGAAAGAAACATAATAAATATTAAAGATCAATTTGGTGTCTGACTTACCTTCCACTCCAATCCCAGTTCCCCTCTTGCTCAAATACTTGTTCTGTCCCGCTCTCTGAACAATACTAGGCTGATGCCAAGCAGGGCACCATGTTACACCAAAATTCCACTACTATCTTGCTTATGGTGTACACATTATCCCATTGAAATGCCAAAATAGCTAGGGGAGTAAGGGTGTGCATTAGTTGGTAATAACCAACTAACCAAACCGAAATATGTGGTTTGATTCGATTAGCAAAGATTTGGGCCTCTTATTTGGTTCGGTCATCAGATGACCATGGTATGGAGCCAACCATGTTAACCATGTTTCAGTCATCAGATGAACATGTTAACCATGTTTCGGTCTTCAGATGATCATTTTAACCAAAAAAACCAAACAACACACACACACACACACACACACACAAGAACAAAAGGATTCAGTATGGAGCCAACCAAACTGAATCAAAATGTTTGATTCATATATGTAATTCAATTTGGTTTAGTTTCCCCTATTTTGATTACTGGTTAATTCGGTCAAACCGAATCCACTGATGCACACCTCTACAAATAGAATCATGAATAATCACCCAATGCCCTCAAGAGGACCATCCTTGGTCTGTAGTCAATGCATCTTTAGCAAACAATGGCTGTATGAGTTTATGTGGAACTCCACTGGGTTTTATCTCCACTGGGTTTTATGTAGAATTAAATGCAACATTTTTACTTGAAAAACTTAGATTACAGATCTAAGAGTGGATTACTATGTAATCTTTGAAATTATCACATCATGATTGGGTGTACCCCAATCAAACAGTAAAAGTACCTGTGCTTTTCAATGTGTGTTTTTGCTGCAGCATCCAGTTTGACAGGTGCTGATGTATCAACCTGAGTGATTTCATGAGTGCTATCATCAAAATTTGGGGCTGCCCTGTTCAAAGAACAACAAAAATCATAATGAAATAAATATAGAAACAGAAGGAGGAAAAAGAAATGAACACCAAAAGGGAAATTGCATGAATCACATAAATCCTAACAACTAGAGATTCATTACACAAATCTTCTTCTCAAGCCAGGAGAAGAAGGGAACTGAGTTTCTCCATCTGCTTTAGGACTTTCGCTCATTGAACTCTCAGCAAAAGGCTCTTCAGATACCGAATCTGAGGCTGAGAATTAGCCGCATAAAAAATGGTTAGATGTTACAACATCAACCACTGCCAATACTGACAATTAATAGGACAAACAAATTGAGGCAACATCATAGATTGCATGCATGGTTAGATGACACAAACAACATATAGTATGCTTTTAAGTTGTAATCAGTACGCTTAGTCACTGTAACCAAAGGGGGGAACAGTTAGAAGAAGTAGAACAGGCAACAAAAGCAATTAAACCAAGGAGAATGTATTGCAATCCATGAAGTCAACATATTAGCTGAGAGGGAAGAAGAACAGTTCATTCAAGAGATAATTAAAAAAAAAAATAATTAAAAAAAGAATTAAATTTGTGGACAGTAATATCAAAATCCTTGTACGTCCCTTTTCAACAAAAGTGAAAATCGAGTCAAGGATTTGCTCTTATGGTTTTCTTCTACAGAAACATAACCCGTATCTTCAGTCTGTTTACAATCACAGTTATTGAAGCTCTACCACAATTATAATGGCAATGGCATTTCAAACAGTTTTTTAGTCCCTTTGAGGGAGGAAATGAAAGAAGAAAACTTACTCTTCGAACTATGTTTCAAATATCTGCTAGTGCTAACTAAATTTTTAGAAGTGTTGGCTAAAGTTCACAATCACAATTAATAATTTAACAGTATCCAATGCACGCACCCAATGGGGCAGCTAATCTGGAAGCAACGGCCTTCGAATCTTTCCTGAATACATCATTGACCTTAGCCTTTGAAAACTCTGTTGAAATGTATTCCCAAAGAGAAGTTAAAAAGTAGACTGCATTTGCATTTAAATCTTAGAGATTGTTACATAAAATACAACTCCAGCCACATTTGATTTATTGGATTGATAATGGCTACCGAACAGAAAAGGCCAACTCAAATGCAAAGGGGAAGAGAAATCTGGCTCACAATCAAAGAACTTAGATGTATTATTAACAAGTCAATTTTCCTTGAAAAGGACATTTACAAAAAGTTCCAATATTGGTTATCCATGAAAATTTGATTAAAGTTTTTCAAAGTTCAATTACAATTCAAAACAAATTTAAGAGAAGATATAAAAGAAAGCATGCATACCTAGGTAAGCCATCTAGAGTTCTCTCTTCAGCCAGTTGTTCCAATTGTTCTCGTAAAGTAGCAACATACTATAAAGTTCCAATATTAAAATCCATAGGTAACAAAAGAAACAATTAGAAAATCCATAGGTAACAAAAGAAACAATTAGTTTATTAATGGCGCTAATGTCATTACAGAAATCAGATTATACAAAATAGTATTTAGTGTTATAACCAGTCGAAATGTTAAAAGCTACTCAAAAAAACTGTTGCCTAACACAACTAAAATATCAAAATTTCAATTATGATCGGTTTTTTACTAAATTTTATTAATTTTCCTCAATTATTATTTTATAGGTGTTAAGGCTTTTACTCTATTTGTTAATTTATATTCAATCATTTTGTTTTTATTATTTCATGTAAAAATAAATTAATATTCTAATTTATTTAGAAAAAACAAAAACAGCAAAACAAAGCCACGGAATCTTGACAACTTCGTGTTTCCAATAATAATTCACTCAGCGTGCCATGGAATCTAAAATCATTTTTTTAGGGAAGACCCCATTAGATTCTAAAAATTCAACGTATTTCACACTATCCTTTTGTTCTTTATCCTCGTGCGGGAAGAAGATATTGTAGGGTGAATATAAAAGTTGAAAGACATTCTTATAATTGAATAGGAAAGAAAGAAATTAGGGCCACTTAGATGGATTTGGTCTTGCCTCCGAAGTTTTCAAATTGTAACCATAATGAAGTAATTAGACGAGCCAAAAATAATTTAATAGGCTACACAATAAGAGTAATTCTTTCCTTAATTCTCCAAGTTAGTGAAAGTTTTTATGATCGAGTGGATTAGAACTCCAGACTTCTCACTTTTCACATATTTGAATAATAATTCACTTTAATATAGAAGCATACCACATAATCTAAATGATTTTGAAGTTTGTTTTGTCTTTTTTTTCTTCCCTTTATACAAAGGAAAGACTTACCTGCACTCAATGTCAGTGAATGAACTCACTCATTTACAAACTAATCACAAAAAGTGATTTGTTTCAAATGAAAGCATTTTTTATCATACAAACAAAAAGGATAGAGCGTAAGAGTTTTTAAAAACAATCTTTTTTATTGGTTTCGTCTATAGAACCACCCATACATATTGAGTGTGAGCAAGTCTTATCCTTATACAGAGTAATGCATTTTTCGCTAGTTAAACAATATTGGATTACCTTAACCCACAGAAAATATGTGGATCTCATATTTTTTCTTTAGTCTCTTTCAATTAAGTCCAATTTTAAAACTATGGATACAATTAAATAACATATGCAAAATTCAGCAAAATAAAAGTTAATTTAGAGTGAAATTGGAACAACTCGAAAAGTTTAAGGCCAAAACTATAGTTTATCTAAATATAAAGTATAATTAGATTTTACACGTGTAATAATGGGGCCGGTACGGCAAAAAACTTGAAATTTAAGGAGCAAAATTAAAAATCTTCAATATTTTAGAAGATAAATATAAAAGAAAATTATGGTTAAAGGAACTTGAGACACTCCTCACACCCTTCCTTCATCCTTACATAGGTGTGGTCCAATGTTTTCCTTTTCCTTTTCTTGTCTTTAGGGAGACACACCATGGATAATCATTTAAAAATCATTCTGGTTTAGTTATTTGTGATGATTGACAGTGGCAGATGGATATATAGTTATTTGGTTATCAATAATAGGCTACCAACCATGTGATTCTGATAGTTGGTAAATGGGTAGTTGGATGAGTAGTCGAAATGGGTATAAGCAATTATTTACAGTTTTTGCTGCTTACAGTGAATTTTTTTTATCCAGTAGAAGGCCAAAATGGCTTAAATAATACCATGCGCTACACAATATGAATAAAGTTCTCTTTAATTCACTAAATTGGTGAAAACTTTGTGATCAAGAGGACTCGAACTCTAGATCTCTCACTCTTCATATAAATGAAAAAAATTAATAAAATTATATCTGATTGGCACAGTTAATTATTTTATTAATCATAATATTTAAATAAAATTTTATTTAAACAATCATCATTTAACTAGTAACTTTGAAACAGGTTAAAAAAAGTCAAAATAGTGAAAATTTAAAGGAATATTATATTCATAAGTCCTACATATTTCTAATAAACTCTTGACATAAATTCTTAATTCAGTAACAACAAGTTGAGGCTTAGCAACCACTTGCAAAAAAACTACAAGTCAAAGGTCGTGTTCGGTAATAGTTTTTTAAGTAGCTTTTAATATTTTGATTGGTCAAAATGTTAAACGTATTTTTTTATAGTGTTCGGTAATATAACTTTTGAACTAACTTATAGAGATTAAGCCAGCAATTTATAAAAAGTTAACTCATATAAAGTTTAACTTTTACTATTTTATGAAAAGCTACTAAAACAACTAAACATTAAATGTCATTCAAACAGTTAACAGCTGCTAAAACAACTAATCTTGACGAACACATCCAAAGTACTTAAAAAATTACATATAAACCACAACCACAAACCAAAAGACAACAATTACATGAGATTTGATCGATGGTAAGGATTTTTCATTAAAAAAATATGATATTAACACGAAAAATTACCTTTTTCGATATCAGGATTTATAGGCTTTTAAAAAACTAAATATTTAATGCTAAAAAAAATTATAAGCACAAGAATGCACTTACTGGGAAAAAGAAAAATATATTTATATTCTAGAACTCAAAGGAAAATTACATTATTGATTCAAAGGATGATAACTATAAGTGATGATGATAGTGATAAGTGATGATGATAGTGTGGATGAAGCCCCTGTAGAGGCGTTGTCGGTGATGTGAGATGGTCTGATCGGCGGAGCTTTTAGCAAATGATTTGTTATCTATAGAATTGGTTATCAAAAAAACTATTATTTATTATTAAAAATTTAATATTTATTTAATATTTATTTTTTATTTAATATTTATTTAATATTATTAAAAATAAAAAACTATTTAATTGTGTAAATTAAAAAAAAAAACTATTTTCAACACAAACATAAAAAAAATTCACAGATAAATAATTATCCAATATTTCAAATATATTTAATCAAAATAAATTATTTAAACTTTGAATAAATAACTATAAAATTTTATTATCTTAGTGTTAAAAAATTTATTATGTACCTATGCAATTGAAATTATATTATATATATATAAATGCTAGACTTATAAATTTCTCCCCTTTTATAATATCGAATTATATATATTAAATTATATATATCGTATCTTGTGACTTCTAATTTGTAGTTTAGCTAGTCTTAGTCTTAATTATTTTAAATTCATTTATTTTTTTAAATAATGCCACATTATATATTTTGGTCATAAAAATATTTAATTTAATTTTTTTGAAATATTAAAATTACACTGGTCCATATTATAAAATAATTATTTTAAAACAATTAATCTTTAAATTTAAATTTGATCAATCTTAATTTTCATTATAAATTCTGTTTTACTTTGTTCAAAAATAACATATTCTTACTTAATATTAGCTTTTTGAAAAATTAAAAAAAAAAAAAAAATTTTTTGTTTGGTTTACAACTTATGTATATAGGTTCAATTATCAATGAATTTATTAATCCTCTTAATTTATAATTTGAAATTTAATAATTTGTACTTAATTTCAAGTTTCTTAATTAAAAGAAATATATATCTATATAAAATAATTATTTTTATTATTTAATTTATAAATTTTGAGATTCTAATTTACTTGTAATTAAAGTTTTACTTGAACCATTTATATTATGTATATTTCATGTACTTTCAAATAATTCAATCTCGTTATATAATTTAATATTTAAAAAGTTAACTCATGTAACGTTTAACTTTTATCATTTTATGAAAAACTACTAAAACAACTGACCATTAAATATTATTCAAATAATAAATAGCTATCAAAACAACAAATTTTGTCCGAACATATCCAAAGTACTTAAGAAATTACATATAAACCACAACCACAAACCAAAAGGCAATAATTACATGAGATTTGATAAATGGTAAGGATTTTTCATTAAAAAATATGATATTAACACGAAAAATTACCTGTTTTGAGATCAGGATTTATAGGCTTTTAAAAAACAAAATATTTAATGCTAAAAAAAATTATAAGCACAAGAATGCACTTACTAGGAAAAAGAAAAATATATTTATATTCTAGAATTCAAAGGAAAATTACACTATTGATTCTACTAAATAAATCAGTAATACTATTCAATGTATAAATCTACAATGTCATTAAAATAATGTAAGTTACAGGTTTATATATATATATATATAAACCTACATGCTTGATTCTTGGCTTTTGATGGAGAAAGAAGAAAACGATTGCAATGGAAAAAAAAAAGAGAGAGAAAGTTGCTAGGATTTTGATGTTCTCCTTTACACATATCGTTAATTATTATTTTTAAAGTTAAATATATTTTTTCTTGAAAACAAAATTTTAAGTTAATATTCTCAAACCCTATATATATTATATATATATATATTATATATATATATATATAAAATTAAATATTAAATATTAAGTAAAAATTTCTCATCAAATAATAATACATATATTTTATCATAATCCGACTAAATTGGCAACCTTGTGTGTTTAGCTACGAACAAAGACAATAGATAAAGAAAACTAAATTGCTTGAGAAAAGAGGAAGGAAATGAAGTGTTACTTTTATTCAATTATCATATATGGCGACGCCATTTTTATTTTTCTTTAATAAGTAAGCACTCCCATACATAGAGGACATAACGTTTAAATACATAAAACATTATACAATTTCATTAAAACCCATATGCTCCTCTGGATGCCTAATTTACATGGTCTCCTTATGATCATTGTTGCCGCCTGGGATCTCTTCAATAAGAGACGACGGCTTATTATGCTCGAGCGGTGATGATTTTTCTTTGTTGTCGTTGTAGTGATAGTGAAGCAAGTTCTTATGTTTGGGATCAAATTTCTCAAATGACGATGATTTCTCTGTGTTATCATCGTCGCTGTAAGTATAATGAAATGATGGAAGAGGAACCCAACGCTCAAAATTTTGAACAGATGATAATTTGTCAGTGTTATCATCATCGTTGTAACCATAGTGAAGGAACTCAGGACGTTTAGGATCGAACTTCTCAAATGACGTTGACTTATCTTTTTTATCATCGTCGTTGTAACTATAGTGAAGGAACTCAGGACGTTTAGGATCGAACTTCTCAAATGATGTTGACTTGTCTTGTTTATCATCGTCGTTGTAACCATAGTGAAGGAACTCAGGATGAAGGAACTCAGGACGTTTAAGGATCGAACTTCTCATGACGTTGACTTTGTCCTTTTTTTATCATCGTCGTTGTACCATTAAGTGAAGGAACTCAGGACGTTTTAGGATCGAACTTCTCAATGACGTTTGACTTGTCTTTTTTATCATCATCATTGTAACCATAAGGAAAGACTCAGGACGTTAGGATCGACTTCTCAAAATGACGTTGACCTTGCTTTTTTTATCATCATCATTGTACGCATAGTGAAAGAACTCAGGACTTTAGGTCGAACTTTGACGTTGACTTGTCTTTTTTATCATCATCATTGTAACCATAGTGAAAGAACTCAGGACGTTTAGGATCGAACTTCTCAAATGACGTTGACTTGTCTTTTTTATCATTGTCGTCGTAATGATAACCAAAAAACTCAGGACGTTTGGAATCGAACTTCTCAAATGATGATGCCTTGTCTTTTTTATCATCGTCGTCGTAATGATAACCAAACAACTCGGGACGTTTGGGATCGAACTTCTCATCGTTGAGATGGTTTAAAATAGATTTTGGCCCATTTTCCTCAATAGAAGTTTTATCATCGTTGAGATGTTGATCTTTTAGTAGTTCTTTCCTCGCGTCCACAGTAATAGCAAACTATTAAAGAAAAAAAGAACAAAGATTAGAGCTTGAGTCCATATATATTGCCAAACTACTAAAAGAATAAAAAAAAAGCATGTTCTTGAAATAAGACGAAAAAATTAGAGAAAAAAAAATGTCACACTAAAAATTATATGTAGTTCCGCTGAAAGTATAAATAATATTAGGAACAAAGCTAGCCATTTAATTAATAAAAAATAATAGGTATACAATAGCTACCATTTATATTAATAAAAATAAAATCTGCATTAATGTTCGTTTTAAAAAAAAAAAAATATAAAAGACAACATATTAATGCTTTGCCAGTTAATTTTCATATCGAATTTTTTATGGTGTTGTGTGCTAAGTAGAAATAATGTAAATGCAACATATAGCTTTGCCATTAATTTCAATCGAATTTTAGGGTTGGTGCTAAGTAGAATAATGTAAGAAGAAATGGTTCACTCACCAAGAGAAGAGGGAGAAGAACAAAGAAAATAGAGAAGCTCTTCATGGTTCTCTTTAGTTGTAAAGGGGAGAAGAAGTGTATGGTTTTTTAATGGCGAAGTCCCTGCTATATATAGCCACACAATGTCTAAGAAACCTTCAGCAATATAAGGGCATTTTTGTAAAAAGAAAATTTCTCAACTCATTTTATTTTTTTTTTTTTGTTATTTCTTGTTTATTACAAAATACGAAAAATTCTTAGCTACAAAGGGTGTAAAGCGCATCCGCGAATATGAGAAAAAGCACAAAGAGGAAAAATCTTAGATAGGCACATCGAATGGAATTTACTTACCTAGACTGGATCTATAGCCACATTTATAGACCAAACCAACGACAGTAAGAATTCTTTAAAAAGTGTTCCGACTTTATCCTTTTTTTTCATAGTGCATGGTCAGAAATACCATTATTTTAATAAAAAATCCTATTTTCATTGGTTTGATCCATGAGTGGAACTATATACTCGTAAAATTTTAAATAGGCATAATGAATGATTGATTGAACTAGCAAAATGAATTTACTTTCCATCTTGTTCATGATGTAAATTGGATATTAGAACGCAATCAATATTATTGTTTTTAAATATAATTTCAAATAAATTAATAAACAAGTTAAAAAGTTCTTGTAGTCAAATAAAAAACCTATAGCTATGTTAGTTTTATCTGTTCTGCAATACTATAAATTTTGATGTTGCATTTTTTAATTTTTATATTTTATTCTGTTAATTATTTTTCAGTGATATCATTTTTGTTTAAAAAAAAAAAGAACTATAAATACATTAATAACATAGAGATATGACACACATTGCTTAAAACAGTGGTAATTTTGATAAAGTATGCTAGGTCATATAACTCATACACATGTATACTCCAAGAAATGTGAAATCCAATTATAAAAATCAATTTAATTTTAGTTTACAAAAAATCAATTTTCAATTGTTGATTTGGTTACTTTATATATGATAATTCAACTAACTGAAATAATCAAATTTTTATTGAATATATCTTTTACTAATACTATAAAATTTTCAATTTTCATTAAAATTACATTTTTATTAATAACATATATGTTTCAAAAAATTAATTAATAAAATTTAATTATAACTAAGTATTTATTCAGTTGATTTAGTTATAACCAAATACTGAAACAAAATATTTAATTTCAATTATATTTGATTTTTTACTATATTCAGTTAATTTGTTTCAATTAATATTTTATGGGTGTTACAGATTTTACTCTCTCTGTTCTTCTTTTAAATGTCACTTTAGAAAAAAAAAATTCACTTCATTTGTTATTTTAGGAAATCAGGGAAGTATTTAATTTTAAAAAAAAAAATTACTATCATCTCTTAGCATCTCTACTAAGTAAATTAGTCGATTACAACTTTTTTTTTTTTTCAAAATTGGGTTGATTTAATGATTTTTTTAATTCTTTTACAATTATGTTAAATTACACCTTCCCCCTAAAAAAAAAAAAAAAAAAAAAAAAAAAAACTCTTAAAATGAATTAAAGGGAGGAGTTTGTCAGAAAAAATTTTGAGTCAGTTTTACCCAATTGCCCAACGCCAAGCTGAATAATATTGGAAATTAAAATCTTATGCTATATGAGATTTCTTTTTTTTTTTGCATTTTTTTTTGTCATTTGCCATTTTTATGATGGCCTAGATAAACAAAAATATTAGCTTATGATTCATTACGTAGAGCTTCTCTCTAAATTATAATTTATTTTTAACTCTCTTTTAACAAGGTGTTAAATTTTTTCCGGTCCTAAATTATATTTCAAATTGAGAGTGTGAGAGGTTCCCTCAACGTTTGAGGCTAAATTATTTTGGAAGGACCGTTAAATAATGTCTGTAGTTACACTGTGAGGTCCTTCCATCTAAAATTTCTTACTTTTTTGCGGTGTGATATGCACTCACGAATAATTACTCAAACGTAGAGCGTGTGAGTGTGAGTGTGGTTCATAGGGACCCCAAAAACATTTAACTCGCCCACTTACACTCTCTCTCTCAATCCATGTTAAAGGAGAAAGGTTATGATATTGGCCTCGTAGCTTTTATAAGCGACAGCCATTATTTAGGTCATTCAAGATAATTTACTCAAACGTTGAGGATCCTAAGGTGTTAATTTGAGCCGATAATTTTAGGGAACCGAAACATAATTTAACCGTTTTAACAATTATCATTGTAACAGCATATGAATTAATGACGCTTATCGTATTTAAAATTTAGGGAAAAAAATAACGTGTAATTGCAACAAATAGTAAAATTAAAAGATGTTTATTATACTCTAAAATAATTTAATTGCCCACCTTATAGTTTTAAAATTTAAAATAAAACAAATTCCAACCTCACTGCAACTCATAGTATTTTTATTTATAATTACTAAATATTCAATCTTTTTTCCGTATTGTGTCTTCTTCTCTCAATTAATTTCAATAATTATAATATGAGTTAAAGCTTAACAAATGTGCAACTGATTTTAATGTACAAAATATTAACATTACAAGTTATTTTTTCATATGTATTGTTGAGATATACATGAATAGAAATTGTCAATTTGTTAGCCAAAAAAAAAAAAAAAAATCAAAGCCATCAGAGCAAATAATTTAAATTAATCCAATAATAATTTCACATTAATATAGACGTCCACAAAGTTTTTTTTTTGTATTTATATTATACAGAAAAAGACCCTATTTAGATTCTTAATAATTCTTTACGTTATCTTATATTATCTTTTTTTCCCTCCACATGAACCGAATATATGTGTGGGTCAATATAAAAGTTGAGTGACATTCTTAATAATTCAGTATCCGTGTGACATTAGTGCGCGTGCGGTTTTATTTATTATTTTTCCATGAATCTAAATATATCTCATAACTATACATATTCTATGTTTCTTATTCTAAAAATCAGAATATATATTGAAAATATAAATGGCCCTCACTCTCACTATTGGATAGCTTCGATAATACTACATCATAATAAATACATGCTATGTCAATTCAATACTATAAAGGTAGTTATTGAAGATGGATATTTGAGAGTGTGGTTGTGTGTGTGGTGAGAGAGAAGCTATATGAAGAGTGTTTGTATTGTAGACAATGCTTAACTCGACCCAACTATTTCAAGTTTTTCAATAGCTAAATACTTGTGTTGGTAGCTAAATGTGATTCTTTTTATTTTCTCAGCATGGATCTATCATTTTTTTTAATATGGTACTCAAATTAATGTCTCTTGTAGGTAATATTTCGTGAGTTATTTATTTTAATTAAAATATTTATTTAAATAAAATTATCCTAAAATATTAAATTTCAAAAAGTTAATTTTTATTATTATCTTTTTTAGAAAATTTATATTAGTCACAATACTTAATGCATTGATAAGAAAACGGCCCTAAATTTCAGTGTTGATAGATCTATATAGTAAATCTCGCACTCAAGTGGCATGCGTTAAGCTTTATCAGCTATCAAATTCCTTAATTAAAAGGGATCTCTCTAGCTTATGTTTCATGCAAATATACACGTTACATCTATATGTGTAAATCTTATCATTAACTACATTTTCAACCTCCTTTTTTTTTTAAATCAATTCCCCAGGGCTAATATTCGCTCACATAATAAATCATTAATAATTTTTTTCCAACTCTCTTTATGTTATCATTTCTAAAATACAATAATAACTAGAAAATATATTTATAAAATTAAAAAAATTATTATTTATATTACTATATTAAATTAAGTTTACATGAAATAATCCATATATAAATCTCAGCTGATTATATATAGACCCCAATATATTTAAAATGGCCAAAAAAACAAGATATTATTTGTTGATCTTCTCACTAATATTAAAAAATAGGGGTTGATAAAATTCGAATTTTTTCCCGAATTCACAATAAGTTTTCATAATTAAGTGCATTTTAAAAGGAAGGGGTATCATCTTAATCATTCAGTTATTCGAGTTGAATTGAACCTTTCGACTAATTAAAAAAAATTATGGAGTGAATCAACCATTTTTTAAATATAAAATGCTTCTGCATTTATTGGCATTGTGCCAAAAGGTAAATTAATTTTGCATGGATGATTTGGCATGATAAGAAGTTAACAATAATACCAATTTTCTATGGATAAATTCTGGAGAGTATGGTAGGAATGGTAGGAAAATTTTGGGGTTTGGTGACTTGCCCCCACTCCTTCATTACATTGGTAGATTTTAAATTTTTTTTCTATTATTGATAAAAAATGTTTTTATTTTTCTTTTTTCAATTAATTATACATTTAATAATACCACGTATCTCTCTCTG